AGCATTTTCCTTTTAAGCCATTTTAGCTTCACGTGGTATAGGATTGTCATTACTGTGATATTTGGCGCATAACAAGTAGCAGTATGATCCGATAGGAGATAAAAAATGACTCCAGCCAGATACGAGCGTCGAGTAAGATAGAGATAGAGTATTCTGGTAATCTTCAAGTTGTACTTTCCCCCCCAAAAAGTTGGTAGCAATTTTGTAATCTTGAACAGTGATGCAGTTGATTTAGCGCTAAAATTTCTCTATCTCAGTCAGGGGAATTGAACAGCTAGAAACCGCGTTTTACTCTTCTACAATAATGTGTTGTGTAAAATACAGTAGTTGGTATACCTTTTTAAAATACTTTCAAAAGAGAAATACGCTATATCGAATTGGGATCATTTTCATTGTGAACAAGAGGTTACAAGTCATCATTGAACATGTAGTCTGCATTGCATTTTCGGAATGCTACGCTATAATACAGCGTTGTGATATCGCATCCAATCACGTATGCAGTAGGAAAGCATCGAAGATCGTATGGATATTTTTTTATTTCTTTCATTTCCATGAAAACTATTGCGTGTCGCGTTCAAGCAGAATTGCATCTTGTTGTAAAACGGCATAAGCAATTGATATTGCTAACTCATCATTTTACTCGTATGCGAAAGAAGAATGTGATGTCCAGTCTGTGTGTCTGTGGTTGGGGTTTTGCCTCTTTCCAGAATTCATGGTGTCGTTTTCTGCACTGGTTGGAGACTGTACACCGCAGGCAGATATCTGCCTGTGGTGAATAAATACTACGTTACCGTTATATTATCATCATTTGTTGAATTGATGGCACTAAACTATTGCATAAGTATAACTTGAACGGTGATGATCTCAATCATCATCAGTAGTCAGGCAATTAGTAAGAGTTGAATTGCCATCCAGATTGGATAGGTTATGATTGGATTTTTGATCAGCGGAAAAAAAAAAAAATGAATTAACGTCCATCTACTAGACGGAACCATCAGACGATCGTTTTCCATTTTAATCTACAATTTAGATACGCTTCGATACGAATTACCTGTGTGGACATGATGCCGCCGATAAGTAGGCCAACGTCACAGAGTCGTTTGAAGTAGTCTTTGGCTAATCAAAGTGAATTTACAGGAGTCTTCTTTCAATGACTGCAAAGGAGTAAAAGCAATGAGTATTTTCAATTGAGATATACCGTAGTTTTAAATACTAATCGCTGGTGACTACCGTCACTACCTTGAGATCAAAATTGGGTGCTGCGCCGCCGCCAGCGAGGGAGTGTGTAGCGTTTAGCGTAGATTGACTGGCGTCTGCTTTTATTTTACAATTCAAATTGGATTTACAGTTCAACGCTTAAATCAATAATGCCGTGTTGGGGTTTTTTTTCCCCTAGTCAAGTCAGCGCTAGCGTTGGATACAGTAGCTTGTAGACTATTGTGCAGTATAGCGTAGGTGGAAAATGAGTGTATTTTCGACCTACACCCAGTTTACGGTGTTGAGTGCAGACTGGAGTCTGCGTCTGAATCAGTTTGTACTGTGCACTGTGCAGTACGGTACTGTACACGGACGACCATGATACAGTGTATAGTACTGTAGACTACAGTACACAAGGAAAAAGAAATCAAGCAGCAAGGTACCGCTTACTGTACACGACACGAGTACACCTGTGGAGCCAGCCTACTGTAGTGGACGCTATGCTACACACTCCGTTGTCGGACCGACAGTATGGCCAAGGTGGAAAATGACTTCTTTTTGACCTCGCCATGCTACACACTCCGTTTTGGACCGACAGTATAGCCAAGGTGGAAAATGACTTCTTTTTGACCACGCCATGCTACACACTCCGTGTTAAACCGGCGTATAGTACTGTACTGTACAGTACGGTAGAAAAAACCGTCTTTGGCGGTAAACAAGGCAAAAGACTGGACATTGTACTGTACACTGTACAGACCACGGTCTGAGCATACAGTACAGTACTGTACTGTACAACTGTACAGTACAATGCATCGTCTAGTACTGTAGAAATATCCGAACTCCGAATTTTACCCAATCCGAATCCGATTCATCAAATCTGTTTTGGATGGTTGGGAGAGAAATTTTGACATCATATTTGCAATTGGAAAATGGTGTTTCACCCAACTCGACAGTGTAAAAAATATCAGCGGCAGTACACTGTCAAGTTAACTTCATCCTTCGTCATACTGTACTATTGAGGAGACAACAGACTACCGACTCGGTGTAGTAAACGTCTAGATCCCCAAGGATTTTTTTTTTGGCGGGGGGGGAGAAAAATCATGACCACTTTCACCCGTAACCAGACATCCCTCTACAGTACTGTGGCTAAGAATAGCATGACTATATTTATCACCACTGGTGGTCTTGATAGTCTCATGGCAGAGTTGATCATGCAATCCATCTTGGTGATTGGATGTACTCTATCCATTCAGTAACAATGTATAAAAACGATTGGTTTACACAAGCGACTTGCGCCAGCGTCCAATATTCCTAATGATGGCATAGGCTTGGTCAACATTTCTTTTCTCACTCACCAATGACAAAAGCAATGTCATTATCCAACTGCTAATCCATGCACATACACGTCATTTGGACTAGAGAAAAATGAGGATAATTTCAAAAATTCATCATTTACAATCCTAGAAAAAAATTCCCATTGCTCCACCAACAATACTGAATAACGGCAAAAAAATGCCATTTTGCAAAGCAGCCATGTTTATCACTCAATGAATAATTGCATTGTTTCTATGTTCAACCTCTATTGTCCATTTCATTCTTGTCTTTCAAACGATATTATTGTAACAATGATAATGACTCATTACTAATGACTAATGAATGACGCATGAGGAATATCTAATAACCAACAAGCAATGAGGTTGGAAGGTGATAAAATGATCGGTTAAGTCATGGTGATAATGACCTTGCTTTTTATTGATTCAATATCGTTAAAACAACAACATACTATTATCAAATATTGCACATGGAAAATACTCTGATCATCTAAATATGAGCGTTGATCAGTATACAGTGATAGGTTAGAGTATATTTAAATAGCCCAATTTCCATCAATCAATAACAAAGCGGTGATGATGCAATGATTGACAGTCCACTATTTAATTACCGTATTTCCACTTTATTATACGAAAGTTCCTAGCCTTTGTACTACCATACTTTAAAGTAGACAACGATGCCCTTGAGCATCACCTAGTTCTTGTATCCTACTTTTCCCTTTGACGCGACGAAATCAATCGCTCTCTGATTATATTTCGCATCGTCACATACCTATCATATATTGTAATACTGATTATCTTGTAGAGTAGTCCATGAAGTTGGCTAAAATAAGTACCATTGAATACTGTATATATCGTAATCCCTTCATAATCCTTTTACAAATAGAATAAACTGGATAAGTTTGCCGCTAGTGAACATGCTTGTAGGATTAGTTAATTTACTTGACGGTCATATAAGGAATTAGTAATCTCTCCAAAATGATCTATCTATCTACAGATTGTTTCTATTTGCTAATCGTAATGACGACAATCTATCTTTATACATGTAATATCACAGCTATGCTAAGTAACTGAATAATCACCAGTAAAAGATGTAGATGAACACGCTGATAATAGAATGGGATTCATTAAATGCATTGCCAATAAAATGAGACAATATCTTTTATTTCATACAATTATCTTCAATGTCATTATCTTATTTTCAATATTTAAATATAGCTAAAGCTTGAAATTCATTCAGTAAGTATGGGCTTCTTCATCTAGCATATAGAAAAATACAAAAGTATCCCTATTTAAACAAATGGTAACAATCAAGAGTAGTTTTACTGAGATACACGTATAGTACTTTTAATGAATTATCTAGTAAAATTGTATTAAACTGACATTAACTTTTAATTGCTACCAATTTTACAATCGAAAGTACAAATTATATATCAAGATATTTACTACTTGCTGTATAGTGTGTTGGCGGGTTTAGTGCGACACAAAGCAAAAATCGAATATAGTCCTATTTACGAGGTAGTACACTCAAGGATACATAATTCTATTTTGGAATAGAAGCGATCAAAATTTAGATGACACGAAAGAACTCTGGGGCATGATACAAGTGCAACATAATATGCTATTAATTAATTACTAAAATAGATCGTTTCACTATCAATCGTCTTGACATCGTAAAGTGCATAATAGTATAACCACGTACAGTATTACGTATTCAATTCGTTGCAATAGAATCAGCAAAATTGTATGGTTAAGCTTTAATTTTCACCTTACTCTTAACTAATAACTGTTTAGCTATTTTGGCATGCCAATTTCGGTAGGTATAAAGATGTTAATCATTGGAAAATTGACAACGGAAATGACGTTAACATTAAGCATGAGAGCAGTTCATTCCTGAAATTGTGAAATATAAACAGTGGAATACTTTGACAATATTTAGATAGACAACTATTAATAGCATTTAAAGTAAGTGGCTGGCCTATTTTAATCCTCAAAAAGTTCATACATTAGTCGATCGAGCTTATACTTACTATAACTTTATATTACTAAATTAATTGGAATATCAAAATAATAGCATACTACAATAATAGCTGTAATCTGGTGAGAGAAACAAAATTAAAATTATTAAAATGCTAAGGTCTAAATTTATTTTGGAAAAAAATTGATAGCTTTGTTTGCCAGGCTACATATATCGGTGTTTGTCTTTAAAATTTCTCTTAACATTATATGCATTAAAGTTCCTTCGGAATAATAATGTAACTAAGTATAATATTTCTCTTTCTTTTATATTATTAGAAAACGTGGAAAGAGCTCATCTATGAATTATGTACATGTTATAAATTATTCAGTAACTCTAATATTGCGGAAGTTGTAGGCAAACTTCATTTTTTTTTAAAATTTAATCTGCCAATTTTATAATTAATGAATTCCACTAATACAGTCACAGCGAATTGATGATATTTTTCTCGTAATTTAGTTGGCTTCCGATAAAATTCGAACAACATTTTCATGACCTTGCTTTTGGGCAACATGTAGAGGAATAAATCTTCCAACCTAAAAGAAGTATGTTCGAAAGAGATCAATTTTTTAATATGCATACATAGTTATCAGCATCAATTTAATTTGCCATGGTTAAGTTAAAAATTAAGTGATTAAGCTTTTTGAGCACCGTTTTCGTGCGAATCAGTTAGTAACTATTGCGCTACTGGACTTGTTATAATTATATGCTCAAAGCGCAAATTATTTAAAACATTTAATAATGGGCTTTATTTTTACATTGTTATGAAACTAGTTTGTGTAACAAGGCCATTTCATCATCTTATGTAAGCAAATTATAGCTACACGCGTATTTACTAGCAATAAAATTTAGATTATTGGACGAAAATTTGTATGTACCCGTAAAGGTCTGCGATGATCGGCTCCGTGCTTTAACAATAACTTCACTATATCGACAAAATTTCCTTGAGCTGCTACATAAAGCGGAGTAAATCCTATCTATAACATGCAGTGGTAAGATAATACTAGATTATTACAAACAAATTTATCATCTGTTGTTATACAGATAGTTTACAAACATTTTTAAGACAGTAGTCAAATTAATAATTTTTATAGCTAACTGTAAAGCGTCTACTAGTTAGAAACTCTAATATCATTAACATGTTAAGGCAATACATCAGTAAGATGGGAACAAATTAGATGACGACTTACTGATGACATTGCATTAACATCTGCTCCTTTTTCAATTAAAGTCTTGGCACATTGAAATTGACCTTCTTTGCATGCATAATGTAAAGGAGTAAACCCTAACTGAAAATAAGAAATTTACCAAATAGAAGCACTTAATAAATAAAACGAATGGAATATGTTTATTTCTATTGATTTTGAGTTATAGCTAACCTTAGAGTTGATATTTAAGTTAGCACCACGATCGGCCAGGATTACAACGATATTATTGTATCCCATTGCAGCGGCTAAGTGTAGAGCACTTTGGTATTCCTAAAGAATTTATTCTAACTTTTAGTTTATTCTAATTAATATTAAAGTTAGATATGCATATCTTATAGAAGCAGTCATTTTAACATCCTAAATTAATTACAACTGCTACAAGCTAGACGTACATAGATCAAAATTTATTCACTGTATGATACATGCATTTATACTTTCGGAAATTGAGAATTTGGTAGTTAATATCTGAGTATCAGATATTATATTAACTAATTACTGTATTTTTTATCAATATGTGGCACAATAGATAAATTGTTAATATAATACTTCCAGTATATCTTAATTAACATTAATATATAGCTCACATGATTTTGAAAATCTATTAATTGACCACCATTTAGGTACTGTTGGATTTTTTCCTCGTTACCTATTCCGGCAGCATATAAAAATTCTAAACCTTGTAAATTCTGACAAATTAGAGAGATAAATGATTAATGTGCTAAAGATTAAAGAAATTATGTTTATTTGAATAAGAAGAATCGACTGTAAGCATATAATTAAACGAAAATCTATGATATAATTTAAATGACTTATTTCATATACTATTGCAAAAGTACTCAGGGAAAGTTGGAGTAAAAGTAAAATTTCAGGTGTACAAATAACATTCTTGTTCAGGTTTATTTTGAAACCTTAAATTGTTAATGTTGCAACTGAAAATTAGTCAATGCAACAAAATTAATAGTCAGTGATTACGATAATAAACTACTCATAGAGATTGATGTAGGAGTGCCATGTCATTAGTTGGTGGGTTATCGGTAATCGATCTCATTGGCAATCTTTCGATATCGGATTGCTACTGATTTATTTAATATGAAAATCAAAGCTCATAATTTGCATGGCTATCATAAAACTATAATCTCTTGTTATTCAAATTAACAAGAGATAAGGTTTAAATAAGTAAAGATGCTATTCGTATTCATAGCTTTTAAATGAAAAAAAGGACTTTGAACTTGGCGCTACGACCTATAGTAGTAACTGGTTGGGTTTTGTGTGACTGTTTAATAGTAAAAAGATTATCTAGTTCGAATTTCGACAATGTGTACTAGACTTATCCTATCTTATCTCTGATGTGATCTTTTAAGATAAATGATTTAAATACATTGAATAACTTGATATACTTGATTAAGAATAAAAAAGATCGATAATTAATTAACTGGTCATCATTATTACATGTCTTATTGCCTTACCGGTTGCATCATTATTTTTTGTTTTACGAGTATTTATTTAAATTCTTGACGATTGGAGAAAACTAGACTTTCACTTATCGCGTCTTCAGTAACGTTAATTCGAACCGTAACATTAATTAAATAACTTGAACGGTTACGAGTAAAACGGCATCAAAGTTTGAAGTGTTATACAGTATGTATTGCATTAGTAGTCTTTGACCGTCAAGTAACGGTTTATAAATTATTTCTAAGATTTAAAGTTATAGTAGATAAAGGCAAAAATGAATTAACATAAGAACAATAGGTAAATTACAGTAAAAGTGTTATCTTTACTATCCTAGTTGTTGATTTTGCTATTATTGCTATTAATTTTTTTAAAACAATGTCATTACAATTGATGAATATGCAAGCATATCGATGATGAATAACAGGTATGCATATTTCCTTGATATTCATGATATCAAGGATCAATAAGAACGGTTTATAGCTATCACGGTATGAATAAACTTAAATTTTTCCTTGATTAGCATCTATTCTTTATTTTTTTAAATACAGGCAAATGATGATGATCTGTATTTACTTTATTCATTGCTTAGCTGAGAAGATAAAATAGATATTAGCTTTAGCTGAAAGAGAATACGTGACTAGTATATTGACACTACGAAGGGCATTTTAACGACTGCTTCTATAATTCTTTTATATGACAAATTGAACTAAGCATTGAAAAGAGATGATTTGATGCATTGGCAGGATGCAAAAAGTGCCTTACTTTTTGTGTAGAATAGCTTAGAATATTGTATAAGCTACAAAGTCTGTTTCTAGTTTATTTGTAATGAAGCATGCTGTGTTAAAGGGCTCTGTAAATTGTTAGAAGTCGATTTATTATCCTTCTACAAATTAATACAAATGCGCTTCGTAAGAAAATAACCTTTTAACTGTACGGAACGTTGCCAATTATGTAAAATTCAAGTGATTAGCGAGATCAGCATATAAATTATTATGAGATGATATGGGTATTAGCAACTATATAACTACAATAATCGAGATATAAGTAGAAATCAACGGCATATTTACATCTTTTTGGAATAGGAAATATGCAAAGAGCAATGTTTAGACAATATCTTTTAAAACTTAGTTACAGTGCTACGCGTTATACTTTACAGCAACTTATATTTCGCTAAAGCAAACATGTATAGAATTGCGTGTTGGACTAGAAGGAAAAATTATTCATCGAATTGCCAATACGGTACCTACTGTATACCATAATGACCCAGATAACAAGGTCAACGTTATTTACTGTTGCCAGTAACAACAGCAAGACAGAATAAATTTCTTGGTTGTTTACAGTAAACCCAATTAGAGAAATAATATACGAATACTGTGATTTTATTTCCTTAGTCGTGTCATGTACTAAAAATCTTTAAAGATAGGCAATATAATAAAACACCCTATAACAATTCATTTAAGTACTTTTTCATCAGGTAATCAGTTCGATTTACCGTTACTCACTATAATACGATCAATCTGATTTACCATTATTCATTAATACATTATATGGTATCAACACAATTAGTATATTTCCGATTATAAATAATGCATTCTGTTTGTAATATAACAGTAGTAAAATTGGTATGGTCACATATCCATTTAAACAATAATACCTAAATTTTCGCAATTCAATGCAATGGAACTAAAAACAGCTGTTATACTCAGTATTATAAAGACAAAATTTCTCGATATTGATAGCTGCTTCGGTAAAAAAAGTGAAGGTATTGTGAACATTTAGAAATCATAAAATGGTTACCGCATTTAGTATTTAATGTTATAGCCTGATACTGTTAATTTTTATATTCTCCTTCTGCCTAGAATGATATATGTTACCTACGAAAGACAGATTTTATAACATTTTTCTTATATCCAGTCCAATTGTTTGACTTTTAAGGTACAATCATATACACCTTATTAATATTCAAAATTGTCCTATACCTGTTTTATAGTTAAATTGACTATATATACAGTACAGTACATGCATTAATAAATTTATTTAGAAAGTTCAACGGGTTGTTTTTTTTCTTTCGCAGTAGAAGGTAAATCTAATTAATGTAATAGGGGAATACTTTTAATTTTTAAGATGCGTTTAAAGTGTAGTCGGGTAACATTCTAAAACAATTAACAAACCGATTTCTAAAACTACTATACTTTGGCTAAGGGTTGTACCCTTTGAATCGCTTGTACGATATTCTCTATCCATAAATCATTTAAATTTATAACAATGTGCACCGTTAATGATATAGTATTGATTTGTACGAGATAGTTATAGCTCGGTAGTGTTAATATTTTCGGTTGCTAAATCCACCGATTCTTGTTCCGCTGACTCCGTTTTTGACACTTTTCCAATATCGTATAATGGATCGTAATGTGAAGTATGATCTACAGTCCAGTCAATCCATACTTTTCTCTTTTGCATCTCCTTAATCTTACTGCTAACTACATCCAAAGTCTGAGGGTAGGTGCCATTAATTTGTACGGAACCTTTTTATAGCAAATAAAGATCATGATAATTAACTTTTAACCTTGAGTTGATTTCGAATTCATTATACTACTATTGATTTCTGAAGCTCAATATATAAATAAGGCAAAATAGGCAATTGACAGTTATAAGAAGGTAATTGATAGTAGATAAGGATATCTCACACTATTTTTAGAGTTACTGTAGACCTGAGATTTTATTTTTATGAGATTTTAACCATCCTAATGATTTTTCTATCATAGTTGCTGCTTCTTCTTCTGATATACTGCCATCAATACGTCTAATCATAACAAGATCAACATTACTGATAGTACAAGCATGGAAGATACCTAACAAGTACCGACAGCTCAATGCAATTCGATGCAATCTGCTTATATGAGTTAATTTGAATCTTACAAGATGTCATTAGTGCTTCGAAATTCCAAGTATAAAACGATAGGGTGAATAGAGACGTTTATTAATCTATCCAGTGTAGCTTCATCAAATACGAATATAGCATGGACCTAAATAAGCACATTCGATGATAAACAAGGATTAATTCATCTAAATCTAGCTATTTTAAAAGCCTGATTAATGACTCGTAATTTGAAATAGTATCCTAGACCATACCTTGCTAGCTAATTTCATTAGGTTTTTAATGCTAGTACACCGAAAGAAATTTGGACGATCTTCATTATACTCAGCAATCATATTATTACGAAGAAGTTTGTTCATCTTATCTTGAGTGGCAAACAGTGTAACTAAAGTAGAATACAAGGATAGAATAATTTCTGGTAAGATTAACTAAGTACAAATAGTCTGTCTATCTTGAAAAGAGTATCTTAAATCAATGTATTAAATATGCTATAAGGAAATCAGTTACTTGCCTTGAGTACATCTTTGAAAACTGTCTCCATGTACCTTTAATAAACCATCTGAAAACATGTGGGCTAGTGGACCTAACAGCATCACCGGCCTTTGATAACAACCTGTAAATTATTTTACGGAATAAAGCAGCAAAATTTTAATATTTTAGTCAGAATCAAAGCAGAATCTTTCTACAATTAAAATATTATATTTCAGTACGCTCTGATAGTTTCAGTTTACGACTTACATTGTTGGCGAACTAGTCGAGTATAACATATTTTACTGGGTGGGGATAGGACTGATATTAAAAGAGAATTTAAAATGTTGTTCTTTACCTTTAATCCAATTTGTCAAATGCAAAACTTCATTTCGATGCTATTACTAATTGCTACTGTATCTACCTGAGTCTTTAACGGGTAATATTTCTTCGATTTTTAAATCATCTATTGTAGTCGATTTCTCGGGTGCTGAATTGCTTGACGATAGCAATTTTTTAGGTTTTAATGTTTTCTTCATTTTCCCCCAAATTTTGCTCTTGTTCTTGGCACTACCTCGAACTATTTTACTACTTTCAGTTGTTATAGACAAATCATCACCTTCTTCAATAGAGAAGCTAGACTGAATACTATCATCAGAGTTTTTTCTATTGGATCCATTAAGATCATTTGACTCGTGGGCATCAATCACAATTTCAATTTTCCCTACTTCAGTGCTTTGGAATATCAAAGGAAACTTGATCAGTTAATTACATGATATAATACATTTATGCAGCATAACTTGCTCCAATTTTCAGTGACTTATTTAGATTTTTTACTGTCTTATGAATTATTACCGTTGCATAGACAAATCTGTGCTACTTGGCACTAATGCAGGTTTACCATCGCCATTATCTATCTCAACAATGGATGCTTTCCAATATCCAAGTCTATTGCCAACAAATGTATCGATAATATGCAGTATTTGTTCTGCTTGAAAGCTTAGTTCCTTTGCTGTCTTAGCGGTGTAGCCTGATAGAGCTCTGTAAGGAATAAAAAGGCAGGGACTATGTAATCTTTGCTAGCGTATTGATTAAGCATCTTAATATAGTCTCTGGATACTCTTTTTACGAAAAAATTAAAGATGCCGGACTGTAACTACCTGACATATACGTCATCCCATGGCTTGTTTATTAACATGTTGCTGTAATCTAAAATAGATTTAAGAAAAATACACTTAGAACCTTTGATTGCATTATTGAGATATATTCTTTAAAATATCAGTGTTATGACCAACATTACTTTACTAACTAGTAGTTTTTGTAAACAGTTTTAAGTGTCTACGTAGTATCAACTAAGCATAAAAAAAAGAAGTGGATTCTAACTTGAATAATTTTGCACGACGGTAGCTAAAGGTGAATTTTCTCTCGAATTAAAAATAATTTCCATTTCTTCCCTTGTCGCACCCCTAGTGTTAATGCCTGCACACTAGAAATTAGCGGTAGAATAGTTCATGACATTAACTCAATCAGTACCAATTTGAGATCATCATCAATCTGCTTGTAGCTATAAATGATAATAAAAGAGTGCTTACTTCAATGATACGATCTCCTACAGCTATTCCAGCTAAGCTAGCTGATTTATCTACTTCTGTTACGAATAATCCAACTTTATTTCCACCATTAATGGTTATCTTAAAATGTTTTTCAATGACTACAAATCGACATTTACTATAGGAAAAAGAATTTGCATCAATAGGAGGAAGAGCTTATGATAAATGCTTATATGATGAAAACGATATTCAGATATTACCTACTGCAGAGACGATCTCCTGTTTGTTGGCGGACTATAGATTTAATTTTTATTTTGGGAGTTGAAATGAGACACAGTTTGTTAGTAAGTAGAAATGAAAATAATTACAACCAATATCTGGCAATTGCCAGATTAAAAAAAATACCTGTAATTTTAAGAAGGGAGGTAGTGTTGAGTAATGTGAATAAATCTTGGCGGGTGTATTTAATAATAGGAACTCCATTAATCTGTAATATAAATCATATTAATATTATTGAACTTCAACTTGTAATAGAAAGAATAATGAAAAGGTCTTATTTGAAATAGAATTCTGCTTGATATCTATCATTACTTACCATGAGCAATTTATCTCCACATAGAATACCTTGCTGCCAAGCTGCTGAACCAGCAGAAACACTTGATATGTAAACTAATCCATTATTTTGTGGCATTACTTGAAAGCCTGGAAAAATACTATTTGATTCCTTATCGATGTTATAAGTTCTTAGGTCCCCGTCACCGTAAATACTTGTAGAAAGGATAAATTTAAATGGACATTATTTTCGAGTATAGGCTACGGTAACTAAAGTATAGACGTGCATGTGTTTATTTATCTATATGCGGAAGCTTTAAAATAGGACTAGAAACGTAATTATTACACTGTATTAAATACAGATATATTAGAGAAATATTACTACTACAGGACTTACCCACTAAGAATACCAGCCTTAACACTATTTTCGAATCCAAGCATCGAAAGATTATTAGTATCGAATGCGTCAAAGAGATACTTTTGAAATTTACTTTTATCTTCCAGTTTTGCTATAAGTTGATTTGATATTTTTGATCTCTTAAATGTCGTACCATCTGATGTATGCGCTCTTTGGAGAGAACTGAAGTCATCATTAGATAGATTTTTCTGCAAATTGCCAGTTTCTGAAAGTTTAAATAATAACGTTTACTATTTTAAAGACTTCTTCTGGTACTAATACACTTATCTTGTAAACTTGCCTATAAAAGATAGTTGATATAGGAAAGGGAAATTATTCATTTTATAGCTATACCTGATAGCGATCGATGAACTTGTATAGATTCTACACGGATTTCTTCAGTAGATGTTGCAAATTCTGTCAAATATTGCTCGTCTGTAATTAAGCTACCATTGTTAGATAAATTTCCAGTACTGTTTGACCTTTGTGTGGTACCATCGATCTGTACAAGATTGGATTCAGATACGGCTCGATGTCGTCGATATTTACTCAATCTAATGCGACCAGACGCCGTTAATGAATTCGATTTTTTTCGATTCAATTTTGAGTTATCTGGAGCTAAATTTGTTTCTCCATTTTGGGCTGATAACTGGCTGGCCGAGACGATAGAATTTAGGGAATCTAATGATAAGTTTGACCCATAAATACCATGCGATACTGAATCTCCGCTATCGCTGTAAGATGAATATTGATCCACTAGTACGGTAATATTGTTTACAGCATAATTTTGTGTGTTGGTTGGCTATTAATTTAAGAAAGAAACCTCATTTTATGTTTCGTCATGATTATAGAGCATATAGTAATATTCAAACAGAACAATATAAGTCTAACCTTGGATTGATTTAGTTGAGTAATTTTTTTAGTTAAAGCCAGAGTTAAATGTTTTCTATTTTTTTTCAATAGTTTTTCAACTGATGATATGGACATATTATGTATTTTTTGCCCATTTATAGCTTTTAATTTATCTCCGACACTGAGGCCAAAGTTTTCTGCTTCGCTGTCTTTCTCAACTGATTTAATGATGTATTCACCTTCGACTGTAAAGCCTAAATCTGTAAATGGATATCCAATGGATTAATTGCAAAAATTTGCTTTGGGTTGGAAATAGTAATGGTATTTGATATTCAATTATGCAGTATAATATAAGTGCTACTATTTTAAGGCAATAAACAATGTTTCTCTATCTTATTTACTCGTATTTATGAAGGAATACTTTTCTTAATTTTTAATAGTAAAGATTTACGTTTAGCTGAGGGGCTATTCTATTAAAAGATCTTTATATTATAATTCAACTGACCTTTGGGAGCAATGAAAGAGATTTCTTCTTCGTAGTTAGTGACTTCCCACTTTTCATCAGGAACATCGGATGACTGTAATACACAATACAAGATTTAGCTATCATAACTGTAATCTTTAAAGATGTAAAATGATGAAATGTTAGCGGCGATTTTAAAGGCTGCTTAGCGACAATGATATTCTAGGTTTCAGTATTGAAATAGATATTTAAGGTTAATGCATTATTATTTTTACCTGCATACTATCACGACGATCATTATCATTGGAAGAAATCGATTCTTGTTTTATTATTTTCCTTTTGCCTTGATATCCTGAAGCTTCCATCGTTAACTGTTCTTTATCCGTCATATCGTAGATCGAGACTTGAATCGAAGCATCGCGTTTGCTAATGGAACAAAATTATGAAATTAATTTAACAATGATTAAAGATTATTTTTATTATTTAGATATCCAGTCATGACATTGAGTCATGTTTAAAATGTAACTATTAAAAGGAAATACTATAACTGTTGAGGGAATTAGTAGGTGGATTTATATTCTTATGATCAGAGTATTACTTTTAGTTTTAAAGTACATTTACGTGGAATTAGATCTAGGCAATCTAAAAACTGTCTAAATAAAAAGTATTAGAAAATATTAATTCAAATTTTATTGGATGTCAGCAGTTGGTTACCTTGGACTATGAACAGAATTTCTTTTCTCGCTTAACGATTTTAAAGTTTCATTTTGTGACTTTAGTATCGCATATTCTGATTGTATATTGAGTAAACGTGTAGTAGTCGTTTCCAACTCCCTTCGTAACATGGCGATTTCTTCTATACGATCATGATTGACTTTGTCCGTTGTGTGCATAGTATAATCGTTTCTTTGATTAAAGCTTGCAATATTATCGTCAAGGGTACGATTGCGATCATGGCTGTTGCTAAAATCTTCATTCCCTTGCTCTTCTTCTTGTCTTAAAGTGAAGATAGCATGTTTATAAATTCTATCATCCTGGTTAAATCTGCGGTTAAGATAATCTTCCTTGAAGTTGATGTTGTTAGTAGCACTAGACTGGAATTCTGGAAGTGAATGCCTTCTTCTGGTGTTGTTATATAGATGTTCTTCGTGCTCTTTTCCGTCATGTATGTCATGGTCATATGGAGTAGGTTGATTTGTTGAATTTAACCGGCGTGGTTTAACAATTCGGTAAATGCCATCAATGCGCTTTTCTGAAGTTCTACCCTGAGTGGATCTTTCACTATGCTGTTGTTGGCTACTATTGACGGCGTAGGGTAACTGATTTGATCCTCTTTTATATTCGTCTTGGCATAATTGTAAGCAATTTCTTAATTCAGAGATCATTGCATCCATGACTTGTGTGAAAGTAATGGAATTAAATCCATTTTGAATTTCGTCATTGAGTTCATTTAACATAGAGCGCACTTCTTCTAATGCTTGCTGAGAATGTGTACGTAATTTATGATGAGTTGTTGATGGTTTCATTTTATGACTTCCATACCATGATTGTGACCGTTGAACTTGATTATCGTATCTTCTCCCTCTTTTCTTGTTGCCACTATCATGATTATTACTATGACTGTGTTGATTGTCATCTTTGAGAGTAGAAGCCTGACTGGAGTTGCTAATATTTATTTTGCTATTTTTACTGCCATAGGGATATAAGTTTTTCGATATATTGGATAGATACCGATCAGGAATGTTTGCTAAGCTATCGCTATGGGCTTGTTTTATATCCTTAGGGTCGCTATTTGATCTTCGATGAGATTGTGTAGTTTCTTTGTCACCTTTATTTACTAGCCTATCAGGAGACTCTCTTAATGCCGCTGCCATAATTGAATCTTGGATGGGATAATCCTTGCTATCATGAATTGATAATTTTCGAATCTTTACTGATTAATACTAAAATATAAAGTAAAAATAAAATAGATCATAATGATATTGTTTTAATGCCGTTATCCTAATGGTTGTATACTTATCCATTATTTATTATTGTTTAACGGAAGTAGATAGATAGGCGCGTATTAATTTGTAAGAATTTATAACGAGCTAAAGTAGACATTGGTTTCCTGAATTTTTTATTAGAGTTTAGCAGACGTCATTTTGATTGTTTGATTAAATATGTATGTTCTAGATACTAGTCAAATTAGAATAAAATGTGTATTAGCGTGCACTTCTGTGAAACAATATTATGTTAAAACTTTTTATAAACGTGATGTCGTTATTGTCAAAGGATTAGAACATTTGTTGTGTTGATGACAAGTGTTATTGTATCGATTTCTACACTTATGGGCTAAAGCTTTATTTATCCCTTTCAGTCGTCCTGTCCTTTTATTGATTGCTACTTGTGATACATTGAGGAAAATGTTTGTTGTCCAACTTTTATTTAATTAATTGTGTGTAGTAAGGGATATATTATAACCAAGTTTCTTTCCTCCAATTCTTAATAGTACGTGTAATTGGAATTGATACGAATTATCCTAGTACGAAGTAAGTTATGAGTTTGATTTGAAAGGTATTTGTCAATAATATTAAGTGTAGCATTCATTCAAGGATGAATGGTATTAAGGAGTATATGCCACCTCTGCACCGCTAACGTTTAATGATTACTCTATACAAATAAGAATAGTAATGGTGCTCGCATCGATGTTACTGTTCTTGAAATCTCCTACAGTCTAGCCTGGACAAAATAATTAAAAGTAATTAATACACTGATATACGTGCATTGACCTTACTGTCAAAATTCTTCTCCTAGAAAGTGATTAGCATCAGTTTTTATTTGAAACAACAACATCGATAGCTAATATTAGATGGTGACATGTCAACGTGTAATACACGAGAGCGAGGTATGGTAGGCACCGTGTATACTTCGTCGAGTGATTTCCTGGCGATTACTCAATCTACATATTGCGAAGACAAAACTGTATTTGATTATATAATATCTGCTGATAGTACAATATAATAAATGAGTTAAACTTCGTTTACTGTAAATTATTATTGATTACATTTGCTATGATGATTTATACATGTAAAGTTATAATTAATAAATGATTTCGTTCTCTGCAAGACGATCGTATCGTGGTCATAAAAAGTAAAAAGTATTTTCTGATGGTTCCTTAGGATTGCGGATAACAAATTTGGTGATTTTTTTGTTGCATTAAAATCTTTTTATTGTAGATTATCATCATCATTTCAAGTTGAGCTCCAATTGCAGTCTATTCATTACTCAGAATTTATTTTGAATTTGTTGAGCTTGTGGCGTTCGTTGTATATTATTTTAATAGCGATTAATTAGAACAATATATTTTACAAATAATTAAAACGACTACTAATCTAATTTTAGGATGGGCACGGTATAAGATAAAAACTATGTGTGTAATATCTGTAACGGCAGTTAAACACAACATAAAATTGGGTGTGTAAGGAATAAGATGATAGTGATAAGATTTTTTCTACGTTAGAACCATGACTTAAGGTTAACTCAACAGGAAATGAAGTGAATGATTTTAACAATAAGGAATAAGTTTATTTTTTGTCCATAATTTGGGTACATTGAAGTTGTTATTTAAAATTAATTATACACTATGACAGTTGAACCAGGAATGGAGCATCTATGGGTCGTTCTATTATCAGTGGGGTGATAGGTAAAGTTTAAGGTTATACACTAGGTGTTATTACTCCATTATCCTCGTTGTTAGAGATTTGATGGCGGTGTTTTCCAAATAATTAAGCTATGGTTCGATCCGAATTTTATGGAATATTTACTGGTGAGTCAAAGGTAGACAGATATAACATGAACTTAACCGCATCCGATGAAAGGTAAAAAAAAAATGAATTAAAAGAACACAATATGTAGACCTACCGGATCTGGTGATAATACCTTGGATTAAAAATCTGTTTTATTGGCGTTGGAGGACACTTGCTTCAAAGCGAGAGGAATGATTTAACGCAGACAAAATGTTTCGTTCGATTGAACCTATTGAATTGTTGTAATGATCGAGTAAGAGGGGGAAAAATCACTACGGTGGTTACTGATTACAGTATTGTAGATAGACCATTTTAAAGTGAATCATTCCAGAGTGTACAAAATATCTAGTACTATTTACAGCTGGAAGCGATGGTGCTCAACGCGATTGGACGGAACAATTTAACTATGGTTGGTAAGATTTTAGCGATTTCAGATTACTCATGACATAATATTGTTGCATATTCTATTCTAGCAATGGCATGCTTTGTTATGCATTTAGTAGCATAAATTTACTACTAGACAATACAATCCTGCATGAAAAATGAGTCTCAGTATAATAGGTACCACTAAGGTAGACGACTTACCTTTGACCAAGGGACTCGGTTACTGTCGGTTAGAAAATTGATACTGTTTACTTGAACTGATCTAATTTTGTGCTTGATTACATTGAAGATGGAGGGATACTAAACCTTATTGTCCAGTTAAAACAATTCATTAAAGCAACAATAGCAATTCTTTCTATTAGCATGTGACTAAAGTCACTAAGTGTACATTTTATTCTTATAGCATTGAATATAATTCAAGCGACAAATAAATTGCGTAAACAGTCCAAGTGTAAAAATGCCTTATCATATTCACTGGACAATAACGGTTAGGATTAATTAATAATAACATTAGCGAAGTGAAAACATGCAGTAACGTGAAAGATAAAGGAGAGAGAGAATAATATCTTAGTTTAATGATATATAATAGAGTTAGAATTGAGTTTTGCTGACGATGAGAGAGGAAAAGCACCTTAAGTTTGAAAAGTGTGAAATTGAGAGAAAAGGTTTATTTATGATCCGTAATAGTGGATCGTACATCCGTCATCTTGATACACGCAAATTAGAGTCGAGGCTGACTGTTGCAGGTAGAAATGATGGTGAATCGTTGTAATAAAGAGGGAGGGATTATCCCATTTTTCTTCCATTTGTGTTTTAAATCATTTTATTATGATGACGATTGTTTTGCTACAATAATAAAATATTGGTATGACTAAATTATGCTCTCTGTATAGCATACACAGAAGAAGCCTTTTAAGTTGAGATTGTGTCAATAGGTTACAAATGTGTGTCACAATAGTAATGCCTAATAGCAGTCAGTTGTATTTTAAGCTTTCATTTTTTGATCGGCGAATTAACTCTCTTCTCTCGTCGTAGATGGTGATGATGTCGTCATCATGTGTAAGTCTATCATAAATTCATGAATGACTGCAATACACAGACGTCAAAGTCAAGAATCTTCTCGGACTAGATTGCTCATCTTTAATGGCAAAATAGTTGTTGCCGTTACAGCATTATTCGAGCATGACCTGATATGTCTTGATCATGGTACTATGTACAGTGCAATCGTTCGTTAATTTGTCTTATTTTTGTTGACTGTAAACATCATTATAAGAGTTTACCCATGCACGTAGTGTCCTTACTATACTATTATTATTCGATGGCATTCATAAGGCACACACACACTTCTGCAATTTGCAAAGAGCAAGACTGCCAATAATTATCTATACTAGGAATAGTCATGATTTGGTTTCAAAATGAAATTATGTTTGTAACTAATTCATTAATCCAAGATGAAATCTATGTGTGCATTGAAGACGCCTCTACTACTGTAATAGTTTATGATGAAAATGATCAAGCTTCCATTTCATCAGAAATGCCCTCATCCACTCTATCAACTATTCATTCCAGCATTGGCAATGTTAATACAGCAATGCGTGTTGCATTGATAGACATTGCTTTCCTGTTGAAAGAAGAACTTTTATTTATTATTTACTAGCAGGTCCTTTTTTCCACCTATATCCATACTTGAAAAAGTTGGACTGCTTTGCATAGCATTAGAAATAAACAGAATGCAATCCATAAATAGCGCATATACAATGTTGTAGAACAGGAGATCCAATATTCTCTCAGGTATGATTGGTTTCGGAAAATGGAATAGACTACGCGTACTGTATGTACAGTACATTGGACAGTAGGTCTCCAGTACCGTCGGGACTACCACGCTTTTGGATGTACAGTACTGTACTGTAGTGTACGCACAGTACTGTACAGTATACTGTAGTACAGTACTGTAAAGTAATGTCCAATTGTCCATTGCAATGTACAGTACATTGTACTGTCGACCAGATGAGATCAGAGGACGTTCAGTCAACAAGTCTCAAAGAAAGAAAAGATATGGGACCGAACTGGTTCGGTCCCATATGGTCCGTGTGTACGGTGGCCCACGGCCGGCCACACGTCAATCCATCATACCGTGCCGTACTAGAATCACGTGAGTGCAGTACAGTGTACAGTACTTTACACTACAGTATAAACACTGTACTGTACTGCTATACAGTACTACTCGATCAACTACAGTATGCTATACTGTATGGGACTACTGGATTTTAATGACTTGACTATAAAATACGGTACTGTACATACTGTACTGTATGGAGCAATCATAGCAAGGTTTTCAAGTCAAAATACTGAAGTCCTCTGTGGTCAGAGGAGTGCAGAAAATAAAATAGAGCCAAGAATTGTTTGGATATTTCAGCAGATTAGCAGGATCGCTTAAAGGTGAAAAAAGAATCAAGTAGCCAGAAATTTGACCTACATTAGACTATAATGGAGGCGAAGCAAGACCCGACTGCTCCTGATGAGACAAATAACAATTTAGAGGCTCTGTGTACTGATATGTTCACTAAAAGTACAAAGTATCTTCAAGGTGAACTAAATGGTAAGCGCAAAGTGTGATGTAGGATTACGTTGTAAAGTAATATGGGATAGGCATACAGGACAAGTACGCACGCAGAAATTTATAACGCCAATAAGTAATAAAAAGTCCAACAGAGTTGCTTTCCTTTTATGAATGGAGGATAAGGCGACCATTGCTATGGTATCAATCATGGACTTTGTGCCGACAGTATGAAGTACAAGCGTCTGATCGTATTTACAATTATCCACAGTTATGTACAGTGCTGTACAGTTGATCATTTCCGCGATGATTGTTGAACCAAAAGTATAAATGTTGTGGTATTATGTAAAATAGACTAAATATACAGTATTCGAAAGCATACATTACTCTCTTGTTGATTATTCCAAGCGATATATTAGCATACTGTTAACACTAGCGGATGTATTCGCTCTGTCTTGTTTACTCCTGCTATGTAGTCTCTTCCGATATCGTATACACGTGCAATTGTGCATGTATTCTAATTTTCTTATGATTGTTTATTTTTAGCTACTGTTGGCGAATACGAGTTGTTACACGATCTCAACGATGCTGCTGTCGTCAAATATAGTGATATGGCCACGCTGGTGGGCTCATTGAAAGATACAATGCAAGATGTGAATGAAAAATGTAAGTAGAATTGATGTAATAAAGTAACTGTCGTAAATATACATGATTATCTGAAGTAATACGTTGTTCATGATAGTTTATTTACCTACTGTAAGTCTACTTGCTGCAATTATTGTTGAAATATTGTATATAGCAGTATAGTATTACCTAATACTGAAATGAACTGTAGAGAAAAGATCATCAGTCTTATCCTGCAGGAGAGATTTGTATAAAAATAGGATCGTTTGGCTTGTAATTATGACGCTAAAATTTCATAAAAGAAGACTGGATTAAGTAACAGTGATATCAAGGAGAGCTAACTCTTTGCATATACCTATTGTAGATGTTAAACTGCTACCCTATCTGAAAAAGATCGACGAACTTGAGAAAAGTATTCAAAAATTAGAAACTGTGGCTAAGGATCTTGATAGTTATTCTAAAAGACTTGGTATGATGTCTATGAAACATTTGTAGTCTTACTCTCTGGTTATATATCAGTGCGTCTGCTTGACGCTAATCTAATACAATTATGATGTAATAAAACAATTGTAATATTATCATACAGTTATATCATGGGTGTAACTACTTCGTGTATATCTAATAGTACTAATTCTATTAATTTTTTGTGCAGAGATGAAATACAAGAAGTTGGTCAGAACGTAGCTGTAAAATGCAATAATATACTAAACTGTCTATCCTGTGTAGATCTTGAAAATTTATTTCTACATTTGAATTATTATCTCGGCGTACTCAAGAGATTTCTAGCAGTACAATTTATTCTAGTAATTGAATTGTAGGTACTACGTAAATGTATATACTAATACTCTTATATAGTAGTATTATGGTAATAGCATATAATTTTCGAATAATTTAGTTATGATTGAACTCCAAGCGAAGAATATATGTACGTTCTATTATTAAACAATAGCAGTTGTTGTAAATACGGTGTAATAGTATTAAATTCATTAATAAGTTATATCCATAATCGAAGGATGATATTGTATTCTATGGCTCAGACTTTGCCATTTATAAGAATTCATCGATTCTGCCATCAGAATTGGTCAATTAGTACTTATATTTTAGTATGATGTAAACATACAGCATTAATGATACTAATAGCAGCTTTTGTTCTTGGTGATTGCATTGCTTTTCCATTTGTATTTTTCCAATTCTAAGTTCAAGCGAACCTAATTCTCTGATAATTTCTCATTCGATTTACGAGTACCTTCCATATTTGCAGCAATGTTATGACTTACGCACATATCTCGTGTTTTATTAAAGAGCAGTATCTGAAAATGCAATGTATGAGTACTAATAAAAATGATTACTTAGCAATTGACCGTCTTTGCTTGTCTAGATTAATATATATGAATATACCCGACTGCGTTTCTGTTCAGTAGTTGGATTTGTAAAGCGTAGTCATCATTCGTGAAGTCCCTACAACTGTTTTACCTACGAGATGTACGGTATAGCATTGCAATGCATTGCTGGGAGGTATCTGTATGCCGTGTACACAAAAAAATGTCATTTTATCTCAGGCGTCCTCTCTCTATACAGGGATGAGGGATATGTGTAAGGACAACGCAAGTTAATAAAGAAATTTAAATTCAGAATATTACCGATTTGGGCATAGCGCAAGGCCCAGCTCCTAGTTAAAATCTAAATTTTTTGTCATGATTAAAGTTCATAGGATCGCTTTTACTCAACATTTATTTAGGCACTAACTAACTAATACAATTATATATTATTTCCCAAGCCTCCGTATAATCAATCTACAATACTGTATAAAATTGTAAAATTTCAAGACATAACCTTTCTTGAAACCCTGTAAACATCGATAATTAATTACCTTTTTGTATTGTTAGTGTAATTAATAACTGCATGTATAATGGGCATACACCTATCTCATTTTTATATTTGAACTGCAATTTGATGTCGTCATTATCATTCAAAGTTGCGTATTCCAATTTTGAACTTCGTATACAGTATCTAAGCATAAACTGTGCAAACTGGGCTTCATTATCGGTATACCGTACTATAAGTACCCTATCGATGATGAGTACTGCGTAGTCGATCTCTGCAAGATATTAAGAATTGTTCATCAAGATTAATTAATGTAGACTACGCGCCCATTGTATATCATGAAATGTTTAGCAGCTGGGGGCTGGACACTAGTTCATTATTATGCTAGTAGAACTTACGCTTGGTTTACTTGGTGTACTGTATGCGATCTGTATGTGCTCGTACTTGTCCTTTTTTAGTTGAACATACAGTCTACTATACGGTAGTGCACATTGTATACAATACAGCATAAGAGCCATTCCCTTACGAGGTTGGAGAGCAAGTTAACTAGGGGACTGCTGGCCTGGTTAGTAACACCCAGTTGTCTGTTTATAAAACTGATCAAAGTAAGCAGGAAGACTTCCGAAGATTGTCAAGGTATGTGTGAATGGAGGAAACTATGTCTTATTCAGCTCGTGTGTATTGCGTAGATATCCATATACAGTAATTTACTACAGTATTAGCTAGATTAAAGTTGCCTGCTGGCTGTGACTTTACTTGTTACCTTACTTTAAAAAGTTTAAAAAGTGTTTGTGTATATATATATTTTATTGTGTTGTCTATTGTACATACTAGACGATCAATTATATTATAATTTATATAAAACTTATGAGCTAGCGATTGAGTCAAAGCTTAGATTATTATTTTTTAGCGTACGCTCTTTACGCTGAGGTTTTGCTTTATGTGCTATTGCATGCAGTGATTGTGTCGATCGATCATTGCAAGTGCATCATACTATAAACATGCTTTCCTGTCAACGAGGATTATCATAGAAGGTTTAGCAATGAGCGCGCCATTTTTTTATCATCGAAATGGATGACATCATAATGACTTACTCGTACAAGAGCGTTTATTAACTTTATTCAGCCAGTCGGTTGATATCTTTTATAAGCTTTATTATTCCATTTCTTCGACGCTTTGAATTTCAGATTAATTTTAATTTCAGTGTACTTGTAAATTGTAATAAGGGCGTAAATAGTATACGTATACACGTATATATATATATGTTATATGTATATATCATATATACATACGACTATACAATATTTATATACAGCATAACATATATATAAGTACGTGGCATTACCTTATCATTCATGATGAAGGAGACATAAGGTGTGAATTGTAATTATTGCAGTCAATACATTCAATGTTAATATGCTCTATGTAGGTAGCATGTTTTGCAGTTATTTTTACTGTTTATAATTTAGAATGAGAATTAGTCTTGTTCAGTTATCTTATGCAAGTATGCATTGACCCTTTGGAGGGGAAAAAATTAAAAACTTTTCTCTTATTGATTCGCTACGGCTGTCAAGTTTGCCATACTGTACCATAGTCAGGAGTCACACTGCCGTGCAGCAGTGAGAATGGGACAAGACAAGTTTACTAGTTAGTTTATAGTAGGGAGTCTATAGAATAGACTCCATTATTAATGATCTGTCTAGGCTGCCAAAATGGAGAGTGAAAATTGTCATCAGGCTTCAGATCGGATAGCTCGCGCAATTTATCACGTATTGAAGTGATATCACTGAGACTAAGAGCTATGGGCAGAAGGCGTGCCTTTCTGACATTGAGCATCTTATGATTGTTGATTGTGTTTGATTTACCGTAGGTGGTAATATTGACCAGTCACACAAATTAGGCTATAACTGTTGGCTAGTAAAAGTGAGACTTGCTATAGAGATTAAAAGGAATGAAAGTGCTCTCATTTTAGTAGTCTATGGTATTAGTGTTACATTAAGAATGGTGTTTTTACTGTTATGATATACTATAGGGGATGATAAAGGAAGTTTTATATCATACGATTTTGTTTACTAATTAATTATCATAGTATGAGCGGGAGGATTTAGTATTTAATGTTACTATGATCCTAGTCAAGGCTTCGACAATCCTAGATATGAATTTAATGAATGCATGCCAAATGGATACATGGTAGTGATACGCTATTAATATGCAGAAGCATAAATGATCTACATTGTAACTGTAATAAATATAGTACGTACTGACTATTAATGAGTTGCAAAAATACCAAAAAAGTCGCGTAATGATAAAAATTAAATTGTATTAATTATAATAACAGAGACTTCTAAGCTTTTCTCTTAGAAGTCCTTAATTATGACGTATAAGAAAGCTTGTAGAAGGTAACTTTTCCTTGCTAAGTATGTGCAGTATCTACCAGCAAGTCATAATTAAACATGAATATTACTGTTAGCTTGAAAAATGGATTATAATTATACGGGTGACTAATTGACTCAATGAAACAGAAGTTATATCTTATTTCACAAATATTAATCAATTCACATGTCAACACGACTATCACATTTATATGGTAATCTTGCTATGCTTATACGTCGAAATACAGTATGACTGGAAATTGCTCTTAACTTTTAATAATTGCTATAGAACTTATTATACGATATATTAATTTGTAACTTATCATACCATCTTTCATAAATTTTTTTAACTATTGCTACGTTATTACCTCGACTCATGCATAAATCCAGACAAGTTACTCTTTGTATTCATATTTTATTCTAATGAACGTCATCAATAACATAGATCTCCAGTCAAAGAGTATTAATCTTTAGAATCGTAACGCCATAACTAGGACGTAATTGACTAAATTTTTGAGTCTGTAAGTGGATAGTCATTTCTGTAATTGAAAACCTATTCACCCATCTAAATAATCTTTAGGACGGTACAGTTACAATACTTATTTTATAGAATCTAGTTTTATGAGAAAATGGAGGATTCGTTGGATATACCTCTAACATTTTCTGCACTTTGCAACAACATATTTTTAAGCTATAATGGAATATGTAGGGCTAACGACACTAGCTTGCATGGAACCTGCGATTCTGGTATGAGTTATATGTCATTAAATTGCATGTACAGTATTGCAATACAGATACGAGATGATGACTGTGATCTTTCGGCAGATTATGTTCATCACAATTGAAAGAAATGACAAGAAAATAACTTAGTCAAAAAGTAGTCTCTATTGCAGTACGTGTGAGGAGAAAACTATGTAAGGTTATAGGGCGTATAACGACATAAAGTAGTCGAATAACTATAGTAAAGTAGAGTAGGTAAAGGATGTAAGCTTAAGGTGTAATTTGTAGAATTAACGGACGTGATAGATATATGAAGATAGCTTTTATAATGCAAGAAAGACAACAGGAGGGAATTATTTATAAAATATGAATGACTGATAAGAATATCTTCTCTATGTTAAGGTAGCTCTACCATATAATTCAACTAGAATATAAAGAGATTTCCACTGTATAAATTGTTAAATATAAATTGTACATATATGAAGTTATACTTCCATGTCGTGGACAACAACTTTTGCTAAGAATAAACTATATCGTATTTAGAAGCATACGTTACAATGACAAAACACGATCATAAAATCTTAGTAAGCATAGCATTGATACTTTTCCTTTAGCAAGATGTCTGGACGTGGTGGTAAAGCACGCAAGAAGCCTAGTTCTCGATCAGCTCGAGCTGGTTTACAATTTCCTGTGGGTAGAATGCATAGGCGATTGAAATCTTCTACGCATCATTTAAGAATTGGTTCTGGCGCACCTGTTTACTTGGCTGCTTGTATCGAATATTTAACTGCCGAAATTTTGGAACTAGCTGGCAATGCTGCTCGTGATAATAAGAAGTTACGTATTATTCCCAGGCATATCCAATTGGCTATAGGTAATGATGAAGAACTTCACAAGGTAAGAAAATTATGATTATATCATAATGGAGTGGTTGCTTTCCTGAAATGATGACCTATATAGAATTAGTAAATCAGTTACTATGATATACAAGATTAGAGACAGTATATATCACTGTGTAAGTCTTTGCCGTAAGTAGTATTGAAATGCCCGTATTATAAAGGAGTTTATTGCTTGATAAAGAACGTAACATCTTCCTTGATCGGACATAAACTCTGATGGAACATAGAAAAATTCTCTTGAATGCGCGAAGTTTAAGCTTACAACTATGCTTGTACGTGAAGTAGTTTTTTCTATAATTTCGCTTTACTTGTAATAAGACTTTACTTTGGAGACAATGAATCGGAACCAGACAAGATATTTTAGACTATAGTACTAGACAAATATCATTAATAACGGTACAATTTTTACCTACGGCATGGTACTATGTTCGAAAAGTTTCCGTGTAAACATTATTATACGATTTTATGGACATAAGTTGTTTATACACACTACTATAGACCATGGTACGTGCTTTCAATCCTTAATTGTTAGCTTAACTATGATCGTAGACAAATCTGCGAGATTAATGCTGAAACTTAAATGATGGTTTCAAATTGTCTTTTTTAATTTGCCCTTAACAGCTACTGAGCGACGTTACAATTGCATCCGGAGGTGTGTTACCTCACGTCCATACTGAACTTTTATCAAAAAAGGCGAAAGGAGGCGGCGCGTCTGTAGCAGCTGCTGCAGCTCCAAAAAAGAGCAAAGTCAGGGTATCAAGAGTTGGTAAAAGTACTCCTGCCAAATCGAACTTTTCTAAAAAGAGCGGTAGTTCTACAAAAGCGGTGAGATACTCTTATTTAACCTGTGTGTATACACATTATTTCCAAAGTTGTACATATTTTTTATATTATTGCCGACGATTGCTTCTTTTGTTTCGTCTATCAGTTATTTATTCTCCATTTTATGGATATCTATGTAGAGTAAAAATTCTGAGGTTACTATCCTATCAGAGAAACAACTCTTTCTTGGCCAGAAGGTGAGTTTAATGATTCTATGGCTATTCAGGTTAACACTATTGATAGCTACTGAAATAGTTATTAGTACGGTTTCAGCACAATACCTTATAATGTTATCGTAAGCTTTAAAATCTGGGCATATTTTAATTCTATAGTTTATTTAGATTGTCTGGCTAGTAACTTGACGATTATGTTTGATGCAATGTTTGTTTTCTCCATTTGTTTCGTTATATTATATCAGCTAATTGTTACGAAAGGTGATATTACGAAGATTTCTACTGATGGTATTGTCCATCCAACATCTTCTAACTTTAGCCATGCTGGAATGATAGGTAGAGAATGTTAGAGCTTGATACACGATTATGACTAGTTGCTACTAAATGAATCGAAGTCGATTGGGCTCTTGATGAGTTAACTCTGGACATTTAAACTGTAATAGGAGGAGCATTGAGTTCAGCTGGAGGGAAACAATATATGGATGGTGTTGCGAAAGTGGAGCAAGAGACAGGGAGTTTGCCTGTTGCTGGGGGTATATTAGCATGTATTTTAATTTACTTTAAAATGCTATTACTGTACATTAAACCTGAATTGCAATTTAGAATTTTTGAAATTATAGCACCAATTTATATATCTTTCGTATAATTTTTTAACTCTATTGTAGTTACTGGATCGCCTGCTGCCAACTTATCGGCACAGGAAGTGATACATGTCCATAGTCCTTCTTGGGGATCTACTGACTGTCAAGGTAACTTAGAAAAAGCTGTTCGTAATATCTTGGATTATGCAGATAAAAAAGGGATGAAATCAGTTGCTATTCCTTCTATCGGAAGCGGAAGGTGAGTAGATTCGACAATATAAATTTATAAATGAATCGCTTGCTTCATGAAGCTGAATGATTTATAACGTTTCTATGCATTTTAGTAACAATTTCCCGAAATTGACGGCAGCTCAAATCATCTTGAGATCCATTGCTAAATATTTCGTTGGTGTAATGTCTTCATCACTCAAAGAGGTCTATTTCGTTTTATGGGATGAAGAGAGTATTAATATTTACACCAGCGAGCTGAATAAACTAGATGTATCTGGCTAGATTTTTATCGCTTACGAAAGTAGCTACGCTACATTGGGTTGCATATTATCCTCAGCCATTAGCGTAGTTTCTGACTACTCTATACAGGAGCTCTAGTATTACGCTCATTAACGAGTTAGGGTTTGTTTTGACAATTGTTTGCCTGATTAAACTTAGCCTACATTTTCGTTTTTAAGGTTAAAGGGTCAGTATTAGTCGCTAAGATATGCTAGTGGCTTTTATAACGATAGTTGACTGATCAACAACATTTTAATATTTAGAGTGATAAAATCAATTATTAGAATTGTATATGGCTACAGCATTCAATAAATTTAATATTTAAACGATAAATCTTGATTCTATAAATTGAAATTGTACTCGAAAAGCATTATTATATAGTGAAATTATGGATAAATATCATTAAGATCATCATCAAAGTCGTATTTTGATCGAATATTTTAATTTAGATTGCTAGCAAGAACATTAAAGATTAGGAAGGTTGCTTCAACACCTTGCAGTATCAATATTGGATTTCGATCGTTCTCTTATTGAGATACTTGCATTGCTATTGGGGTTGGCAGTAATTTTGGCGATTTCTTTTGTGATTAGCATTCGATTGGAATTACTGGTATGAACGAAGAGATTAATACAGTACAACAAATGTAGATTTTGAGCTTCTATCTCAAGTCTGGAGGGATAGTTTACTTTATGTTGAGATAATGCACTTCCATTAGAGAAAGTTTAAATCTTCATTAAAAAAATCATTGAGAAAAGATTAAATCGCTAAGAATTTGATTTATACACCTATATTAGGGCTATTTGCCTATATACTGTTCAACATACATGTTCTAATTTATATATACGTACGGTGTATTTGTCCTTGGTATATATCAGTAGTCATGAAAATGTAGTGAGTAAGTATGAACTACTGATCTCTTTCTACTAACGTATTAGGGTTGGTGTTAGATCATTGATATCTATCTCTATTTCATTAGCGATTTCGATGAGTAGCCTTTTATTTTACTGTGGATGTGAAGTATCTAATCCGCTCATTGGCATTTAGAATATTGCAACGTAATTTTAAATTTTGTAGCATTTTAAATCTTAGGTGACAGTCAGCAGTTACTTCGTACTAGTATTAACAGAATATAGCGTAAGATCAGATTTGACTGGCACTTTCAATATAATCAAAGTCTCTCTGTTTATCTCCTAGTATGCGGTAGTACTGCCGTAGTAGTGGTTTATACTACATAATGAGGCTCTGGGGGCTATGATTAGACTAGACAAATATGAAAAATTTTGTCCTTTTTATCAAACACTTTCCCGACAGCTAAATTTCAAGATTAGTGTACTGTACTACTATCGATGGTGGGTATGAGATTGCAGTAGAGATTGGAGTATCTCAGGTAAACTGGCATTTACACTTTAAGTGGACGCCAAGAAGCTAATTAATAGTACTGATAGGCTTACATAAACGCTGCCTGAACGTTTTATAGATTCATTCTTATTCTTTTCATATATGCCACGTAATAAAATGATCATAGCAAGTAAAAATGATTATCTCAACTAGTATAAGTTATATGTATACCTATAACATATACTTTAATAAATTTAGTAGCTAAGGCTAATCAACGCTTGCATGATTCGTTTATAGCTTAAAAATATAAACAAGTAATAAGGTAATAAATACGATACAAACAACAATATAGATAAGGTAATCATTGGGTTCTGCCTGCTATAGTCACGTAATCAATTCCTTTTTAGTCTATAGCTTTGGCGAAAGTCGATTGAATTTGAACTAACTTTATCCGTTATCAAATTGTTAAAAGTCTATTTTGCTGTAATAGAAAGTTGAGTAAAATATGCTTTGGACTCATGCGACTGAAAAGCGCAATTCTGTACACTTTATGTTAAATGAATATTGCAAGGCACTATCATGCCACTGTCCTCATTAGAGGATACATGATTGTGAAATTAAATTTTAACATATTTGGATAGCCAATAATCAGATCACTGTTGTACAGTATGTAGAGAATACAATGGTGGTGATATCAGTGTTGATAGTGAAAAGGTATGTTTTCACCAATGAGAAGTCGTTGTAGCAAGTACTACTTGATTTATACGTTAATGATTGATATAGTTATTTTTCTGTTAATCTTAATGAGCTATAATGATTTTGGTGGTGAAAATTGATGCTTTGAGTGATGCTAACTATCGCTTTGTCTTAGCGACTAAAAGAGCTGATTAATTTGTAGTGTTATTCTATTTCCTGCAATAGTCACAGTAGATAAACTTTACCGAATAGTAATCGTATTATGCATTATCGATTATCAAAGTAAACAACTGCGGTAAGAAGATTTACCTACATTACTGGTTCTAATTGGTAATACATTGTAGCTATTAATGATTAGTATGTATTGTATTCGTACAGTATTATTAATCATCTCAGTACGATCTTACTGAACGCGTATTTATGCTGCGTTATTAATTAGCTGATTGTCAAGGTTAGTGGTTAGCAGTAATAATGTTAAAAGCTTATTCAGTTATTGAATACGTAAGTCAAACATTTTTATTACGTATCTTATCATACGACGCTATAATTTGGGGTAACTTTGCAAATATGAATTACAAAGCTACGAAACAAAATAAAAAAAAATGATACCGCAAGACAGTCCGAGAGCCTGAAAGGCCTCAAAATGAAATAAACCAAAAAAAAAGCGGGAGAAAAACTTCGTTGCCGTAGGTCTTATCGGCTGTAAGGGTGATAACCGGATGCTTGTGATCCAGTATATCCAGCGGCTCTGACTGGGCCATAACGGCTGCTAGAGTCTGTCAAAGTTGAAGATATTACAATATTTAAAATCAATTGTTTAATGGCGTTACAGTTGAGAAATATGCAATAGTACTAGTTAATATAATGCTCGCCTGGGTACGACGCAGATTCTCGTCCTCGTCCTGCACCACTAGCCACAGTACTATTAGGACTGCTAGTATTACCGTATTGAAAATCAGCAGAGCCATAATTTCCAGGATAAGCAGCTTGGTAGCCTACATAGGCAGCGGTGGTAGTATAACTAGGATAAGCAGCGTACGGATATCCTTGGTAGTAATTAGGGTAAGCTTGTTGGTACTGGGCATTAGGATAACCAGAATATTGAGCGCTTTTACCGCGGCTTGCTTGATCTTTTGGAGTGGCACGTTTGATTTCCACCTGCATATTTAGCAAAATAGGAAAAATGCCACTAATATTATTACGGACAAGAAAATGACACAGTACAATAGCAAGCATTTTATTGTTGTATCTCACGAACCTGGCGCCCAGAGACTACATGAAATTGCTTTTCACAAGCTTTATCTACAGCTTCTTCGGTATCAAAACTTAAAAAGCAAAAACCTACAAAATGTAAAAAAAGTTAGACAATCTAATCTACTGTTTATGCCAATCGAGTAAGATAGGTTCATACCGCGACGTTTCCTTGTAAGCTTATCAGTAACAAACTCAACATCCAAGATCTAATGTTATTGGAAATATATTAATGTTGTGTTGTGTACAATTAAATTGAATCGCATTTGCCTAGCGGTTAAGTTTATGTTTGCTTACATTTCCAAATTCGCTAAAAAATTCTTTTAAGCTACTTTCAGTATGTTCAGCACCTAAGCCACCAATAAATATCTTCTTAGTTCTATGTTGCCCCTAATGAAATAAAGCATATTTTATAATCCATGAAGAGATTATACCATGAATACTCCTCTAACTGTACTGGTAAGAAGTAGTTTAAAGCCGGTAAACATGTAAAATACGTGTAGTAAACAAGTCTTATCTTCCTACCTTAAGTTGTATTTGTTTATGAAGAGGTAAAGCACGTTTAGGATCAACCTGTATTAACAGTCAATGAATCAGAAATTGTTATGATAGCCGTATTAATCAATAATAGATTCTTCAGTCATCATTCACTACTGTGTACTTCTACGCGTATACGTACAGTTCTGTTATCCAACTGATGTGGGCCACTTTCGAGAACCTAAAGATGGAAAACAATTTTAAAGAAACACTGAGTATTATTAGTTAGGGGATCTCAGAAAGGACGCTCTGTGTTATCACCTTGTCAACGTCAGCAGGATTAGCGAAAGTCACGAATGCGAAACCCCTGTAATAATTTCGATTATGATACTCTTAATTGATTGTAGTCATGGGTCGATATTTAGTAAAATAACGATTCAAAATAAAAACTCCTATTCTATAACATGGACTTTACCTTGAACGGTGAGTTATTGGATCATTTTTAATTGTTGAGCTTACGATAGTACCAAATTTAGAAAAATACTTTTGTAATCCCTCTAACATAATTAATCAAAAGAGATTGATATCAATTTGGATGTCAACTTGTTGGAATAAACAAATCGCGATAAATTGAATGGCTTATCCGAATTTAAAATTCTAGCCGATAATAAAGATAAAAGAGATTTCAATTGCATTATACATTTTACCTTCAGTAGTTTCCCAATTTAAGCCGCCAATGAACATTTTGCTGTGAGATGAATTTATAGAGATTGAACAGAAAAGTCATTATTAGTACGGCGAAATGATGTACGTATTCTTATTTATGACTATGCATATGGTGGCATGATGCTACATTATGCAGGAAAGTGGCAAGATGCAAGTAGTGCTTAGATCTCATAACGCTACAGTATTCTTATTTGGCGGCTCTAGTCCTCATCCATGTCTTGATCAATTGTGCGTTAAATTTGATGTATCCATTAACGCTACATTCATACCGATCGTTGGTGATCATTTGCTATAGGTGAGTAGTTAGCAAGGTGTAGATGACTGTACTACACGCAACCAATGGGTTTCGTAATTTCTATCTTGAATACAATTATTATACTAATAAATAGACCTATTCTGTTGATTAAAGTGTTGTTGAATTTGATTACTACTTTCTGAAGGAAGGTAAAACGATATTGTCGAGTAGGATTACATTGTTTATAATTGGATGCCGTCTATTGATGTCGTTTGCACGTAACGCTTAGACCGTAGTAATGTTGAGTTTTCCATTAGTTAATGTAGACCTCTGTTGGTCGGTTGACTTGAAATGGATACAAATTATAACAGTGACTACAGCAACTGTACAATACATTTACTTTATTGATATTATCTATCGTTACATGTATAAGAGAGAGTTGTTGTAAAAAGGTCTAGACGTCTTTCTCTTTAACCCAGCAGATACGAGTATCATCCCATCATGTTATTGTGTCTATTTTTTTATAGGAACATTTTCTATTATGGCTCGATAAACGTATACTGTATGTTAAGTCGACACCACTTTCAATGTTCAAGATACAAGAATATGGTGAAAAGTTGTCAGTTTCAATCGTTTCATTAGGGACGTATGTGATGATTTGATCGTTAATTAAGAGAATACGCTATCACGAGTTCTCCATTGCGGCCGATGAGTGTCCGTTGAAAGTTTAATGGAAGTTTTTCAAGTTGGATTGTGATTTTGGGGTTTATTTTTTTTTTTATTTTTGACTGTAGTAAAAGTTAAACTATTAACGTGCTTCCTTTCTGATGAGATTTGAATACTGTAGAAAGATTTCGATTGGAGTATTTTGAACGACTTTGACCATGATTAAGTTTGCAGTTTGTACAAGGTGTCCAAGACGTCGATGGTTATTTTCAAGACTCATAGAAAGTCTATTACTACGATTGACGAATTTTTGATAGCATTACAGTCACTATTCGTCTTTCAATGCATCGTCAAGGAAATTTTACTTGTTGCAAAGGAAGCGATGAACGTTAACAAAAGGAATTCTGACTCTGGGAAGTAGACCAACAGTGGGAAATTTTTCTTCTTCTTCATAGTGATCGTCTACACCACTACAATAGGATTGTACCCTAGTACAGTATGGGATCATGCTATCGATCGTTGCAAGTCCGTTTTGCTTGATTGTATTATGGTCAAAGGATCGATTTTGGCTCATTTCTTGGCTATTCAAGGGTATCAAGCTATTAAGCTATGAAGAAAGTTTTTAGTCCTAACCGAAAGTACTACAACACTTGAAAGGTGATGGAAAAAAAAGAGGAGAGTTATCTAGGTTGAGCGTTCTCCATCTTGCTGACTACTGTAACGTCTGTATAGAAAAGAGTATCATCAAGGCGAAAGGGGGGGGGGAAAGAGGAAGCAAGTGTACAAGACTTGTAAACTCCATTTGCCACTGAAAGAAAATCCACTTAGATCCACACTAAAACTGTCAATAACAACACTCTCTACCATTACAAACTCTAGATATCTACCCTTCTTCGTTCTCAGCACCGTTCTTATTAGCGCCATTATCTGGTGACATGCTAGCAGGATCCGATGTCCCGGTATAAATTTCCGCTTCGGCCATCTTGTGTGATGATGTTGTAGCTACAGTACGTACGGTACCTGTCGTTGGGGTGAAGTGACAATTTCCACCGCGATGCTTGGCTGTACTGTACCCTGTGCGCAGGTCAACTGGTCACAACGGGTCAGCTTGAAGCAAGTCAAGCGTGTAGCGTCTACCGTCCCTTGACTCTACTGCTCTCTATGATAGCTAGTGTATGCGCTAGAATGGCAACGCAAGCAGCCACGGTTACAGTAGGTTGACGCCACAGCTATTGTTGGCTTCAAGGTACAGTGGGGTGAAAAAATGCCACTTCACCTCACCCTACGGTCGTACTACTCATTCACGACGACGCAGCTATTGTTGGCTTCAAGGTACAGTAGGGTGAAAACATGCCACTTCACCTCACCCTACGGTCGTACTACTCATTCAGGACGACACAGCTATTGTTGGCTTCAAGGTACAGTGGGGTGAAAACATGCCACTTCACCTCACCCTACGGTCGTACTACTCATTCAGGACGATACAGCTATTGTTCGCTTCAAGGTACAGTGGGGTGAAAAAATACCACTTCACCTCACCCTACGGTCATACTACTGATTCAAGACGCTATGGTTGATGGATGTACCCAGATGATGAGCAAGTTGTAAGCCAAACGAAGGAGAGAGTTTTTTCTCTTAGTAAATGCCTGCTCGCTGGGTGTAGTACGAGATACTCGATAGTACTGGATTACAGTGTACAGTACAGTAACTTGGCGTACTTTTAGGAATAGACTGTACTGTACACTGTACAGTGCAGCTTTTTGACACCACTGTACACTGTACACTCAGTACAGTAGTAGTAACACAAGAAAGTTTTTCAACATTTTCTACTGCTAGTACTGTATGGGGGGCGGCCCACAACCATGCAGTACTACGACCAGAAAATCCAGTGTATACTTAATGACAGTCCAAGGCAGCTAACAGTATGTTGCCATCATAGCCACTAGCGTCCACTCCAACGCAAGAGAAGGACTAGACAGTGGACACGGCCCAAAGCTGCTCCCAAAATAGGAAGGCTGACTTTTATGGGTAGTAGTCATTTTACAGTACGCTACGACTGGAACCTTGCGCCGTACTGCGCAAAATCAACCTGCTAGCGGAGTACGGTCGTAAGTACTGTACACAGTGCACAGTAAATGTACTGTACACTGTAGACTCTGCCAAGGACTACTAAAAAAGAAAGAGGCCGAGACCAGGATAGGAAAGGCTAGACCTGATTGTTGGCGATGCTAACAACGGCGAGGCTATTTGCTTTACTGGTCATTTCAAGTGTATCGCATATCTGTAACGGTACACTATACTGTCTACGTTGGACGTGCAAATTAGCTGCTATTAGCCCGCTAGCTTGGTTTTGTGCAGTATAGTATGCGGTTTCTTCGGTAGCGTGGAGTAGAATGAGGCAAAAAATGATAAGCCTGCATATTATTTTGCAATGTGGTCGTTTCTCTGTCCAGTCCTCTTTCTTTTTAGTAGTCCTGACGATACAGTTGCGTATGGCCTTCTAGATTAGGTAGTCGTGGTACAGTATATAGCGTACGCTTACCGATGGTCAGTATTGCCGACGATCGTCTCCTATCCCCCTTTGTCTTCTTTCCAGTAGTTCCTGATGATACTGTAGTCAGTTAGTTATAATATCAGGCGAGTTAACAAGCACAAGTACAGCACTGTACAGTACATAAAGTAAGGGTTAGGAAATAATCAAGTCCACCAGCCATTTTTTTTCCTAGGATGACGCCTGTACTGTACAGTGTACAGTGTACAGTGTACAGTACTGTATGTCCAATTCGACACGAAACCTTATAAAATACTGTACAGTACTCTACTGTACAGTGTACACTGTACAGTACAATACTATAAAAGACTGTACTCCCTAGTCAGTAGAATGTGAGTAATGAAATTTCATACTCAACGTGGTACAGCTCGCTCTTACTTAGTACCTTGGATAGCGCGACGACTGACTGAGCTGAGATTGTCCTTGATTCATTTTCGAGGACTTTTGAGTACTGTACTGTACACTGTACTACTGTACTGTAGTACTGTAGCATAGTAGCACACTGTCCATCGCCATTTTAATGTACCAGTGCTCCCCAAAATATCCAAAGCAGTTGTCGTACGTGACGTAAAAAATCAACTTACTCTATTAACACATCACCACACTCAATCACGACATCTCTTTTACACACAATGTCCGGTACTGTGCTTGTCCTGCGCTATGACTCGAGGTGAGTGTGAAGCCTCAAGTCAACCACACGACAGTACACTACAGTACAGTGTCAGTCACCACTTGACTCACTTGACAGGTGTACAGACTGTATACGGTATAGTACGCACACTCCATGCGCAGAGGCAGACGATATCGGTACCAAAATGGAAGGCAATAAAGATGAGGCTTCGCGTTGCCTATCTCTAGCAAAAAGAATGTTTCTCGAGGGAAACCTAGAGAAAGCTCTCAAATTTGCCAACAAGAGTAATCGTCTCTATCCGTCCAGGCCAGCTGCTGGTATAGTATATTATTTTTTTCCATATCAAATCATCTATTCTGCATACATTATTTCATTTTCTCAATTTTACCAATGCGGCTATCAAATACAAGGCAGTGAATGGAGCCAGTCAATACTGGACTCTACTCGTTTTCCAATACAGTAGCGTTCAACACGTTGATGGTATCTTTTACACCCATGATCATAGACATGACTACAGAATATACACATTAAAGTTAGTGTAATGGAATAGTCGCTACAGTCAAGCAATTCTATGCCAAATAAACGGTAGAAAAGTAGACAAATGCGAGGTGAAATGGCTGGCCACTACGCATTCGCTGTCGTCACTCTAGTTGTGTGTCAACCACGATGGATCATCACTAGGGTTGCGTAGAAACCGATTCTTCATCGATAGATTGGAAGAGTGATGAGGACGATAGTAGTCGTAATAGGAATATCAGCCCAAGGTGTAAGATACATTAATGGAATCAGCTTGGTGTTAGTGTGGATAGATACTGTTCTTTATGAACCGACAATCTACGTATTCTTACTTACTGTACAGTCTACTTAGAATGGCAATCATGGAAAGGAAATCACTTCGGCCATCTTATCGCTCGCTATCTATCCATGATGATTATTGTTAACAAACTACCATTGGATATTGGGTACATGACTGTACAAAGTGGATAATAGTATGATCCTTCTTCTTAATTGCTAATACTCTTACTCGATAGTCGGAGGAGACTATAGGCTATAGTTTTCGTCAATGCAAGATGATTAATTGAGTGTTGAGAAGGTGCTGTAGCATACGGTAAGATAAAGGTTGGAAAGGGCCGTTTTGTATGTTGTCGTCAACACGGATGACTATTACTTTGACTGTTAGTAAGGGGATTTGATCGTACTTTTAGATGTTGTAAAATTTAGATATGCTATATTGATCGCCAGGATAATAAATTTTGTATCAGTGTCATCCATAGCAATAACATTGATATGATAGATATATTACAATAGCCTAGTACTGTCTTCGAGTACTGTCGTGTATGTTGATGCTTGTTGTAAAGCTATCGAATTAATTATCATCATTGAGTAGTTAACCAGTAGCTGACATCTAGCCAGCCTAGCTTATAAAAATAATCATTTCTTACTGAAATTGTAAAACTACAACGATGATGGAAAACAGTCTGCAGTGCTCTGTTGTGGCAGTCCATCATTTTCATATCACATCGGTAGGATAGTTATACTGTACTAGGGACTTCTCTCTTGAAATGTCCCCGGTTATGCTTAGTAACCCTTTCAATAATCTTGGCCATTTGAAAATTAATAGTTGTACCACATCGGTTTCTTACTAATGGTATAGCTAATTAAATAAGATAAGAGGCTGATGCTTTATTAAGATACAGAAACTTGCAGTAAAGTGGAATATGTTATCGTACTCACTTCGTCTCTTACGCAATACATACTCTATCATACAAGGATGGTAATTGGAATGCGGGTAGTAATTCTCCGTATGTTAGATGACTCTACAGGTTTAAATGGTGACAGTATAAAATCAGTGATAAAGTTATAACTGAAATGGACGAAATACCAACTAAAAATGTCAAGGGATCCCATTTCTATCACTATCAAAGATAATAATTCGAGTGTCTGGTAATGAGAGGGATAACAATAAAGCTGCATCATTTCCAAACAGAGTTCGACATTGAAGTTTAGCCATTAAACTAATGAATGAGCATGTACTGTCCGAGTTACTATTTTATGATGCATTGTACGATGTTATAATGTGTGATTGATTACTTATTGAAAAGTCTATCTTATTGCTATAGCAAACGGTAGGAATGTAGTCAAGCATGGGTTCAAAATTTAGTTCCCCGCATAGTCAACTTGTTCAATAGTTGATGTATTGATATCCATCAAAAATAGATTCTATCCTGTTACGACACAGCATTATGTTTTAGTAAGTCGTATTGCCTATACCCTATTACGACATGTTGTCTTGATTTTGTCATTGATGCTTTAATTTTTAGAGTTATTACATGAAATTAATGAACGATCCAAAAGTGATGGCAGTAATAAGAAAGAAACTCCTGAAAATAATAATATTAGAAATAGGAAAGTAAGGACTAATCAAAGAGAAGATAACACAGCAGATAGTAATCAAAAGAAGAATTATACTCCAGAACAGCTAGATGCTGTCAAAAGGTTTTTGTTGCATAAATGATTACCAAATATTTATTATATATTAAATTCTAAAGTTAAATGCAATACTCTGATGACTAATAGACGACCTTGCTATCGGAGTATATCATCTAATTTAATATATGCAATATGCGTGATTTAGAGTTACGTATTAAATAATCTTGGCCTAATTTTTGTAATGTTGTGCGATAATCCTTTATACTACAGAATCAAAACTTGTAAAGATTATTATCAAATACTTGGCGTAGAGAAAGATGCTACCAAGGTTGATTTGAAGAAAGCATATAGAAAGGTAAACGCTGACAATGTGCAATCATGATCTAATAATCAGCTTAAAGTCTCGTTTATCTATTAGTTTTGAATTAAATTCAGTATACAGTAACTCGCTATCGTATATACCTGTAATCATACGTTGTTGGGCAAGAAAAGGAAATCTATAATGCTAGAAAAATGTCACATTCATGACGCATACGATTGTTCGTATTAACTTAATCGCGTTGTACCTCTTTAATACTACGTATATACCTGTAATCACACGTTGTTGGGCAAGAGAAGGAATTCTAATGCCAGAAAAATATCACATTCATGATGCATAAGATTGTTCACATTAACTTAATCGCGTTGTACCTCATTAGTACTACGTATAGATTGCTTTTATATAACACTCATATTTAAAAATCATCATCAGTTTTTAGTTAAAATACGATATGGTTGTAATTGAAAGCAATTTTTGATCACTTCATATAGTTGGCTCTACAACTACATCCTGATAAAAATGTGGCACCTGGTGCTTCAGAAGCTTTTAAAGGTATGACTTTAGCAATTTGCGTCGATTAAGCTATATGAAGTCTATTACCTATTGCGATACTACACCATTAGCTTAGTAGTCTACAGCTGATATTAAAGTCTAAAAGAATATGGTAACCTCAATCTTGTTATACGGTACTGCATTGTTTTGAAGTAGTTATCAAAGAGTTTTGCTGTTTTCGTTACCGGGCAGTATACTGTCAGTACAACTCTAGTATGGCTGATGATGTATTACCTTGAACTTTTGTGCAATGGCAAACTTTTAATAAACGACATCTTTTAATAGCTGTTAGTAATGCATTCGGAGTACTAAATGATGATCAGAAGAGGCGTCGTTATGATCAATTCGGAGAGGAAAAAGATGTTCCAACACAGCATTATCGTGAATATTATACTAATGATTTTGAATGTAAGTTTAATTGTATCATGAGGCATTGCGATAGTTTTGTAACTGATCGTTACATCTATATCTTACGGAGAAAATATTTTACTTTAATAATATTTTTTGGCTAATTTAGCTGATATTTCGCCAGAGGATTTATTTAATATGTTCTTCGGAGGTAGCTTTCCTTCAGGAGGTATGTTGTGCCCATTATACCGCTGTTGTTAATGCTTGTTAATTGCCATATGATTTCAAATAAAGATTTTTTTATGCGTAATGGTGTAATCTGACAATTAAGTAGCTGTAATTTTGTGCTTGACAAAGCTATACCTGTTGATACATTAAATATTTTAAAGTTTTAAACTAATGATACATCACTAAATTTGCCCCAATCATATAATTCTTGCCATGAAAGTGATGGGGTAATTAATAAAATTAAAAGTTAAAAATCTTGAATAATTGGGCACGTATGCTTCTCCATTTTAGGGCGTGTATATGTTCATAGGAATCATCGACGTAGTAGTCGCCCTAGATATCATCAGGAACAAGAAGAACCAGCTGTAAGTTCTGTTATTTACTGAAATAATTTATATTATATTAAATAGTCATTAATGGTATAGCAGCTTTGAAAGTATTTAGCTGTATCTTTGGTTTACGGTATATTATGTAATAATTTGGTGTATGATTTTTTCCTAAGAAGTGAATAAAATAACATTACGCATATTTCATTTTACGATGGTGCAACTTCGTACAACTAACACTTATTTTCGTATCTGGGGTTAGATGCCCTCATCACATGAATAAAAATTTGCGAGTAGTATACAATACATTGTACAGAATATTGTATTTATTTATATTCTATCGTTGGCTATGTACTGTACTGAGAGTAATTAGCGTTATGTTTGATGATTTCTGCTTGTATTTAGAGTAGTAACTTATTTGAAAGTGCGCGCGTTTCCGATAGTCGCCTATTTTCTAGAATTTACTTGCTAATCTCTTATTACTTTATTTTAAATTTTTTATGCAGACATTTAATTGGCTTCCAGCTTTGCAATTTGTGCCTATATTAATATTGTTTTTAATGGGCGTAATAAGCCCTTTACTAGTGGATCCATCTCCTTATAGTTTATCTCGTTCTTTGTAAGTTGACTAAATTTTCTGCAATGCCTCAATGTATTGCATTGTTCAATATAAGTTCTATTTTTTAATTTTGTTTTACATTTGAATGATACGATGACTTAACGCATTTGTAGGTATTATCCTCAGCAACGATCTACTGCTGATGGTGTTAGCTATTATGTTGCTAGTAATTTTGAACGTAAGTTCGATTCTGCCAAGATATACGAAATTGAAAATGATGTAAAAAGAGAGTACTTAGGACTGTTGCAAGAAAGATGCTGGCGGGATAAGCGACAACGTATGTTGTAATATGAAACAGTTAAACTGTTCATTTATTTATGTGCTTAGTAAATACTTACAGCTTTCATGTTAATTAGGGGAACTATTGATTCACCAAGCGAAGCTTTGGGGAGATGAGAAAAAAATAGAAGAATATAAGACAATGACTTTACGTTCTTGCAATGAATTGGAACGACTCGTGTCATAACAGACTCATTAATTAAGTTGTTGGACGCTGGAAATTATTACGTAGTAGCCTGTATCGCTGGTATCAAGTAATAAATGATAGCGTCGTAAAAGTTTTAACAGTACTCTTCTTATCCTTAATGTACGTATGATAGCGATTAGCTTTGAAGATATATTTGGTATCAACATTTTTAATCAACTTTATCGATCTTAATTTAAAATTTAGAATTCTAATAAACAACATGAATTTTTCATTGCAAATGTTTATCGATATATATGCAATTGCAATATAAAAATTTTCTATTTTACGATGCAGTTGTGTATCATAAAGGATCATAATGATATAACTGCATTACGGTTATCAAGTTACTCTGATTTTACATCTTCTTTGTCATATTGCAATGCCTTTCGGAGTTAGCTACGGTAAATTACCGACAGTGTAAATCACGCTATATCATATGTCCATGATATTTATTGCTGTACTGTCTAATACCTTTGTAATATTTCATACCCTGTGATATGAAAATCAGCTAGATGTATCTACCTAGTTATTGCTGTGCCACTTTTTTAGGAAAACTTGTTTTATTTAGATTGCATCTGTATAATTAATATATTGGTTTATTAATACGGCGTAACCGTAACCACCCTGACGGTCTAACATGTGTGGATTGGGAAACCATTGTTGAACGCTCGTTGTAAAATAGAAACTGATAACTCTTAATTGAAAATGACTTTGCATTATCTTGAATTATATAATCCGTTTGGTAATTAAAGGCCATGTACTACTGATTTGTGATACGCTAACACACTTAATTTTAAAATAGAATATTTATCGTTACAGTAAATTAAAGTCATCTTCAAATTAAGGCAAACTGTAATAAATACTTGTTATGAATATTATGAAATAGATATTATCAATAAACTGTAATTATTTACCGCCATTTTACGAGTATGTTAAATTTTTAATTAAGTTGAAGTTAGTAAGTTATATCGGTAAATTTGTAATCTAGTTAATGAATAGTATTGCGCTCTATCTGCGGCTACTTTATTCGATTCACCTGATTAGATCTTTGTACATTTCTAAATAATACTATATTATTTTTTGTGGTATAAAAAAATTTTTAACCATATAACACAGTTGTAGTTGCTATAGTTTAGAATTACTTCATGTAAAGTACTGATCAGTAGGAAAGGAATTATTACGGTATTAGCAGACTTGGATATTCGATATGACAATGATCGCCCAAATAATTTTAGTTATCACATTTACAAATGTGATCATTGTCATCAATATTTTAGCAGTTATAAGTTATCCAAAGACCATTCCGGTAGTTTGGCTTCGAACTCCCAGTCTGGTCCCTAAATTATGTTTAAGAATAGGGAGTATCATTTCCGGTTCTAGAAGGAATGGGCTATTTTGTATTACATTACTTACTTTATATTTTAAAGCATGTAACCATAAAACCATTTCTTCAGGTGTAGGATCTTTGTACGTTAATCGACATTCAACGCAGTCTTGATGGACATTATTCTCTAATGGGGATACCATCGGGGATTGATTTACATCTTCACTAGCTTGAATTTTTTCGGTAGTAATGTGTGATTCGGATTTATTATCTTGATGCTGTCTAACTTGACTAATATTTTCGCAATTTTGTGACGAGGATGAAGAGTTATCTTTGTCCAATTCATCTACGCTATCCAAGTTCTTAATTTCATCCACTTGTTTTGGAATCACATTGTCGTGTCGGTGAAACTGTAGTAATGTCAGAACAATCTGAAATAGAGGTATCCATTGCGAATGACCAAGAGTGATCACGTTGATTTACTTTACACATATTCTGTTAGCATTATCAGATTATTTTATTAGCTGTGCCTTACGCTATCAACATCTTTATCTATATGGCCAGCTTTGCCTTTGTTAGGACCCCAGGCTTCATGGTTATAAATTGGATCATTTACAATCGGGTAACCTAGCCATTGTAAATGTACACGGATTTGGTGCATTCGACCTGTAAGCGGAATACCTGTAATGAAAAATGTTAAAAGTGTTATACATATGTAGACTTTCAGAAGGTAAAGCGTACAACTATAAAAGATTGTTAACTAATATAACTTACACTTTACCAGACTGGTTTTACCATTGTAAGAAAGGCGTTGAAATATAGTTTGGCAGCTTTTACCTTTAGGACTTACACGACAAACTCCAAGTTTATGCGAAACTACATCAATCGGTTCTTTACAATCGATAGTTTCTCTATGGATGGAATGAATAACTGCCTTTAATATGATTAACTGCAATTATGTTTTTAATTATACAGTACATATACTAGTATAAACGTACGTTGGAAATTCTCCGTCGACTCGACAAACATACTGTTTTTCAATCTGCCTATCACGAACTTGCTTTTCTAATTCTTGAGCTTTCTGAAGTGTTCTTTTAGTAATTAATGTTTTCAATTAAGTTTTTATCGTATGTTAAACATTAATCTCTTGAAATTTTAATTGTTCTATAAATTACAAATTTACGACGAAATAGTGATACCTGGCGAATATTAATATTCCAGAAGTTAAACGGTCTAATCGATGAATGGCTGTATCCATGCAAATATGTCACACAAAGTAATAGGTTATCTTTAGTATTTAGCATGTCATTAAGTTAAATATCTGCATTCCTAAATAATAATACTAACTATGTAAATTTTGTAATCCGTAATCTCTAGCAAGCATGAATACCACCGAGTTATGTCGATAACGTCCACAAGGATGTACCTAATGACAGAAAGTTAATATGATAATTTAAGATATAAATTATTAATCGTGCAATATATCATCAATTATGACATGTTTAGCAGTGGTATCACATCGTTATAGGATGTATGTAACCTAGACGAATTAGCTGCCTAATCTAGTAATATTGTTAATTGGTTACAATTTTGTTTAAGAGTGATTTAGTTACTACAGGTTAAGAATATAAAAACTAAGTAAAAAGATTTCTTTCGCAAAATTATGATATCTGGCATTGTTTCGTTTACCGGTATAGATGCTGGCTTGTTAATTACAACAATGTCATCGTCCATTTTTATAATTTGTATTGGATTTGCTGTAACCGGTGGTTCATGTCTGTAATAGACAATTAGGCTAAGTCACTTAATGGAAAATAGGTACAATATATCTGAAGGTGCTGTTACATTTGAACTAAGTTCAATTTTTAAGATAGTTATAATAAAATTTATATTCTTTAGTACTATTAAGAAGATAACGGGACGTTGTAAATTGGAAAAAGTTGATCTAAAATTTGACATGATTTTATTAATTATATATTTATTTAGTTCATAATTAATTGTTAACTCGAAGGTGATGAGTTATGATTATTCTTTACTATGATGTAGAGAATGTCTGGACTTACAATAAAATCAAGAGCCTATTATCGGATAGAGACTTAGAGACACCGTTTTAATATTATTAAATTGCTTTTATAATTAAACTACAGATTTAAACGTTATAAGCTTTGAAATAAGATTTTAATTACCTATGGACCGTGTTACGAATAACATCATTATCTCGGACTATTGTATTTGCTGAGGGAATCTTGTTGTTAACTGTCATTGGATTAAAAGTTTATAAATTGCAGTGACCGACTCACATCTGAATAGATTATATACTTGTGTGAGATAAAAATGAGTTCCTTAGATTTTATTACTTATTCTTGGACGATACAATATAGCTAATAGCGCTTTCAAATAATTGCTACATTTCTAATATATTTAAAGATCGTAAATTACCACCTCAACGAATAAATTTCTTAAGTAAGACACTATTTAGATTAATAGAAGCGAACTTAAGTAATAAGGATAAGCACAATGTTTAAAATTCTATCATAAACTGACCTGTTATTTTCCCATTCTGTATTGCGTTTATCTAGGATTAGCGTGCAGGATAATATCCATATCAGTCATTAAATCGATTATGATACAATATAAGAAGTGATAAAAATTATAATTGACTGTGTCATTATCATCACTCTATATAGTAAATCATCAGTCTACTGTATACTATACATAGTATTCCACTGGGCTAGAGCTGAATTCATTTTTGAAAATGTCGATTAACTTCTTGCCAACCCATCGTCCCTTCGCGTGAGTTGTAAAAGTGAAATTGTAAGGTCTTATATGACGTAAACCTATAGTTAATGGATTATATTTGAGTATTTATTTAGTATTTAACAATATAATATACTGTACATAAATCGCTTTAATTTTCACGCAATTGTGAAATGGTACAAAAATGATCAAATTGTTTCCATTCAAGCTACAGTATCATTTTATAATCTACTAAAAATAAAGGCTATTATAATGTGAACGTATACAATTTGATTGTATCAAATTTGGCAGATGCTTGCTGACATTATATTCTTTGGTACTGTAATTACTATCAGTGTCTTACCATTTTCTATGTAATAATTGGTTTCTTGAAGGATTTCTTCCCCAAATCCCTTTTTCTTTTCTTTCGCAGCTGCTTTACGTTTTTTTCTGTCTTGCATTGGCTAAAAAATACGCAGATTAGAATAAATTACTACCATAATACTTAGTGATAGTTTAATTAATTGTAGGGTTATAGACTCGAGCTTAACCACTGTGTATGATGTTTATAAAAAAATTTTGAATAACATCGAATAGAAATAATATGATCAAATTGCCATATTACGATATCTTTCCATAATGAAAAGGTAGTGTATGAATATTGTGATCTTACTAGAATCTCTTGCAATGATTGTTATATTCTAGGTCATGTACTTATTCGTTTCTAAACGAATACCATTAAAAGGATTGATTTTAGCTAGGAAATACCTGGCTTGTTTCTGGATCGATAGATCTTTTACACGTAGAATCAGCCATTTTAGCAGTAAATATACTGGTAGCTAAGTTTGCCCTGTTATTCGTAGTCAATGCCAATGCAAGATTACGTAATGATAGATAGCCAACAGCCAGGGTTAGTAATGGTGATTGTGAATAAATTCTTGACGGGGGTATCCTTCCAAGCTCGGTTAGGCTACGATATCTGATTGAAAATTTTCTTTAGTAAAGTGTACAGAAGACAGAGTGGAAACTAACCGACAACTGGAAACATGTTTACATTCCAACAGCCATATTCAATTCTACACAGCACATTTTATCAGATTGCCAGGTGCAACTTAATTAAATGGATTAGCTCCATGTTTATACATCATCGATAATGTCGATATTATTTACATGCTCTACGTAGCAGTTAGTCAGTTACAATATTCTTCATTTTTATGCAGTATATCTATCCGATTACAGTACAACTGATTGAATAGTTTGTAGTATAGTTTATCTTTGCTGAGGTTAGTGTCGATGCTCTACGTTGCAGTTGGTCAGTTACAACATTCTTCATTTTTACGCAGTATATCTATCAGATTACAGTACAAGGCATAACTGATTGAATAGCTTGTAGTTTAGTTTTATCTTTGCTGAGGTTAGTGTTGATGCTCTACGTTGTAGTTAGTCAGTTGCAACATTCTTCATTTTTACGCAGTATATCTATCAGATTACAGTACAAGGCATAACTGATTGAATAGTTTGTAGTTTAGTTTTATCTTTGCTGAGGTTAGTGTCGTTGCTCTACGTTGTAGTTAGTCAGTTACAACATTCTTTATTTTTACGCAGTATATCTATCAGATTACAGTACACAGCACAACTGATTGAATAGTTTGTAGTATAGTTTATCTTTGCTGAGGTTAGTGTCGTTGCTCTACGTTGTAGTTAGTCAGTTACAACATTCTTTATTTTTACGCAGTATATCTATCAAATTACAGCACAACTGATTGAATAGTTTGTAGTATAGTTTATCTTTGCTGAGGTTAGTGTCGATGCTCTACGTTGCAGTTAGTCAGTTGCAACATTCTTCATTTTTACGCAGTATATCTATCAAATTACAGCACAACTGATTGAATAGTTTGTAGTATAGTTTATCTTTGCTGAGGTTAGTGTCGATGCTCTACGTTGCAGTTGGTCAGTTACAACATTCTTCATTTTTACGCAGTATATCTATCAGATTACAGTACAAGGCATAACTGATTGAATAGTTTGTAGTATAGTTTATCTTTGCTGAAGTTAGTGTCGATGCTCTACGTTGCAGTTGGTCAGTTGCAACATTCTTCATTTTTACGCAGTATATCTATCAAATTACAGTACAGTACAACTGATTGAATAGTTTGTAGTATAGTTTATCTTTGCTGAGGTTAGTGCCGATGCTCTACGTTGTAGTTAATCAGTTACAACACTCTTCATTTTTAGTAGTTCATCTATTAGATTACGAGGCACAACTAATTTAAGTTCATAGTTTGTGGTTTAGTTTATTGAATCTTTTGCTGAGGTTAGTATACGCGTATATTAACGTCTACAGTTTTATATCGTACAGAAGTAGAATATTTAATTTTATGCAATGCCAGTACAGCGGATTTCAATTTATTCACTTTTATATCTTACCTCGATTTGGCTTGAGATATTGCTGAAGTAAGAGCATTGTAAGGGATGAGAGGATTGATTATATTATAATGATATACGCGCAATTAATATGTGAGCACTGAGCAGTTGCTCGAGCTGGTAGTCATGGTTCCAATACAAACTCGGTATTGCACTATCGACTACCGAAGGTGAAAGACAGCATTTCCGGGTAACATAGCGATGAGTATATCATGTATCGTGGAGCATGTTCAGGCCTATACAGTACATTATATGGAGATTGCTCTAGGAAGGCAAAAGTGCGGTTATTAAGCACAGAAGTGTGCAGTAAAAGCTGTGCAGCAGTACAGCTGGAATGCAGCGTGTGCTCAGCTTAAAATAGATCACAACCATAATGAATTCATGAATTGATTGATTTTATTATGAAGCTTAATCAGGACATGTTAGTCATTTTGCATTTGCATAAGCATATAGAAAGAATGCTTGTAGTCATTTCGACATATCGATTCCCTTGCATTTTGGTTATCTCTTGATCGGTAATATCAACTGTACATTGACTTCTGGCCTAGATGCCAGCATGATGCAAATCAGCTTACTGTATGGCAATTGTACATCACGATAGCAATGGTACTTAAGTTGCTGTTAAAGTTCAATTCTGCAGCGTTGAGCTCCAAAGGATGATAAATTGCTGCACAAAATAATGACTTTACTAGCCACCTACTTTCATCTAATCGTAGCGGATACTATCTACAGTCTTGATATGATCACATACAAAAAAAAGGAAAAAATAGGATTGATTTTGTAGATGTGAGCCTTGAGCATCTTATGTACTGTAAAACAATGCAGCTCAAAAACAGTAGAGTATGGCAGCTAGAAAGAATGAAACATTGAAGTTTCATTGCTGAGCCCTTACTCAATTCTAGAAGATCCAAGCATGAGATCGCATGCAAAGCACATGAGTGCTGCTATAGAAGTTAAAAGAAGTGACTTCTACATCAACGACAAGCCCTACTCGGGCTTCTTCTATTTCACCATTAGCCCTTTCTCCATCTTGGATGGATTCCCCACAGACCTCCTCATGCCTCTTGGGAAGGAATGCGCAAGCGCAATTCTTTCTTGCATCAGCCACCTTTCATTCTCATGATTCAGCGGAGGTTGGCGTTGTCTTGCCGCTCCATTTCATTTTGGATCCCTTTTGGATCGCGTTCATTGGCAATTTCTCGATCTTTATCCTACAGCAGATTAATTTATTCTGCACCAACTTGTTCTTTTCTACATTGGAGAGCATTTTCAACTTGCTATAGAAGCCATAACAAGATGGACCCTAATTTGACATCAGAGCAAATCAGGCAAATGTTTATCGACTTTTTCGTCGAGAAATACAATCACTTGTTTGTACCGTCTTCATCGACGGTGCCACATGATGATCCAACGTTGTTATTTGCTAATGCTGGAATGAATCAAGTAAGTTGGATAGCGAGTATTGAATAGTATAGAGAAGAAACAGTGAGCACATTGGATCAATTTCACCGCATCCAGGCGTTATGATTAGCTTTCCATTGCTTCTACGCATACTGTATCGTATCAATCAATGACTGCCACGCAAATACGGTACTGTCATTAATTATTATTATAATTGGACAACTGCCTCTATCACTGGGCTATTAGTTTAGGCACCATTGGATCAGCTTTACTACAAATAAATCAATCAATCATGATGGAATAGTAGCGATTCATATTGACAATACTTTCGTGAGTTGCTATTATTTAACATACTCCTCAATGATTTATGGTAGTTGGCGGTAATAGAAGAATTTTCAGACGCTACTTCGCGTGTGTATCTTTTTGCCTTGATAGGGTTCATTACTGCCGGTTGTCTTGCAGTAGTAGCAATAATAATTACAATCAATTATTTATTATAGGATATTTCCCTTGGAGCCTAGTAGATATACATTATATACAGCTTTATTGATAATTGTTTTTAATATCGTTTGTTATGTGAGTCAATTTGTATGTACCAAAGTAAGCTTAACAATCGTATTATACAAATAATTGGTGAATAAGTTTAATGTAGCTGATCGACATAGAACTAGATACGTTTAATGAGCACGTAGATGGATAAGAACTCAATCCATCAATTAACTTATCCATTCCAATGGCAGATAAAATGTATAATTGTAGTGTAATATTATAGAACATATGTGTATGACATACAGTATACGCTCCTACACCAAAATCGAAATATATATTCTCTCTAGATATGCATATAGTTCCCCGACCACGTATAAAACTGGATGCAACTCTGACGCGAATTTCATAGAAACGTTGACTGTCGATATATGCCTTGCTAGAGTCATGCCTATCCTTTAAAACTGCCATACTCGTCGCTCATTTACTTAAGATGACATCTGAATTCATGTTGATATGATCATACTGTATTTCTACACTTTAGCCTGTAGGAGAACAGCTTACAGCTTAGAATTGATAGAAGATTATACTCGTGGTTATGCCGTCTAATTTTGTCATTAGTTCACTACTGTATTACAGCGGTATATCAGCTTGATTTCAGTCGCACAGTCAGACATTCAGCATAAATATAATTTGAGTACAAATTTGATATTCCGAAAATTACAGTATTATTATGATGGCAATGACAATAATGTTAGTAAATTATCCGTTACAACGTTAAATTAGTTTATTTGTTTTTATGTACGCATACATCACCGTTATAAGTTAGCTATAAATAGTTGTGGATTATAGACAAATGTAAAATTCGGGTAAGACATCAGGATACACTAAATGCAGTTAGGATAATATGGAATATCGCCCTTGATACTTTGAATCACGCGTATTTTTAAAATTTGTAAATGATGCTTGTTAAAGAGTATTAACAGTTAATACTATTTATGCCATTCTTGCTATAGTTTAAACCTATCTACCTTGGAACTGTTGATCCTAAAAGCGAAATGGCAACATATCGAAGAGTGGTTAATAGTCAAAAATGTATTCGAGCTGGCGGTAAACACAATGACTTAGATGATGTTGGCAAAGATACATATCATCATACATTCTTTGAAATGCTCGGTAATTGGTCGTTTGGTGACTTTTTTAAGGTATATCAATGCTGATCATGACTATTTTTGCCTATGAAGTACAGTAACTATTATAGCCATATGTAACATTACGTGCAGTATACTATCAGTGTGGTAGATTGACTATCCTAAATGAGTGGTGTATTAGAAATATCTTATGTAAACAACTAGTATAAATGTATTTCTTTATTTTTGAATTGTAGAAAGAAAGTATTGATTGGGCTTGGGAACTTCTCGTCGATGTTTACAAGATGCCTGCCGAACGGATGTATGTAACCTATTTTGGTGGGGATGAAAAATCCGGATTACAACCTGATTATGAAACGAAAAATATTTGGTTAGCTAAAGGGTAAGAAATTGGTATTTCCTTTATATCGAGCAATCTATTAAATTATAGTTGTATTACAGCCTTTTTTACTGCCATTATTAGTATTGCACCAGAGCGTGTGCTACCTTTCGGATTACAGGATAACTTTTGGGAGATGGGTGACACTGGCCCGTGTGGACCTTGTACGGAAATACATTACGATAGGATAGGTGGTCGAGATGCCGCTTACCTTGTTAATATGGATGATCCTGAAGTGCTAGAAGTGTGGAATTTAGTATTCACTCAATTTAATAGGTACAATTTTGCTAATAAGATATTCTCCTGGATTAGGAAAGAAATTGGCGTAATATTAATATAAATACTGTTAATTATGGAAAACATAATTGTGTAATAATACTTTAAATTAGGGAAGCCGATAAATCCTTGCGTCCATTGCCTAGAAAGTATGTAGATACTGGCGCTGGTTTAGAACGTGTGACTTCAGTCATTCAAGGGGTCATGTCAAACTACGATACAGATTTATTTAAACCATTGTTTGACAAAATACGTTCTGTAAGTTTACTATACGCAATTGCTGGTCTGCATGTCAACGATAATGAATGAGTGTATTTATGTCACGGATGTTGATGTTATCATTTTAGCTAACCGGTGCAAGAGAATATCGAGGCCTTCTTGGTGATGCAGATGTAGATGGAATAGATATGGCGTATAGGGTACTCGCAGACCATGCTAGAACCCTAACAATTGCTATCTCAGATGGTGGCAAACCAGATTCCACTGGTCGCGGGTTTGTACTACAACTTGCTTAGCCAGATATCCTACAGAATAGAATAGAATCTATGATTTACAAGATGCTATTGCAGGAATTAATTTTTAACTTTCCTCTTGATTAAAGATATGTCCTACGTCGAATCTTGCGAAGAGCTGTTAGATATGCTACGGAAAAATTGGATGCGAAACCAGGAATGTTTGCACAACTAGTCAATGTTGCTGTCGAAAAGCTTGTAAGTTGATGCATACGTAGTATGTGTCCCTATTTAATTCGTTATTCTTACAGCTTAACAAGTTACGATTAACTGCTTGAAATGATTTATTACAGGGTGGTGCGTTTCCTGAAGTCACTAAAGATCCACAAATGGTAAATTTGTTGATTATTTTGATATTGTCAATCGTACTCACATCGTGAGTATACCTTGAATAGAGAATATCAACGTAGAAGTTATATAATTATTTTAGGTTATAGATATTATCAATGAGGAAGAAGCCCAATTCTTGAAAACGTTATCACGTGGGCGTCGTATGTTTGAGAGAGAAGTATTAAAAGCTAAAGATGGCGTATTACCAGGTTGAATATATTTCTATCGTATGCTATTTAAATAATACGGTCTACCCTCGGCTCAAGATACAAATACTTTATATTTAGGTTTTGTTGCTTGGCGATTGTACGATACTTATGGTTTCCCTGTTGATCTCACTCATATCATGGCTGAAGAGAAAGGCCTATCAATAGACATGGATGGGTACGAAAAAGCGAAGCAAGATTCACAGGTAATACAGTATTCATGACAAGAGAATAACAATAAGTGTTCTTGGCTATTCGATAATTGCAACATGTACATTTTAAATAAGGAATTATCTCGAGGAAAAGATACTGGCGTTGATGATACCGTTGCTTTGGGTATTCATGCAATCAAAGATCTCGAAGACTTGGCAATTCCATTAACGGATACTTCTCCTAAATATAATTACGAATCCGATGGGAATGGTGGTTATAGTAAGCTTTATTTTATACAAGCTTTTAGGATATGATATTAATATTACGTTATTTGTCAACATAAATATTTTGCGATATTTATTTATTCTAGCCATTCATGGTATAGCCGCTAAAATTTCTGCTTTGAGATATGAAAAGTCATTTGTTAATGAAGTCTTAACTGGCAGCCGTTGCGGAATTATATTGGATAAATCTTGCTTTTATGCAGAACAAGGTGGTCAGATCTATGACTTGGGTTTCATTGTAAATTCGGATGATGAGGTTGGTAATATAATTTTGATATTGCTATTATCGCATTGATATTTGATCTGATGTTTTAATTATTTATTTCGCCTTCCAGGATACTGAGTTTAAAGTTACCGATGTGCAAATTATGGGAGGTTATGTTCTTCATGTCGGTATAACTGAAGGCACCTTCAAAGTTGGAGATACAGTACAATTGCAAGTCGATTCGGTATTATGAGCTTCTTAAAATTGATCTATACTTTGTTGACCTTCAATACTCGAATTAATTTTATTTCAATATAATTAAATATGATTTTGTATAGGAGAGACGTAGGACAGTAATGAATAATCATACAGCAACACATATTTTAAACTTTGCTCTGCGAGAGCAGCTGGGTGAGGCCGATCAACGTGGTTCTCTTGTGGCTCCTGACAGGTTAAGATTTGATTTCACTGCAAAGGTTAGTTCAGTATCTCTTCGATTTATCTTAGTACGTTTTATCATTGATGTTACTTATCGCGTTGCCAATACTACTAGGGAGCAATGACAACGCAGCAAATTAAGGCAACGGAAGAGATCGTCGGAAACATTATTGAGCAAAAACAGCAAGTCTTTGCAAAAGATGCAACACTAGCTAAAGCAAGCGCTATCCAAGGTTTAAGACAAGTTTTTGCGGAGGTGAGAGAATCATTCGATTTGTTTTCACTGTATGTAAAAATGTTTCCTATACGTCTATTTTTGAATTATGAATTGTGCGATTGAAGTTTTGGTCCATATTTTTTTATTATATTTATTAGACATACCCAGATCCGGTACGTATAGTTTCTGTCGGAGTTTCTGTTGATGATCTACTAGAGGATCCTACTGGCCCTTCAGGCTTAAAGACTTCTGTAGAATTTTGCGGTGGAACGTAAGTAACCTGATTAGCTTTCCTGCTAATAAACTGATTAATGTAAAAAAATCCTGTATGTTTTGTGTGTAGTCATTTAAAAAATAGCGGCGATATGGAAGCTTTCGTTATTTCTTCTGAAGAACCGATAGCAAAGGGCATTAGAAGAATAATCGCGTTAACTGGTAGTGATGCCAAAAAGGTACTCACGCAGAATGCAAAGTTTCACTTCTAATTTGATTTAATTTTAGAGAAATAGCACCCTTAATATTTTAAATATTATCGTTGGTTAGGCAAAAGCTCGAGGTATTCAATTAGATAAGAAAGTAACGAAATTACAGGAGAGTTTATCTGAGTTAATGAAGCTAGGTCGTGCAGATCAGACCAGTCTAAAAGCTAAGAAGCGCCAAATAACTGAATTAAATGACGTGCGTATTATTTATTTAAATTTTATTTATTTATGAGATAGTACTACTTTCTTGTTAGACCTAATTATGTCGATACTTCTTTTTCATAATTAAAAAATAGTCTATAGCAGCTGTAACTTTGCAGCAGTGGAGGAAAGATGAGCTGAGAGAAACTTTGAAAAAAGTTAAAAAGACAATTATCGATATTGAAAAAGCCGCTGACTCGAAGCGCTCGCAAGAGGTAAATTTGCAGATACTCTAAGTGTACTTGTGAAGAAATTATAACAGAGACTTGATGCTATTTCAATTTCATATTGTGTGTTAACTTACTATTAGGTTGTAGAAAAGGCTAAAGAAATAGCATCTCAGTCAAAAGATCTATCCGCAGTAGTGGAAGTTTTGGAAGCTGGATTATCATCTAAGGTCGAAATTTGAAGCGTTTGTTGATTTGGTGTCCAAAAATTTGGATGTGTTATTTAATTGAAGCCTTTTATCTTACTTGTTGTAGGTTTTGGATAGCGCATTGAAACAATTTCATTCTATTGCTCCCAATACCGCTGCAATGTTATTTTCGGTTGACAGCGAGGGCCGTAGAGTTACTTGTTTATGCCAAGTTCCAGAGGTTGGTAAACTTTGGAATGCTGTATTGATTGGTTTTCTAACATTTTACGGCGCTGTAATGAATATTTCCTCAAATATTGACTAAATAGGCTATAATGAAGAAAGGTTTAAGTGCCTCTGATTGGGTCAAGTCAGTTATGAATGTGTTGGAAGGTAAAGGCGGAGGAAAACCGACATCAGCTCAGGGCTCTGGTACAAATGTTGCTGGCCTAAATAACGCTCTAAACTTGGCTAAAGAATTTGCTAAGATGAAACTTGACTCATGAGTATTGATTTTTTAGTTCAATAAGAATGCTTTAGTATACCAATTCTCTTAACTACGATATCATCACTACGGGCAATGCAATGGAGTGCATTCATACGAATACGTATGTTGTGAAACGGCTTTTAAATATGTTTCACGGTATTTATTTGGGAGTTTTCGGTTGGTTTCACCCACTTACGAATTAATTAAAATAACATGCAAAATCCCAATATCCATATAAATACCTCTTTAAACGTATATGCATATCGTTGGTATATTTTAGATTGTCATTCTATTTTACATTTGGTATTTGTAGTAATTATTTGTTATAAAGTAGGTCTTGATTAGATATTTGTGTGATAGTTGTAAATTGGTACTGTATGTCAATAAAACAAGATTTTGACTACCTAGTGTGATCTGGTAGACTGATACTGCATGCAACACTTTCTATGATATCTCGATGGCGATGACAACTGTGACTGTAGGAAGGATGACTGAGCGAGGAGATTAACTGATGAATTGTAATTCTGCAATTAGCAGTAACTAAGTAAAAATAAAAGTTGATTTGAAGCAGTGGGGACTGCCGTCAGCAATATCATACGATAAATGATGGAAAATGTTGACAGGATGAATGAGCCATACGACTGAGTGTCGTACTTTTCTAGTCCGAAACCTGGTGCACGGACTAAAGTTACAGTAGAGACACTTAGAGTAGAGTAGAGTAGAGTACTGTAGAGTACTCTACTCTACTGTACTCTGTACAGTAAAGTGCTACAGTGTCAACTGCCGTTGGCCCACTGTACACTGTAGGACAAACCTACAGTGTACAGTACACAAAAACTGCCGATGCAGTGTCGCCATTCCTTCATAATGTACTGTAGTTCCTGGCCGTCATACTGTACTATACTGCAGTCACAGGCTTTCGTTGTCAGTGTTGATCAGGGTCAATCTCAGCCTTAAAGGGCAACTCATCTGATAGTTACTGTTCAATCGCACAGAGAATCTATACGCTTGTGGTACGAAATGGCGGGTGATACCGTAGTAGGTAAGAGATTTCATGACAACGATATCGTCTTGATATTTTTACAGATATAGGTAAACTTTCGATTGAAATTGTAACTCAATTTTAATTGGCATTTATCTATAAAGTGCCGCGTAATTTTCGCCTATTGGAAGAACTAGAAGAAGGCCAGAAGGGTAACAGTGATGGCACCATCAGTTGGGGTCTGGAGGAAGATGATGACATGACTATGTCGAGGTGGACTGGCACCATCATCGGTCCGCAAAGGGTAAGTGACGTATTTAGAAAGAAAATAGATTTTGTCATGGCGGTCAGCTTATTGAATTGCCTAAAGCCAGTAAATAAAGAGATAGAGATTGAAGTAAGACTACACTGTATCATGTCGAACTTTTCCAACTGTTCGCCGAATCTGTTGAGTACCAGTCACATTGTCTAATGAAGGCAAAGGTAATACGCCAAGACGGTACGGCTTGCTTCTCACTACAGACAACTTATGTAAATAAATTACTATACTAGTGCACTCTGCATATTACTGTACTCTGTAATGCGACAAAGGGCTAAGTCAGAATGGCTGTACGGCTATCTCTTTTTCTACTACGTGGCAGGCTGTAAGATTACGTTGGTTTATTAAACACACTATAATTATCATGGTATTTTAACCGAATAGCATGATTGCTTTTCTAATACACTTTTCGATGAGGGTTACTATCTTGATCCATTTCCGATTGATTAATACGGTATAATACGTATGTCGCACGCCTTTGAGCTACTACATCTCATCACTGACTACTTGTGATACCATAGTACCATGAGTTGTCCCTTTCTAGTACACATTTATAGGAATAGGGTTGTTACTTTGGTCAGTTTTTACTTTATATTCTTTCTGATTGATTGAATGCTGCGTGTCATTTCGTTGAGGGGATTTTTTAGGGGTACCTGAAACTACTCTGTCTATTGTATCGTACAGTAGAGTACAGTACACGCTACAGTATCAACTAACTGGACAGTACTGTTGTAGCCATCATGCATGGATGCATTGCTACCATACGGTATTGCACTCGAGTGGGCTTTTATATGGATTGGCATTGGACGTATGGCCATGGTTTGGTACCTGTAATGCAGTACTATACTCTATTCATACTACGCCATACTGAAAGTGCTAATAATTTCGCCATTCATCAATCCACTTGCAACGGATTAATTCACTTTTTCCTTTCTTATTTCAATCATTTATTCAGACTGTCTATGAGAACAGAATATATAATACAAGACTGACGTGTGGCCCAAATTATCCAGAAGAACCGCCGACGATACGTTTTTGTACTAGAATAAATATGAGTGTTGTCAATTCTTCCACTGGAGAGGTAAGAAGATTGATGTACTGTAAAAGTCTCTGACGGTAAATACTTGAAAAATATGATCTTTCTGATTTTAAATAAAAATTAAAGTAAATCTTTTCCACATTAAAGCACTTATTTACTGTCATGGAAGATGACAATATAGCAATTTTACAGTTGCTTTTCTCATCAGTCAGGAAAAAACTACTTTCTGTAAAACGGTATACTATAGTACGTGCCTCAAAATGATTAATTATCAATAATTATTTTATTGGCATCAGCTGATGCGTACGACTAGTTTTTGTGTGTGTCTCTATTCATAGAAATATACTGTTATTTAATAAAGCTTGTAGGATGTGAATATTTAGCAGTAACATGACCTTTGATAATCACGCTTAATTATGATTACTAACCGCTAAATGGAGAGTACATTCTCTATAGGAGATTTACAATCATTTTAGTTAATGTTGTTAACAGGATGTTGTGGCTTAACTCATATCTAAATTACATGAGACATGTACTTGCTCAATTCATTTGTTAGAAAGATCGGTACTATTTCCTTTTAATTTGTTTGTTTGCTATGACATAAAGATCAATTAATTATATACGATAGGTTTTACGTTCGAAAATGCCGGTTCTAGCTCGATGGCAGCGAAATTATACAATCAAGGCGTTATTAACCGAATTACGCAGGTGAAGATATTTATATTCAGTTTATACTTTGTGCTATGTTGATACTCTGCGTTTTAGTCTCCCGTCACCCCTGGAAATGCTATTGCATGATTATTCATCCTATTGTGTAGCAGTGTGTGAACCAGTCTCAATGTTAAGTATATCACTAGTTTCCTACTATTACCATTCATCAATGCGATATGTATATTGCATAAAAGTATGCTACATGTTTGTTAACTAGAGAATTCTCACACTGCTATTTCTCACTTGTATACCCTAGTTGGCGTGAACTTACGGGTAGTCTTGACATAGTTTGATGGATCGAATCCTATGCATAGGATGCTACATTAATTGGCTTTAAATAATTTAGCACAACCAAAATTGATATAAAACAATACAAGTATTAAGTTAAGTAGTAAGGGTGATTTATTTTTACAATGTGATTCACTTTCATATGATTAGTTTGTTCGATCTTAACCGATTTCAGAAGATCAATTGATAGTATTAATAAGGGTAGTATTACTGCCAGTATGACTAATGCGTATCGATATGGTTTGTAGAATTATGCTTTAGAAATGTAGTGCTCAATTCCCAAATTTAAATTTTAATATGATAACCTGGAGTATTTTCGGGATTGGCTACTAAGCAATATAAAGTCAAATTTTGATAGCATTTATGAAAATTATTGAGAATTGAAATTGGTTCTTAAGCCTCAAGCCCTTAATCTTTATGTTTTAGACTTATGTCAGCAAAAGAAAATGCCAAGGTAGCCCAGCCACCAGAAAGTTCAACTTACTAAGTGTGTATGCTGTAGTTGACTTCATTAGAAATCAATTTCGTAATTGCGATACAGTAATGTCTTACAATGGCTACTATGATAATACCATAGTAAGATAAGATAGGGAAAGTAAATTAGTCATTTGTTATTATATTGTGGTACATTGTATATTTATAGTAGTCGATAGTATGAAAAAATGTTAATCTGCCCTTGGTTTACGAATTATCCTTTAAGTATTGTAATTCTTTTAATGATTGTCACGGTAATATCACTTTTGACTCTATCTTGCAACAGTTGTTATTGAGGTGTAATACTATGTAGTCGCCTTATGTGTAAAAATCTTGCTTCCAATCTCGGTAAGGTACAGCGATACTGTATTACGCATGTACAAGTAGGTCATTTTATAGAGACAATAACAGCATGTGTTGCTACGTCCATATATAAATATATATATTATATATATATTTACACATATATATTTTTCATCCTTAGTTCTACATCCAGACTCTGGTCTATTTTAGAAAGTAACGTAAAATGAAAAAAATTGTGTAAACATCTTAACTTGAGTTGCTATAAGTTAGTTGTACAACACTCTTCTGTTCTAAACTAGTTCAATTTTATTGTAAAGGTAACGTACTAAATAAAATTTTACTGATCGTTTAAGAAGTTGGATAACTTTATTAGAATTGACTGTATCTGTCGATATTAGTCGTATCATGCTTGAAGGATGACGGATAGAGCGATATGCCATGCTATTTCGAGTCGTGTTGACATTATAGAGTGAATATGTAATGAAAGGTTCAATTTTACTCGGTCCAACTGTTAGTGATGGTGTTTTTACTACTGCTATATAATCTAGCATACACAGTAAGACAGATTGAACAGAGAATGATTTTACTGTACTCGCAAAACGTATAAAGTGTAAAATGGTAAATGGAAAATTAACAGGATATTGGTCACGACAATTTAACTGTAATTGATGTAGTATTATAAAACTTGCGAAATTGTAATTTGTACAGTATTTGACAACGAAGTCTGCATGCTTGAACTTTCTGTGAATGAATAATTGGACATTTAAATGATGATAAAGCACGGAAGCTTCATTATTGTTCAGTAAATAAATCGTATATTTTTCGATAGTATAGTCTGTATAGTGTACAGTCTACAGTACGTATTATGACACATCTATGAGGAATAGCGTTCGCAAGTACAGCAGCGTCTTTTCAGACTAGTACAAATGTAATAAATTGACCATTTATCAAGAATCCAATGGTGATGGTGCGCAGACGAAAGAATTACAATTATTACATTAGCAATTAACTGATGATATACAGTACAATACAGTAATTAGTAACTCAATCCAAAAATACCAGACCGGCGTCTAGTAAAATCAATGATTATTGTATTTTTCTCCGGTAAATTCTGGAGAATTGCTAACAATCCAAGTAACTTTTTCTTAAACGCAAACAACGACATGGAGGCATTCTAGAAGAAGAAGGTAGGTTAGAATGTTGGTACAGTGGTAGTATGTGGTGACAACAGAAACTATCGCGTGATGTTTGTTCTTACATACAGCACACCGCTGATACGCATGTAATGTGATCGCGTCGAAGAATCGAATTGTACCATAGTTTACAGCTAATACACTGTACTGTAGTAAGTGTATACGCGGTGCTGTAATTCTCTCAGTCTCTTCTCAAAAGCCGTCAGAAAACGTGTGGGAGAGACCACGCAGGTGCCAATGAAACTGCACTGCCTCTGGCCCTCTGCACTTCATTTATTATTATTTATTTTCATTATTTTGTACAGTACACAGTAGTGGCATGAGAAAACGAAAACTAAAAATACTGTACTGTACTATGGAATGTAACAACTCTTAATAATCAGTATTTGCTTATTAAGATCACTGGTTGATGCTTTTCAAAGTGACAAAATACAGTACAGTACTGTACTGTACACAGTGTACAGACTTACAACTGTACAGTGTACAGTACTGTACTGTAGAATCTTCAAAGTTGTACAGTACTGTGGTGTACTGTACGCGTATTGACGTATGCGATTGTAAGCTGTTTACTGTGTGCTGCACTACGTATTCACTGCGCTATTGAAACAAAAAGCAGTAGCTAAAGGCAGGAAATTTTAAAAATTGGTTAGAAATATAGTATACGCTATATTAAGAGTCAGCGATATACAGTAATGTACTGTATGGTCCATGAAGTATAGCGAGGGAGGAATCGACTATTCCAATAGTGAACCGTCTTCTGAAGAGAAAATACAGTAGTGTACAATACAGTACTGTCAATTTTAAGAGTTCAAAAAGTCCCTGCTGTACAGTACTGTACTGTACTGGACATACTGTAGTTTCGTAGCATGTTTTCGGGCGTCAACGATTAAACGATTGTTCAAAGGGCGAGCAATCTGATTGGTCAAACTAAAGTCACCACATTCCCCTTTCATTCATATTCGAGACTTTAGGCGGTCCACTAGTCATCATCATGAACTACGATAATTTCAGGTAATTGTACTGTATTGTATTTTTTCTATTGTACTGTACTGTACTGTATGACTAGCACAGGTGATTCTCATTTGTGTTCTGATTCTGCGCAGTTCGTCGACCTGTGTCGATTACGGTCAAGATTACGTAATTATTGTACTGTATGTACTGTACTGGACTGTACACTGTACTCTCATACGATTTCATAGCAAAGCTTGCAGTGTACAGTACTGTAGAAGTCCATGGCAACGCGCGGTCACGCACTCACGGTGGTTTGTAGTATCTTTGTACTGCTACTAACGCAACTGTGGGTCACACACAAAAAGAAAGTGTCCACTGATGATACTAGAGTGTACTGTAGACGCACAACTGGGTGGCGTGTTCCGGCTAGTACAGTGCAAAAATATACCGTGTATTTCACTGTCACTCGTATTGATAAACGGCGGCAGTTCAGACATCTCATCTGTTTATACCTTGCACACTTGCTTTATACAGCGCAGTGTTCATGTGCTTTCAATGTAGCAATCTTCTTGTCGCATGATGGCATTTATAAAAGAGATCAGGAATGGTACAAGTAATGGCACTAGTAATGGCACTAGTAATGGCACTAGCAATGGCACTAGTAATGGCACTAGTAATGGTACCACTAGCAATGGTACAAGTAAGAAGCACAAGAACAACGTTCATCTTGGAACAAAATTGACAGTGGAGCAAGTTGCGTTACACAATCGAGCGGAGGATGCTTGGGTTATAGTTCAAAATCGGGTTTACGACATAACCAAATTTCTTGATGTACATCCAGGTGGAGCTGAAATTATATTAGATTATTTGGGTGAAGATATCACAGAGGTATTAGCTTCTACCGATTTTCATCATCATAGTCGCGCTGCCTACGAATTACTAAGCGATTATTACCTTGGCACAGTCGAAGGAGCCAATATCAACGAAAATGTAAGTGCCATTCGTTTTTCAGTATTTTTGCCTGTAGCAATGTACTGTAGCGATTGATTTCCAGGAGTGACGCTGATGGCTTGACATCAATCCGTCTCACTTTTTTATTTTCTTAACCTTCCTTTTTACTCGATTACGAAATAGAGCAAAAACGGTAGCTCCGTACTGCGTTGAAGATGGCAACTCACTGAGCTAACCGTGCTAATCTATAAATACGTAATAATAATAATAATTTAAACGTATGCGTGGTATGAAAGTTGAGTAAAAGTAGGAAATGATGACTGGAATGTTAAGCCATGAAAGCTACTGTACTATACAGTCATTCTCGTCCTTTCTACGGTATAGCACAGGACAGCACTGTATACTTCCAGTATGACGTAGTCATAACCGCACGCTGTTTAGTGTTTATATAGAGCACTACACGCCCGTGTCAACCGTATGAACGACACAGCGATGACCTCGTGATCATGAGTACGGTAATAAGGAGTGCACTAGACAGGCCGAATCATGTCGTAAACGATTAAACACTGGCGTTATTAAACACTAGAGGCAAATGTTAAAATCGATGTACAAAACTTGGTTTAACATACAACTGTACCTCGAAAGTTATTGTACAATACAAATTATACAGTGCGTAATTTCATTCAATGCTATCTGCATTCGCAAAATATCCGTCTAGCAATAATAGCATAGGCTATTACAAAGTCGTGTTTATTGCAGGGTCATTAAAAGGTCATGAACTACTAGAAATTTTGACCAAGGTTATAATTTCTAGTAGATTATGGCAAGTTGTAGCAGGGACTTTTCCATAATCGCTGGTTGTGCGGTTTTAAAAATTAAAGTTAGCTCTTTTTTTATGCCACACTGGCTTATACTAGTTCAATTTAGGCTAACACATACCGTACCTGCTAGGTTATTCCTTGTGCCACACACATCATTGTTGCATAATTTTTCATTTTACAATGGAGATTAAAGGTTATCGTTGGAAATCACAAAGTGTAGCGTTGTACGAGTAATTACTCTAACTGACTTTTTTTGAATATAATAATTGACGCTAGAAGCCTAGAATTGATGCGAATTGGACTTGATTCTGAGCTATATTGTTATGCAACATACACATTGAATAATACTGCACTTTCAGACAAGGTTGTGATGAGAATGAAAGGATGTATAGCGCTGTAGTAACTTGCTTTTACGTATGAGTTGTTGAGTACTGTACTGTAGTCATGTACCAGGATCATTTACGCCAAGATATTCTACATTTCTAAATGTATTAAAAGGAGAAAAGTAATTTTATCCAAGCCTTTATTAAAAGTTTGAATTTGTAACCCTAATGCAGGATCATCCTTTGCCCCAAAATGGCATGATTTTTTATTGATTAATCTGAAGTGTAAATACGTATTCAAATCCAGTCACGTCTCACACATAAATTTTTTAATATGAATCTTTCAACTATATTGAAATTTCTAATTGATTATGCTATGTTCGTTTTAAACATGAGCTGCCAAACAACGGTTTGCTAAATCATAGTGAATAATGAATATTTATAGTAGTAAATCGCTACTGCCATTGTAGTTTGCTCTTAAGAAAGAATTTTTTACAATCAGTACAGTATAACAGTGGTTTGGGAAGGACAGTGGATTGTGACCCGTGAGTGAAAAGCTCGTAGAGTTACCAGGGACTAGTAAAAGAAAATGCAGTTACGTTAAGTTAAATACGGGCATTTTGCAATATGATCGATTATGTAGTATACATTATAATAAGGTAAGTATAGTTATTATTACAGCTATTGTGGTTGTATGATATATGTAGTGTTGAACGTCTTAATTAACACCACAGATTCAATCGCCCCTATGTTGATCCTTTGAACAATTACTGATTACACCGGTGATAGCATATACTGTATTCGTATAGTTGTGTATTGAATTTTTTTTTGAACGAGACAGTAACCGTAAATCTTTTCTACACTCGACTGTTGCACATCTAGTATACGATAGGAAAGGGAAAGCACGTACTGCGTTATTTTACTGTTAGTATTTACAGGCTACGTTTAAGGTGTAATTTCGCGTTATCGATAGTTCAAAGATGTTTAGATTCTTACCGGCTCGCCGGCTACGAATTCTAACTTACGCGTATCAAAGCAACGCTAGTCTGTACGTTACTTTAATTATTACTGTACTAATCGTCTACCAGTACTAAAAAATACGTTCAAGATCTATTATCGCTACTGATAGCGATAATAGATAATTGTCCTATTGCAACCATACAGTTGCTGATGATAGTTAATATTACTGAATAATCGAATTGGGAATAATAATAAATAATAAAGTAATAATTACAACCGCCGTACTGTTTGTTCAATGGGCTGTACGGACTGTTGGATGTCACGTTTACAGAAATAGCTGTTGTAAATCACTGCTATTATCCTAGCGGAACTCTCAACAGTACTGCACTGTAGTATAGCGTTATACTGAAGGGACTGTCGGTGAATGCTAATCTTGTAGTCACTTTTTCATTAATAAGGTACAGAGAGAAATATACAATGCAGACTGCATTGTGTTCCGTCCAGTACTGAACTCACGATCCGACTGAAAAGTTAGACTCAATTTCAAAAATTTATATCGGGAGTTGTCTTAAAGTCAATCGGATTTATCTTGCTATACTGTACTGTATATACAAATATCGATTTGTAAATTATCGAGACACATTTCAGTGTTATGTCATGATCAGTACACTTGTAATGTGTTTCTACTATGCTCGAAGTAAAATTGATTTACACCGTTCAAATTTACTTGGAGAATGAATTCAATAAATAAAACTTATACTATAGTCCAGTACTGTACTTAGAATTATCAAACGTCCGGAGATTGGGAACGATTCGTGGCTATCCCCTTAAATAATTATAATTAATACGAGTACATGTAGTATGATCGGATTAATTAAATCATATGCATATAATATATACTCCGTGCGAATGTTAAATACTGTATAAAGTTAAAGTACTACAAGTACCGCACAGTATGCGTAGTATCAGTTCGAGAAATTAATCCCTTTAAAAAGTTTTACATATTGAAGGTCAATTTCGATGACATCAGATGCAATGTCAAATTTGGATTCGAATGATATATAACTTTCATGCAAACGTTTTAGTCTAACAAGTAATATTAATAGGATTTTTCATTTTTTTATTATAAGGAATACAATTACTACTATTGCAGTACAGTATATCGAAGGGTGTGGCATCAATAGTAAAATACTGTATAGTGTACTGTACTGTACATTACGTTAGTCGCTCTTTACAGTTAGTAACATTACCGAAAAACAGAATCAGTACTTTGTACCCTTTACATATGCATTGCTAATTAATTCTATACTAGCACTATATATAATACGTAATAGTGGATGATCTTCAATTAACTATAAAATGTTATTAAACCCTTATGATAGGATGATCTCGCCGAGCAGCACACTTTCGATTTCAAGGGATACCGTGAAGGGGTAAGTGAGACGTCGACTATGACGCTTTATTTCAAATTTTAAAGATGTAAAATTGTAACATGATGCGAAGCGAATTCCCGGTACAGTACTTTCATGAATTTTTAAAAATTTTTATAATGTAGTGATCTTTGATTGAAGATAGTTTCAAATATCTCATATTCCAATACCAGCTATTAGAGATCTTCGTATGCGCGTTTGATGTGATCAACAGTTAAAAAATGATTGATGAAGTAGATTTTATTTTTACAAACTTTTTGTATCTTACTGTTGCTATAAGAATGTATCCTGTTGTGGTTAATATAGATAAAATATATCGATTAATAGGTTATAGTAATCATCGCAAAAATTAATAAAGCAAATGTAAAGACTTTTAATATAATTATAATTTACGTAGGATTTGGTTGATTGGAGCAAACCCATATTCCCTCAAGTTGGGAAGTTAGGAAAGCAATATCAAGACTGGGTGCATAGTCCTGTTGACAAGAAGTTGCGACTATTTCCATACGACCTTTTTGAAATCTGTTCCTATTGCCCTTGGTATACGGTGCCCATGGTCTGGCTACCGATTGCGTCTTATATTGCTCATACCTCACTTACCGGCATCTACAGCATGGACTACTTTCATACGTTAACAAATGATCAGTGGGGTTTTGTAGGAGCCCTTTTGATCTTGGGCATATTTGCATGGACACTCATGGAATATCTTTTGCATAGATTCTTATTTCATGCTATTCCGCCGGCGGATTCACCAGTACTCATCAGTTTGCATTTTCTCATGCATGGGCAGCATCATAAGGTTTGTTGGCCATCCTCTATAACATTTATTAAATTAATAGAGACGAATGATAAAGTAGCGACTAATATAATGCTGTATCTGTGAGTTGATATTGTTCTTTAATTCTAATGTATAACCTTTGTATAACTTAACAGGTTCCTTTTGATCCAGGACGTTTGGTATTTCCGCCTGTTCCGGCTGCAATCTTAGTATCGCCAGTGTATCTAACAGTTTCGTTGACTGGAAATATTGGTCGGCTAATATTTGCCGGTGGATTGTTAGGATACGTTGCATATGATTGCATTCACTACTATTTGCATCATGGATCACCAGGTCAAGGTACATATTTGAAAGGTCTCAAGACTTATCATGTGGTGCACCATTTTGTACAACAGGATAAAGGTATGTTTAGCTAGATATATTCTGACTCTCTCTCTATATTAATTGTTGCATTTGACTATCAGGTAATGTTCCTAATTTCATACCTCTTTATATCCACTCAGGTTTTGGGATTTCTTCTAAATTTTGGGATATTCCTTTTAATACCTTACCACCAAGAGCATGAGAGACATAGCTATATTCAGCTGTACGTACTGCTGATTTTTACATAAACTTCGTTTACAGTAGATATAAAATAACATGGCAACTTTAATGTGCTATTATTGTATTAATATTGGAAAGTTATGTTAGCGCTAAATCATAAGGTTTCAGTTAAATTATATAATTATCTACAGTGCATTAGTTTTTTAATTTAATATAGGTTATTACTTCATCTACATGTAGGATGGTAGCATGATATTTAATGTAAATTCATAATTTTAAGACACTTTTGATTGATTAAAATTCTTGCAATCTTTAGTATCCGTCTTGAAAATGACTAACTTATAGTATATTCCTAGCGAGTGATAATACGAATATTTTTATCTGTGTCATTTCATAGCAAGCATCAAGCCTAAATGAGTTAAAATATGTAGTTCTGTATACATAATAGTAAAGGAGACGTAACCGGTTTACTCATCTGACAATTATGGTATACAATTTAGTTGAACTTTACCTCGTTGTGTTTGAAAATTTTAGGTCAACAATAACATATGTGATAGCTAATTATTTTCGACGTAGTTTACATTTGACTACAGGAAAGGATATTTAGTTCTGTATTATTGAAGGCGCGGGTACAGGGTGTTAAAAGAATATCTTCTAGCTGTTTCGCTGACGTAGCGTTAAATAAAGTAATCTAATAATATATAATAGGACATCAATTTGGTAATGTTGTGGCTTACTTGTGTACGTTAATCATATCCATGGTAATCTATTCCTTAAAGCCAAATCTGAAATGAGTTTCTTTTACCTACTTGATACCAATTGTACCCATCAATGACTTGAATTGTTCTCTATTTATCTACACCATACCAGTATTCTTGTAATTTGTTCTTAATTAGAAACGTTATGGAAATCCTTTAATTCATAGTTTACTTCCTGACTCTACCAATGGCTCAGTCTGTAGCATGACGACTTGTACACATGTTATGCAACAAGCAGAAAATATCCACATTGGTAAACGTGCTCGTACTATGCATGACGAATAGCAGAATTACGACTTACGAGTACTGTACAGTCAGTTAAGTACCCATTACTCATTCCGTGAAAGTAAATGCAATTGAATTTTCCGATCGTCCTTTTCTTGTAAGTTATACAACTTTATTATTGGTTTTAGGTTGAAGTACAGTTTTCCTATAGGTTGTGGTCGAAGTAGTGATTGAGATCCACAAATACTATATGACTGAACGTCTATCTCGAGATCTTGATTACTAATTGTTTACAGAAAGTAATAAAACCCTGATTTTGTTACTTTCTCGTTCCGATACCTTGTACCAGCAAGCATACAACTTACGGAGTCTGTAAAATTGCGTAAAATTTTTTCATCAGACATTATGTGCACGGTACACGTATATAAGACATTGATTGATACTTTCCCTGTAGCAGTAAGTTGTACAAGAAAGATTACAGCAATAGCAATCTTACTGTTATCTTTCTTAGATGATCCAATACATGGTCATTGTACATTACTTTTCAGCAATGCTCAGTGCCGAGATGCAGTACAGTTGAAACGTTTTACGTCTTGCAAGTTAATGTCGATGTCGTCCTATGTAAGCGTATACTACACTTTATATTCGAGTTCTACTATAGTACTTTGCATGGCAATAACATCAGCCATTTTCTATTTGAAAATACACTTTTTAAACATCATGTCAATGTACAGTATTTAGAATCGATGTTGTCACCCCGTCTTCACCCACAGTCCCTGTTGCCAAGTCAATGTACGTTTGTACAATGTGCACCAGTCACACAAGGTCTTTTTTTAGTAGTCTATGTCTATGGTCATGATCATGTTACCTGATGCAGAAATGTGAAGAGAAACTGCATGCAAAATCAGACTCATAGTACTGTCCATAGAGAAAGTCAGGAATTTACGAAAACATCACCTACACAGAGGTCATTTTTTAGTAGTCCATGTCTATGGTCATGATCATGTTACCTGATGCAGAAATGTGAAGAGAAACTGCATGCAAAATCAGACTCATAGTACTGTCCATAGAGAAAGTCAGGAATTTACGAAAACATCAACTACACAGAAGGTCATTTTTTAGTAGTCCATGTCTATGGTCATGATCATGTTACCTGGTGCAGAAATGTGAAGAGAAACTGCATGCAAAATCAGACTCATAGTACTGTCCATAGAGAAAAAAATCAATAATTTAGGTGATACTTGAGTCAATTCCCGCAAAAAAATCCATGGTAGTGTCAGCGACTATCAGGGACTACTGAGTGAGTACACGACTCTCGTCCCTGACCTTGTTTTGCATCGGAGTCCAGTGCCACTCGGAACTCCGACTGTAGGGTACAGTACTTAGTACTGTACAGTTGGATTTCAAAGCGAATCGGAAGGGAGTTGCAAAACACTGACGTACAGTACAGTACAGTACAGTACAGTACAGTACACAGTACTGTACTTTACAGTGTACAGTACTGTACGTCTGTCCTTGCCTTAACCGTGCCGTACAGTACCGTACTGGTACTAGATGGCTACCAAGTTTCTGCAACGCCTACAACACGTGATCTTTGCACGACGTCGCATCGTCAAGCTGTAGCAAAGCACCGGTCAGACTCGAGTGGATTAACCTCCAGGTCCTCTTGCGTGGAAATTTGGGCTTAAAATTAGGATAAATCCTTCAAGATTTCAATTTTGCAGCCAAGTTTCTGCATAAAATACTTTAGTGCAAGAAAATTTTTGATTGTGATTATATCGTCGTCTATAGAAGATTGGACGAGTAAAACTGTAGTATTATAATATCGAATTGTACCTATCGGAGTTGTTGGATATCCACATATAAATCCAGGTGTCCAAATGGCCAGTGACAATGATAGTGATGATGGTGCGGAGGTAAGAAACAATGTCCAGTAGAAGAAAATGAACATATCCAGTTTGCTTCTTCCTACAATGTTCTCTTGCTTGCTATATAGCAAAACAAGGATACTACAGTTAATAGAAACGACACTTCTGCTTGTAAAATTGACGATAATACGCACTACTAAATGCCACTATAATGCAAGGAATACTGTCGATTGTGCAATGTATGGATGGATGCTTTATTAATTATACTATTTCCTTATCCTATCAGATGTTGAGAGTGTACTCCATAACTGATTGCTAGATAAACTACTGTGAATGCAATATGATTGATCAAGCACGCGCGCAAGATGCCGACGTTAAGTCACATTTTGATGTGCTTTTTCACCTATGATAAATCCAACTTACCAGTCGTAGAGATTGACTACATACAGCATAGCATGGCTGAGTCAAGGCCTACTGTAGACCATACAGATAAACCACAGTGCTATGATTAAGAAGATAGAATGGTACAGCACTGTATTTGCGGCTTTATTGGAGATAGGACAACGTCAATAGACTTTATCGATAAATTGCTATCGAAATCAACTTTATCTTGTTACTGTACAGTACCACGAGAGAGCCGACCAGAGACTGGACAACGCATTCATTTATTAATTACTGATTGCATATTCTACTATATACAGCATATACAAACTTCACGTATGACAAAGTATCAAGTATACTACCGGATAGGATGACGATTTGCAAAGTTACAGGCATATTAATTAAATTATAGAAATTACAATTTGTGATGCTTACTTCTAATCATACTGTATCAGCATGTACTCGAGTAATGGTCGGTAATGAGATGTTTAGAGAGCTCAGTGATAGTCTATCTCGTCGTATAGCAACTGAAGCAAATACTTGACGCTTTTATACTTTTGCATAATACTGTACTGTGTAACTACAATTTTAAGTGCCATACAGATACTATGGAAAGATATTGATGCTACGCTTGCTTTGAGATTATGTATTACTTGGTGAATATATCGACCATAGGTTAACTGTGGCTTAAGTTAATTTCTAGATTATTAAAATTACATTCAGCACGTATAGGCTGATATCGGGTATATACCTGTAGTAGTCTGAAATCAAGAGCAGCACTTCTTAACTTATTTTTTTCTTGAATTGAGCTTAATCGACAGTACATCCGCAAGGTTGCTGCAATATAAAGAAGAGCTAGACTATAGTTGCATCGCTTCAGTCTAGAATTCGATATATCATGATATTATAAAGTTATAAATTAAAATTGGAAGAAAAAGTAGACTCTTTGATCTTATAATCCTAGCTTGACTGTGACTCCGTACCCCTTTGTCGATACGACACCATGCGAATCTATTATGCAAATTTGAGTAGTGTATGAATCAATTAAGTAATTAACCAAGTAAGATTGTAAGACAGCGGCGAAAGTGTTGATAGATAGCTTCATATTGACCAGAATTGCAGCTAGTATTTGCGTTAAACAATATGTAAACATTATTCTTTTGCTAAGATGGTTTATCTGGAAGCCCACACCTTATACGTTAATTTGGCTACTTTACTACAAATCCCTTGTAGCATAGGACATAAGTGTACAAGTAGCACCTGTAATTTAAACTTAGGTGAAATGATATTGTAATTGTTATTATTAATGTTAATCTACATTATAGACGAAAAGATCGAGAAGGAAAGCAGATTTCGCAGATAACTTCGTCTTCCAAGTTGATGATGAAGACACCGGTAACTCAGCTGGTTGGGATTTTGAGAATGTTTTGACATTTATTAAAAGAAAAGATGATTTGGTAATATATTTATAGATAAGTAGGTATTGTTAATACTAGACTTTCAGTACTGTACTGCCATTGAAATGAAGCAAAATAAGTATTACATTTAACTTCATATCACGTAAACAGGACTATTAGCAACCCATACGTTATTGTGTGCTTTAGAAGGAAGATAGATACCTAATAGTCATACCATTTTATTAATCTTATTGTAAATTAAAATATAAATAATAGATAACTCACTGCTGTAAATGCCCACAAATAAATAAATTCCATGTTTTGCAGGCCTCTTTTTCCACACTAAACCAAAAAATTTTTGAGAAAAGAAAGGAAAAGAGTCGACCTGTTGAGGTAAATCATATGTTAATGCTATATGCGTACAGTAAGTTCTTATTTTAACATTCACCTATAACAATTAATCACGAAGACATTATTAAATGAAGTATTGAAGTCCTTCTTGTTATATAACACGATAACTCTTTCTTCGTAGTCTACAATTAAATTATACTTTATATTGATCAGAACTCTATCTCCTTATTGTGTAGAATGAAGGAATTGATGATGAAAATGATCATGGTGCAAATTCGTCAAACGTTTCATTTCCTGGTATGATGTATAGCCTACATTTCGATATACTTCTATTAGTCTCGTTTCTTATAGAATACATTGCCACGGAATACTCTTTAATTTCTCTACTGCAACGATGATTACGTATAAAAAATTTTATAAGCTCGATTGTATAATAAAAAAATATCTTAATAAATTCGCCAATTACTGTCTCATCTAAAGATGACGGTACTGACGATGAGGCCTATGAGACCGATGAGAATGAGAAGGATCAGGAGAGTGAGGTAATTTGGTAACGCATAGTAGATTAATTGGAGATCACTTTAACAGAATACTTTGCTTAATTCTGTAAATTAACAGTAATAATGTATAATTTCGAAATAAAATACTAGAATGAAGAAAAGGATGCCTTTTTTGAAAAGCCTCCAGTACAGGATTTAACTAAAAGTTTTAGAGATATAAACTTATCTCGACCATTACTAAAGGTTTTGAAATCGATTTTCAGCGAAAGATTATTTAATACGTCACCTATGCCGCATTAATATTTTTACTATATTCTTAAAGGCAATTAGTACTTTAGGATTCGAACATCCGACGCCAATTCAGTCATCAACAATTCCTATAGCTCTACTTGGCAAGGATATTTGTGCATGTGCAGCAACTGGCACAGGTTTAGTTCGCTAAATTTACTGTTGACTAAATATTTTACGCGTGATTGAAATGTGACAAGATATTGGAAATTGAACCTTGATTAAAATTCTGGCATTGTTTACCTTGCAGGAAAGACTGCAGCGTTCATGCTTCCTATATTAGAAAGATTGATCTATAGACCTAAGAGAATTCCCGTGACTAGAGTTCTGGTACTGGTTCCGACGCGAGAATTGGCTATTCAGGTGTGTATTCAGTTTACCTATAGATTTTAAGTTACCATTTTGCCGTCAGGATTTGAATATACATTTTATCGTGTCCTTAGGTATTTTCCGTTGGAAAATCCTTATGTCAATACACAGACATAGAATTTTGCTTGGCAGCAGGTAAAAAATTTGGTGCATCGATCAGACTTACTGAATATTAATTACTACTATGAAAGTAGTTTCACATGCGTACTGTACTTGCGTTTACTTTGGATTGCTGATTTTATTACTGTAGGAGGGCTAGATATCGCTAGTCAAGAAGCTGCACTTCGACGAAATCCAGATATAGTCATAGCTACGCCAGGACGCTTAGTCGATCATTTACATAATACTCCGTCGTTCGACTTACAGGGTATTGAGATTCTTGTACTTGATGAAGCTGACAGGCAAGTAGATGTTTTAAGGAATTTAATAGCAAATCTCCTACGCGTATCTTAATCCCAAGATTTATAAGTAGATACGTGACATTATGAAATGCACTTAGTTCTTATTAAAATTTAATAATGCGTATACATTAGAATGCTAGACGAACACTTTAAAGATCAAATGGATGAACTGATTCGATTAAGCCCCAAAGGACGGCAAACGATGCTGTTTTCCGCAACCATGACAGACGAAGTAAACTGGCTTGCTATTTGCCATTATTATTAATGTTGCTAGAATAATAATACAAGAGTTAATATTTTACATTAACTGGGATTTCTCAATTTACTATTCTTTGAAACTAAAAGGTGGAAGAGCTGGCTACACTATCTCTCAACAAGCCCATTCGCTTATTTATAAATCGAAATACCGACGTTGCAAATAATCTACGTCAAGAATTTATTCGCATTAGGCCTGCAAGAGAGGATGATCGAGAAGCTATCATAGCCGGTTAATAAGTTTTAAGTTTTAGTTATAGATATTCAAAGTTATTACGTCTCTTCAGTTTTTGGGATAGCAGTATCGAGAATGGTTAGTAAATGCAATCATTTTTTCTTCCATCAATTATAGCTTTGTGTTATCGACAATTCAATGAACGTTGCCTAATTTTTATGCCAATGAAGTGGCAAGTACATCGACTAAGAATAGTCCTGGGATTATTGGGATTATCAGTTGATGAGCTGCATGGCAATCTAACTCAATTGCAACGCTTAGAGGCTTTTAACCGTTTTAAAAAGGGGGAAATTGGTATTTTAGTAGCTACTGATCTAGCTGCTCGTGGATTAGATATTGAAGGAGTTAGAACGGTAACAATATTTCTAAGGAATCAAAGATATTGTAGCATGTAAAGATTACTTAAAAGTCGAAAGTTTGAATTTATTAATATGAATGAATGTATAGAGCGTCAGTTACTTATACCATTCAGGCTAAAATCATCGTAGGAACTAGATTGGTTGATTCATTTCTTACCCTCTAGGTAATCAACTACAATATTCCAGCAACTACTAAGCAATATGTTCATAGGGTAGGTCGAACAGCAAGAGCGGGCCAGTTTGGAAGGTAAAATTCACGTTATCATTGATATTACGTATTCACCTTAAATCAAGCTTCTATAACTATATCAACTTATATTTAATACTCTTCAATATTGCAGATCAATCACCCTGGTGGTGGAAAAAGAGCGAAAATTACTTAAGACCATTGTAAAAAATTCAAAGACGGCTGTAAAAAGTCGAATTATCTCTCCTGGTTTGTTGAACTTATTATGCAATTAATAATATTTGCGTTCGGAAGATTCGAAGGAGATTAAGAATATTTCTTAATCAAATGCGTTTAATTAGAAATTATAACCAAGTATAAAAGAAAAATACAAAAAATACAGGCCGATATTAAAGATATTTTAAAAGCGGAAGAAGAGGAGAAAGCCGTAATATTTACTATTTAGAATGTCATTGTTAATTAGCTGCTTGTGAAGTAAAAATTATGCTAATATTTAGTTTAGAGTCTCTGAAATGGAAGTAAATAAAGCTAAGAATTTAATTATTCATGAAGAAGAAATACATAGTAGGCCAAAACGCACTTTCATTCAAGCTGAGAAACGTGACGGTAACATGATGTTCATGTAGAATTAATGCTTCTTATTTACTCGTATTAATAAAAAATTTCGTTGATTTTGTAATAATTTTGTAATTTTAACACGTGAAGAGCCAAAAAAGAAAAAGAAGAAAAACCCACAGATGAAGGTCAATTCTCAACATTTGTAACATTTTTTGTATAAATATCTAATGATTGGAATTTACTATAATCATCCGATTTCAAACTTAGTAAAGCTGTCCAATGTTGCTATTTCAACAGAACATGTCCTCAGATGAAGTAAAACTTCAGCAGTCTATGTATTATGATATACGTAATATGAAGAGAAACAAAAAAGGGAAAAGGCTTCGTACAGTTATTGAAGATAATGAAAAACCTGCTCAAAGTAATTATTTATAGTACTTCGTAAAATAGTATATTGGTTCCTATAACTACTATAGCGTATATTGTGTATCGTACATAGAAGATTAGCTATCAGGCGGATACAGCACATCACTTTGTGAATATACACTTAGAGAATTTATTAGTAAATGGAGATATACTGTAGTTTTACCAGATTAAGGTAGTCAACGAACGTAGTATCTATTATCGATTCGAGAGCTAAATGTACGTATTTAAATGGCTGTAGGTAAATACAATTTGACACATTGATGTCAATGTAGTCAAAGATGTGGCTAATTCTAATCTTTTTAATTTTTTCATTTCTCCTTGCATTAATATGTAGCTCATAAAAAGAAAACGACCAAAGCTTTGAAGACATTTGATAAAGAATTGACCAATACTAGCAAGAAGGCATTAAAGGAATTTCGAAAAGGGTAGGTTTTTACTGTATAGAGCGTAACATTGATCGTTGCTAACTAAGATTTTTTCTGTACTCTTAATTTTAATATAATAGTGCTGTCATGGATACAAAAAAGAGGAGTAACGGAAAATTTAAATCAAAGAAACGGTAAACAAATCATAAACCTTACTTACTGTGTTGCTAGAATGTTTTGTAATAATGCTAATTACTGAAACTAATTTTCTGATAATATATCGTAAATAAAAAGATTACATGCAATTGACGCTATTGCTATTTCACATTATTTCATAGGTATAAAAGACGTTAGAAATTAAAGCACTCTTGTATTGGATTTAGATCTGTAATAAAAATAAATATTGCCATGCTGCATAATTGCTTGTCTATAAATAGTATTTATTTGATCTCATAGTTTTATGGATACAGCAATTTGTATCTTTTTATCCGACGGCCATAGATGTCATAGTTACAAGCATAAAGATAATTTTAGTCTAACACTGTATATAGTATTGATGGCAAGAAATTTCAGTAATCAGTGAATCATCCGGAACTACTGTACTTGATGACTCACGAAAGCATTGATTGATCACCCATTGAAGAAATAAGTACAATTCACATTATTATGACATCTTAGATACTTATTTAAAGCTGAGCTAGTACGATACGTAAATTATCTATCGATCGACTGAAGCTGATGCTTTTATCTCTAATTTACTGGCAATATAAGAATCTAGAGAATATAGCGATTGTTGTAACGCGGTAAACTAGCGAATTTTTTTATCAAACGGCGAGGGTTGTTCGATGACTGAAAATTTAAGCCCTCTATCATTTAGCTTTTTTATAATATTTGTTTTGCGAAAGGCTGCACCCGGTGTAAAGACGCCACCACTATGAATAATGCAATACAGAATAAGTTTAATCCTCTATAAAGTCCATAGTAAAAGGAAGAATATAAGCTGATACTTACGTGCTGGGTAGCAAATCTCTTTCCTCTAAAATCGCAATTGCTGCTTGTACCATACAAATAGGGGTTGTGACATAGCCGGGTTCTGGAATATTTAATTAAAATATATCTGTTACTAGCACGATCATAATATTGTACGCGAATGATTACAACTGAATGTTTAAATTCGTATGTTGATTTACGAATTCACAAGTTCTAACCTGGTCCTGAGACTTTAGTTACAAAACGCGTGTCTGGTGTTGCACCTTCAGAGCTAAAATTGATTCCGAAATAATTATAAATAGTTAACAAAAGGTGGTCTGATCATTTTAAAATTACAGTATTAGAAGACCTTTTATTTTTATCCTTAAATCCATAACCATAAAATGTTAATGAAAATGTCGTTCCGTCGATCTATTTTATTACAATAAAATCGGTAAGTATGAAGGGTAAAATTGATAGATTGGGATAGAATTATCCGCGCAATAATAATGAGACAACCTTGTTTATGCATAACGTAGTTAATGCAATTAGAACGAGTATAGTATACCGTACCTGTTTCTGTGATGGTCCTCCACGCCGAAAGATACCATTAGAGAAAAGGCCAGGAAACTAATTTGCAGAGTTTATTGTATCAATAGCACAAAAGGAAAATACATTCTATAATTACCAACCAGTAGCTAGACAAATATAGCTTGTGTGAAATCAGGCTATGAATACCAACCGTTAATAACAGGTAACGACCGAATTTATATCCGCTCAGTATGGAGAACAAGAAACCGTAGAAGAGGAATTTATATAAACCAAGCGTAGAGGCGATAGCAATACTGTGCATGCACTGAAACTGTAGGTACATGTACATAATACAAGATTAGAGGATTCATATTGCATTATCCTAATTAAGCTAGTTAATTTTACAAATAAAATATAAACAAAGACATATCTGTAAAGCAAGAAACTAAACGATAGATTGCTGCCATATTGTTCTTTCCACTTACAGGTAGCTCATTTTCTTCTCTATAAAAGTAGCGGAGAGTTCGTTGCACCTATCGGTTTTCAACACATCTTTGATTATTCTTATATTAAACAAGAGTAGCATTTACACGCCCATGCACGTGAAAATTAGGTATCATAGTAGGTTATTATTTTAAGGTTAATTGAGTTATGCAATTTATGCTATGAATTTTCAGCGTGTGTGATTGGGCTTATGCATTAGCGCAAGTTGTTTAAATAACTCACTACTGAGCGATCAGAGCCCATGAATGGAATTCCATAACCATGCGTTTCTTCGGACTTGAAATAGTTACCCCTGAGAAAATATCCATAATGTATTAATTGATTACAAAAATGTCGAAATCTTTTATGATGCGGCATACTTGAAGATTACAAAATTAATAATTTAATACAAATCACCTTCGTACAACAGATTTTGCAGTTTTGGGTAATTTTACCGCGTTAGCTTCTTTTCGCATTTTTCTTAATTTGTTAGCATCAGAAAATCCATGGACAGCAGACTCCCATGTCGCAAAATTTACGGCAGTGCCCTTTTAGATATCAATTAATTATGAAAGTTACTAGGTGATTAAAAAGCAATTAAGGACCATAATTTACTCAACTATAATTCTATTGAAAATTATCTATCAACAGTATTTGACAGTTGACAGGCGGTAATACATAGCTATAAAAATTTCACTATATCGTTAAATATCCAGTACATTATGTCGAATCTATAGTTAGTAAATAGTACAGTAGAGTACTATATTTGATGTAATTGAGATTCATTTATCATTATTTCTTTACCGCTGGTCCGGAATTAAGATTTATATAGCAGTCAACTACACCTAATTGTCCTATAATAGAAAAAAGATAAAAAAATTGAAACGTAAAATATAACGTTTGCCAGTGCTACATTTATTAATTTGATTAGGACTCTAATAGTTAAGACTTGCATACTATTTACTGCTATGTACGAAAGGATTGTAGATGCCATCATATACGGTACTCTTTCGTTTGTACAGATACTTTTAAAATTGGCATGGTAATATAGTATTTTCAGATTGTTATTTCGTTACGTGAGTATTCATTTATTGATTTAATTTATTAAAAATAAAGCATGAATTATTATATTATGATTGAATAATTAATCATTTTTTGAACTGTTGGTATTACATACCAGGAAAGCTATCTCTTGTAAAGGTAACACCCAGGTCGGCAGGTATGGAATCTGCTCCGCAACTACCAACTACGTATGTGTTAGCATCTTTTGCTTTATTATGATATTTCAATTCCATTTCTTCTAAGAACTAAGGAATAATATTTATGAGAATACAGTATATTATCGCAATCAGTTTAATGCAGACATTCAAGATAGATTAGATTTGTTTAACATTTGATCCAAAGTATAGAACGCACCTTAGGCTCGCCAGATATATCGACGTGATCGCAACCTTGCTCTACCGCATTTCTGACAACTGCTTCACCGTAGAATCGATACTAAAATAATTTATAAAAGTATAATATTTAGGTGCAACTATGGAAGGCGATAGTAGACTCTACATTATAACGATTTAAAGGAGTCTTAGTTGTCTACTTGTCTAATTTCACTACATGTCAACTAACTTAATATCTATACGGTAATATTGCATTATGACATTCTAGCACAAGTGCTATAAGGTTTATAATGATTTTAGGGATCTTATAATATACACGTATGTCTGCAAACAACAGGCTATTCTATAGTGCATTGCACCTTTGCATCAACTACTGTAGCTAAAAGTAGTATTAATAATTTTCTGGTTGGAAAGATCTTAGTCACATGGAAAATGATTGCAGTAAAATAATAATAATAATAATAATAATTATGCCTAATACTGATATGTAGCATAATTAGTTTCGCTATGTTGGAATTAGTTTGTACGAAAATGGTATCTTCAGATATTCTACACTATGCTGTACGATATGAATGACTGTAATACGGTATAATTAATCATTACTAATGTTTTAATGATGGTATTACCGGGCCAACGCAGTTAAGGACAATTTTGGTCATACTGCACATTTCTCGGATTGAATTTTCATCCTTGGAATCAGCCTTGATAATTTCAATATCCTGAAGGTTGATACCTGCATAGCATAGAGAGTAGAAAGGAACCAAGCCGTTAAAACGCTTGCAATAATAATGGAGCGTAAGGTGGACAAGCATGTCGTAGTTGTAATACTGTCATTTGTAAGCATTTAATGAAGATATTTATTCAAAGTAGGGTAGAGCTTTGAGACAGGTATAATAATTTATTAACAGCCCATGTATTAGTATAAAACGTATTCTTAAGCGACTATCAAACTGCATACGAAAAGTGCGATACTATGAGATGACATCTTGTGGAGCCATAGCAACTAATGGTCTACATTGATCGATTTTTTTAATTATATCAGTTCTCCACTACCAAGTGATATCAGTACTGAACAGTACAGCTCCGGTTGGCAACAAACAAATATTCGATTCGAAATCTTCTTCAATATACATACAGTAGTTACAACATAAGGACCCCCTTCAAAGCTGGATGTAAATTGGCAAGAGGAGAGGGTTTCAAAGAGTTACCAAGCGTTAACCTACAGCAGAGAGGCTTGTTGATGTCAAAATGCCTGCATATTCTACAGTACTAGCCAGTATTGTGTTACCAATGTACAGCATACTGCAGACTGGCGAGTCTGATTCGCAATATTATCTCAATGCATATGACTGATTTCAATCGGCTATAACATGACTCTAAAGTACTGTATGTAGAAGATATAAAATCCTACAATTCATCAAGACAGCATTTTATAACCTGTTATCTTGGCGATTTCATCAACGACTTGCTGTAATTTCGATCGATTTCTGCCGGCAACAGCCCATTTTATAGGTCGATTTTTGTTGGTATTTTGCACTAATGCCAATTCTTTCACAACGTATTGGCCCGTGAAACCAGAAGCGCCATAGATAATCATATCATATTTTCGATCTGAAGCCATTTTCTTAAATTATGTGGGATCCTTGCGAGCTTTCAATTGCAAAACAGACAAATTTGCTGCAGTAGCCGAGAAGAATTGTTGCTAAAGGAGGTCAAAGCCCAAATGGGTTGATGACCCCCGCAGACTTTTTTAGACCGTTATAGACTATGATATCGAGTCTGATAGAAAATACTGTCGATTAAGCACTTAATTCAGTCATCCTACTATTCCTTAGAAAGCTGACCTGCTTACAGATAGGCGGGTGGACAGACCTAGAAAGGAGCTTTTTTCCCAGGCCTAACATAGATTGAGCCTAATTAATGCTCAACAAGCCCAGAAGAGGAGCTTGAAAATCGATATTAATTAGGATGATCGATTTAAATTATCTTCATAGCATAAAGTGACACAATTTAGATCTACTTTTGCTTTCAATATTGCGAATAATCGAAATTTATAGTGACTACACGTATTCTTGACATTGAAATTTATAAGTGGTATGCAAACTATAACATGCAGTTGGTCAGACTTTCTATACTGATTGCTGTGAAAAGTTGATCTCATAATTTCCTATGTAGCATTATATTGCATAGGTAAGTATTACAAAATAATAAATTGCGCCATAATTGGATGACATAATATTAATAACAATTTTGCTACGTATCGTGGTCAAGGATGAAAGGAATATGAGCGCTTTTTAGGAACGTAATAATTTCTATACTAACATACTCAAAAAACAACTGTTGTCATTGACGCATATTTTGTGCAAATTTTATAGTGTAGAATAGTGTTTATCATGGTCACTTAGGGAAATTGCGACGATCTACGGATTTTATAATCCACTGAGAGCATTTTCTCGTACCACTATGATTTAACTGAAGGTGGAGGTCAAATAGAGTAATTAAGCAATAGATGATAAGTATGCATTATATAGCATATCTTTCAAGCACCAAATCATACGTCGGCACACTGTTATGTACGGCATAACGTTATTGATTTAGTTAATTAAGCATCAAAGTCCTATTTAACTCATTGCTAGATAAATAAATACACGTCGTTTATATGCTATCTCGAAATCCACATTAGTCTGCATAATACCATGTTAGGCTACAATGTTGCATCTTAATATGGCAGTAGTACTATGTATTAATTATGTGTATATATATATATATATATGTATACGTATACGCATATGGATATACGTTGTCCACTTACAGAAGTTATACCATGATTACTGTACACAACGACTTATTAATTTCATATAGACGCATGTAGATTTTAATAAGGTATTTTACGACACACATTTCTATTTCTGGTCTAATCGTAGTAGAAATTCTGAATTAAACAGAATTTTGATACGAAACAAAACCGGCTAACAGTCAATTTAAACTAATCGTTCGTAGTGCGTATGGGTGTCTACTCATTATTTTATAAATATATTCTAACTGATTTTGTAGTGATAGATATCTGTATGCTAATACGTATATGATACAATGCTATAAATTTTACTACTGAGTGCGTAGCCAACAATATCACGTTATGTAGTTAATTTTTAAATGCAAGGCAATGACCAGATTCTTCATTTACATCTCTTTATTATGTTATCGAAAACGATTATTTGTTTCTTGATACTGTAGTATGGAAAAAAAGGAATTAGGGTAACATTATGTGGTATATTAGTTTTCGTAATGAAAATTGAATCGATTTTCAAGATGAGGGCATGAAAGACATGATTTCTTATTAAGTTTCCTTCTTGCCAACTTTCAATTTCATCCGTCATTGTTTCTATCTTTTTAGGCAGCCTTTGAGAACGATGCTGGATTATTCTAATTGAACGATATAAGACTTTGAATGATGTAGTCGAACTGGGAATATCAAGATAGGTTGTACATTAATATAAGCATTTTTATTTTTTGAATCTCTCTGGTTCGATCTTGTACTACGAGCGCCAAATTTCATTACAGCTACCGTTTGAAAACGCAAGAAAGTTTGCCTGAGTGTTACTTATAGACAGTAGGCACATATTGATCTGCAGTAACAAGGAGATTAAGTATACAAAAATCGATGAGTAAAGTGACATGCAGATCATTCGCATACAAGTTGTTTTGTTCAAGTTTATACACCCATAACAGAAGTTCATTTCGTTGCACACGTAATCATGTATATTCCTGGCCTTGTAGGCGCAAAAGGCTGATTACTGTTTATTATTATTATAATTGTCAATTAAATCCCTAATTATATCCAAATTTTTGGGTTAAAAAAATGATCCGACATTAGACCCCAATCACAGTACTCTAAATTGATGCTAATAAAGAATTGTTATGGATTGATTATCATAAATTTCCATGAATGCTGTTGGTTCGATCAAGGATTGTTTTCCCAGTTTTAAATCTTTAATATATTGTGCATACTTTGATAATCGTGACCTGTCCATTGGTCGCTTCGTTTATTTTTGGTAGGTTTGAATAAACATAATATAGGTAATTTAGGGATGGTCTATTTCATCATTAGAAAATGAAGTTTTAATCTGATTCATCATCACCATTTAGATGTATCTATTAAATTATCAGTATTCAATTCATGACCTGAGTAATGTGATATCGTAGGCTAAGGGATTAGAAAGAGAGCTGAAATGTGTCGATTATTTAGTCGGTAGAATTTAATTTTAATCTAAATGTATGAACTTGATAGAGTATCTATGATTCTACTACATCTCTCCAAGGTAAGCACGTACGACTTGCACAGCATCACTGAGTCATCTTATCATAACAAAAACTTGTTACCATCAACTTGCATTTATAGTGGTACCCGAATTCAAGATCAGCTATCATGTTGGTCATTATATGATTGAAAATGTTTATTGTAATGATGATGTTGTACTATTTGTTTCTATTCGGGATTTTTATAAGTAATTTTAAGGAGAAACCTTCAAGTCGTATTCTGATGAAAGGTATGTTTATTTGGATGACGCATTCCCCCTGTATTACGGCTTGTATCAAGATGGCTCAAATTGTACATTACCATGTGTTATAACTGCTAATTGATTTAGGAGTTGTGGATGTTGGTTTATCATTAACCGATGTGTAGAGTAGTTAGCGTTTTCAATCTACATCCATTCTTTTTCTTACCCAATCTACTTTGTATTTTATAGTGACAGAATATTGTTATGGCATTGTCTACTGTCATATATTGAACATTGTACAATAAAGAGTAGAGTAACAAAACAGTAGTAGTCAGTGTATCAGGGCAGTGGAACACACCATTGGAGCGAAGAAAGCGCCATGGATTGATTGTTTACAGTGCTAGAAGTAAAAGAGATTGATTGCGATCATTCATGAATCCATTTCTTTTACTTTGATATCTTGATCTTTTTGGGGAGGGGGGCATGGGAGCTGATGGGAACAGGGTAATGGATAGGGTTATCCGGAGTAATATTGGGGCCCAATGGATTGATTTTGCGATATCTTGATCTTTTGGGGGGCATCGGAGCTGATGGGAACAGGGTAATGGATAGGGTTAATTTCCGGAGCAAAATTGGGGCCCAATCGATTGATTTTCCGATCCGGAGCAAACTTGGAGCCCAATCGATTGATTTTCCGATCCGGAGCGAATTTGGAGCCCAATCGATTGATTTTCCGTTCCGGAGCAAATTTGGGGCCCAATCGATTGATTTTCCGTTCTGGTGCAAATTTGGGGCCCAATCGATTGATTTTCCGATCCGGAGCAAATTTGGAGCCCAATCGATTAATTTTCCGTTCTGGAGCAAATTTGGGGCCCAATCAATTGATTTTCCGATCCGGAGCAAATTTGGGACCCAATCGATTGATTTTCCGATCTGGAGCAAATTTGGGGCCCAATGGATTGATTTTCCGATATGATGGGTGGTATTAACATTGTTAACCAGATATTTTATGCGTTGGGTTGCGACTGGTACCGAGAATGGGCTTTCAATGGATGACGTTCAATCAGTCCATTATTATGGTTGTTGATTTTCTTGACACTCAGTACATCTGCGAAATGATCGACGGGTAATCATCCTATCCCTTCTATGATGATGATGATTCTTTCCGCTGTTTTCTTCTTTCCATTGACGATGCCATCATGAATCCATCTTGTAAATAATTAGACAATTTGTTGTCAACAATTGACGTCAGCGGCCGGTACCTCTCCATCCCATCGCCGTTGTCTTGGACTACAATATTGGGTGCGATCAAGTGGGACAGTGGATTGTACTGTACACTGTACTGTAAGATGGTTGGTACAGTACCAAGTCGAAGACGACCGTTGTGTACTGTACTGGAAGGCATGAGTAATCACTGTTGTCGTGGCCAGTAGCAGACGATACCAGTCTAGAAAAGGTCTTGAAAACTAAATTGCTACCAGAGTTTGGTAAACAAAGTCGGCAGCAAATTGAATCATTTTTCCTCCATTGGCTTCATTGGATACTGCCAAATTACAATCGCCCAAGCCTGCCTGCAAAAGGTAAATGATAATTCTACAGTGCATCTTGTTTCTTGAGGGATGCTTACTACCTGCTACATGAACCAGGAAAAGCATATTTAGAGGATCAAACGCCACGAGTTGTTAAAGGGGAAAAGGCATTGACGATCAAGCATTTGAAACTTGCTTATTCTTGTTGATATACGCGTAGTGTATCTGGATGACATGGAGTACAACAAGCTTGCCATGGAAGGAGTACAGTGAGCGATGAGTTGTTAAAGGGGAAAAGGCATTGACGATCGAGCGTTTGAAACTTGCTTATTCTTGTTGATATACGCGTAGTGTATCTGGATGACATGGAGTACAACAAGCTTGCCATGGAAGGAGTAGAGTGAGCTACAAAGTATTTCTTCCTCTATCCAATTCATTGGCTAGACTTGGTGGATAGCCTTGTAAGAGTGCAGGATAACCCTCACCATTGGACATCCATGACTTGAAGAAGAGTGAGAGAAAAACCCCACACATAAATACGACCAATGCAATCAACAATACAGTAGCAAAGGCATAATAACAACAAAAAGATGACTTGTCGCCGATAGTCATCGCCATACATTTGCCTCCTCAATATGGACTACATGATCTGCAAAATAGCATGGGTGCATTGAATGAATACTTGGTGCTCTAGTTCACTCCATTTAGCGCATAGTATGGATGCTACTTTACACATTCAATGCATGAATATTATTCTGACTACCCATGACATGCAAAGAAGAACACGTTGATGATAGAGAGATTTATTGTACCACAAGTAAAACACAAATAGTTCATCTTTAATGATATATTTCTTGATGTGCACTGTACAGTACTGTACAGTATAATATAGAAACTACGCCCCATGTCAAAAGGATCGCCGCGATTCGCTGCTACTTGTTCAAATTAGCGTTAATGAACTACAACTGTGATCGTTGCCAGTACTTCATTGAATTTCGCCCAATAGATTGGTTGTTCTCATTAGGTAGGCATCGCCTTACCTTTACCCCGACAACAACAATTACAACATGTTTTTCTATGCAAAACTCCTCAAACTCTTTAATCTTGCCGTTGAAGGAAATATCACTTTCTACTGTTAGATTAATGCGATAGTGCAAAGGAGACGAGACGACTTGCCCAAAATTTCATACTGTTGACTACAACACTTTAGAAAGTGCAATAGCACATTTGGTGCGTTGACAAGAATTTCTTCGTCAGCTCTTTATCTACCGGATACTGCACCAGACAGCAAAGAATCTTGTTTGTTTATCTTTAAAAAAAAAGAATGGACTGGACTGTTTGTAGAATGAACGTTGAACTCAGTATACGTAATAGAATAAAATGATCGTTTACATCTTTTCAACTAAGCAGCCTAATACTGTATTCGCTATACAGTATTCATGAAATGGGTAGTAACTGTTCTGATCAATTAAATTGCCCTATATGCTGTTTTATTTCCTAGTTAGAATACTTGACTAACAACGAGTAATTTTACATTTTTGACAACCAGCAATATTGCATTTTTACATTTGCACGATGTATTAAATTCGTGTTATTGGATCGCAAGTATAGTCTACTGTAAAGTTCAAAAATAAAAAATTGGGCCTTTTATCTCCAATACAGTATATAATATAGACTACGTATTGTACTACAGTATACTCTGTGGGAAACATTTCCAGAAGGAAAGCTATAAAACTCCTATATATTGCATTGTTAACGCAGTAATAATTAATAGTCACAATTACTTTGCCGTTAGCAGCAAACGATTAAGGTGTGATGCGATTGATTAACTTTAGGGTGAAAAGATGTAATACGTAATCAATAGCACCTTTATATACATAGCTTGTGAAAGATGATCTATTTCAACTAGCTAGCAATCAATAATAAAAATAGTTGCGTTGGAACCAATTCTACAGTGTTAGGTTAACAATTATTTCAACGGAAGAATCTCTCCCTGAATTTTGTTAGTATTAATGACAGCATCACATTGAAATATCTAACTAACGATACTGAATTTTGAATAGTGAAGCACTCAAAGTGCACAGCTAAATCATCCTAATGTCGCATTCTATCAGGCTAGTGTAAATTCTTTCCCGCAGTAGAAGACACATTTCCACGATCATTAGCTAGGCCATGATATCATGTCATGTCCAAACGTAAATTAAATTTTCACTAATCGAACTGTTGCTGTAATAATTTATAGGAAATGGTGAACCGATTCATCCTTTCCGCGTTCTTCTTACTCATATTGGGAGTTGCCTCAGTGTCGGCGATCGACAAATATGACAAGTAAGTTGACTTTCAGAAGATAGCTTGTGGTATATATGAATTCCATTGAATTTGTAATAGTGGTGTTAGTTAAAAACTACCTAGAATTTTCTTAGCATTTTACGGTATTATTATCTATGCCAGAGCATATCAGCAATATAACACACACTTTTTAATACACAATTCGATAGCAGTTAGAATAATAATTTATATTGTAACTCTTAATTTGATTCATGCAGTAACTGTTCATTGACTATACTTTTTGGACGTTATACTGTACAGTATATCATGCTCTTTCCAACGCGGGGGCTATTTAGTTTAGAAAATGCTTCTTTTAGGAGTTACGATCTCTTACTAACCAGTTACCTACTTGTATAATAGTGGCACCTATATTATCACTGCTCCAGCCATAATACGCCCTGGTCTTCCGACCATGATCAACGTAAACATTCTGAGAGCACCTCAAGCTGTAACAACTACGGCCAAGATCGTATCAAAAAATGGCACGATTATGTCCCAAAATAGTGACACATTCTATAAAGGTATGATTCTACAATGTGGCGTACGCGTATGCTATAAATCTTGGAGTTTGTCATAAATATATACAATTACTTCAGCCAAATTCGATGATGATTTCAGTTGAATGTTGTTATATTTCAATAAAATACCATCGATTGGACGAAAGAGTTTAATTTATTTATTACTTTGATAACCTACTGATGATTATATGACTGACTATAGACATTAGACATTTAACATTATTTTACCAATTTACTGTAAATAGATGCTACCGTAATTATTATTATATGAAAGTAAATGTACATTATACTCTAGCTATCATATAATTGAGATCAACCGTAGCTAAGTCATCGGTACTATCCGACATTTACTTCGATAATAAAATTTCTTTTCATTTCAATAGGTACACCAAAATCAATGACATTGCAGGTAAAATATAAATCATTCTACTAACAAATGTAATACTAGTGAGAGGGGGTGAGATTTACAAGCATTTCTTCAAATAGCTAAATTAATTAATTTTCAAAATGAATAGGTACCGAAAAACCTGAAAGATGACAATTATGTATTACTTGTCCAAAGCAGTGGGGGTTTAAGCTTTAGTCAAAACAAATCTATCAAAGTTAGTACTAAAACAAGCTCCCTATTTATTCAAACCGACAAAGCCATTTACAAGCCTGGGCAAACAAGTAAGATTAAATTTGCTGCAAAAATCAGTAACTTTCCCCTAAAATTTAATGTTCGGCCAAAAATCTTTAGCTATTGCTAACATTTTCTCGATTACATCATAGTACGTTTTCGTCTTATTTCCACCGATATGTACTTGAAGCCTAAACCAACTAATATGACCATTGAAATATTGGTAATAAGATTTTTTGTATTAAATGCAACTTAATCATTCGAGTGAATAGTGCATATGGGTAGTAATATATGTTTGATTTAAAATGTATTTCTATTAGGACCCTAATAAGTTCATTTTGACTAAATGGTCGAATTTACGAACAACGGATTTAGGTAAAACATGATAGGCCTAGATTCTAAACTCACCCTTTCTTAGTTAACGTAAGAACGCATTAATTCTGCTCTGCCTGTTAGGTATCTTGACAAAAGATTATCCTCTTGCGGATGAGCCACCTCTTGGCAAGTGGACTTTACGTATCGTAACCAAGGTAATAGCAAATAATTGGTTATAACACTAAGTATAATTCCTATTTATCTCATAGATGCATGAATGGATTGTATACGTTCATTATAAATTTTTAGGTAGTTTTTTATTCTTAGCATATACAATACCACTTAAAGTTGGCAGACTAGTAGACCTCACGCGACTAATCATTTTTGAATTACATTGAAATTTAGGATGATAAAGCGGAAAAAAGCTTTGAGATTAAAGAATATGGTATGCAATAAATATTACATTATCATGAATTGTAATCAGGAGAAAATATTGCTATTACCACTTCCGTAATGCAATAAGGCTTAAAAAATTGCTGATATTAATATGCTCCTTTTAGAATAGACAAAATATATGATTAGTAATACATATACTTTAAGAATTTTATTAACTTGTATTCTATTTTATTTTAAATTCTCTATAGTACTTCCAAGATTTAATACGAAGGTTACGTTGCCATCGTTTGGTTTGAATACCGATGACAAGCTTACGATATCCATCTCAGCAAAGTAAGCAGTTATTTATTAATTTCTATAGCGTTAGAAAAGTCGTATGAAATTCAACTAATTATTGTATCGCAGATATACCTATGGTATGCCGGTCAAAGGTGTAGCATATATTAAGTTGAACCCAAAATACTGGTATTCTAGAGGCTCAAAAATTCCTGAAATTAGAAAGGAAGAAAAGGTAATGACTTGCTATGCTGATAGAATTAATAATACGAATTTTCTATAATGAGAATTTATTAAAATTATGTTCAGATCGATGGGTATTTAAACATATCAGTTCCAACATCCGATATTAAATGGCATTTAAACAAAAATAAAGAACTAAATTACTTCAATTTACTGGTCAACGTCATCGTTATGGAAAAGTTAACGAGTATCAAGGAAAATGGAACCTCCAGCATGACTTATTATTCACGGCCTTATCGTGTTAATGTCGTGTCATCAACGTCTGCCTTTAGACCAGGAATGCCTTATCATGCTATGGTAAAACATCGTTAATTTTTTATCTTCAAGGTGACTGTGAGGTTCTAATAAATTTTGTTTTGTATACTTGTTTTCATTCATGTAGCTGGCAGTAGTTCAACCTGACGGTAAGGCCGTAGCTGCATCACTTTCCGATTATTTGACTGTACGGACAGAATACGGAAATGGTCATACTACTGTAAAGCAGCTACAGTCGAAATATGGTCTATACAAACTGAGTTGGAATATTCCTTCCAATGCAACCACGTTTTATTTTAATGTAATACTTGAAGTTGCTGTTAATGTATATCATGTTTTAATAAACATCATAAAAAATTACAATTATGATATTTCTTATAGGCATATTACGGCACTAAATCAAAGTATTCTTGGACTGCGTATCATTATCCATCGATGTGGCGAAGCAATAACAAAGAATATATTCAATTGGTAAATACTTCCAGTTCATTAAAGATTGGAAGCACAGCTACATTTGATGTTCTTTCAAGCAAGGGTATAAGTGGTGTGCGTTTAACGTTTGAAGTAAGCTGCTTAAATAATATTCAATTCAAACAATATTATAATTTGTGCTAATAATTTTTATTCGCGACTTCAGTTAACTAGAATGTTTCACCTTCCTTCTTCGTCATTAACTTAAATCGAGTCTTCAAAAATTTTATTGTTGTGTTGGTAGGTAACTTCCAGAGGAGCGATCGTGGCTAGCGGTAGCTTGGATACTACCGGCCAAAAAACTTCACTTTCTTTTACGGTAACCCAAAAAATGGCCCCAACAGCTAGGGTTCTAGCCTATTATATAGGCGATAATTACGAAGTGATAGGAGACAGTTATCAATTTCAAGTGGATGGTCTCTTTGAAAATAAGGTAATCATTTATTCATTGATTTTATAGTTTTGTTGAAATTATGCTGATTAACGATTTTAATTACAACTGACTATTGTTGATTATATCATAATACTGTATCCGAAATACAGGTTTCTCTTAACTTTGATAAATCTACTGAAGCACCAGGCAAAAATATCAAGCTTAAAGTAAAAGCATCACCATATTCCCATGTTGGCGTACTTGCTGTTGATCAGAGTGTTTTACTTATGAAAACTGGAAATGATTTGAGCGTCGCAGATGTACGACATTTTACTGTCTGATGTATTATATTTATAAGTCATGTATAACGATTCACTGAAATTTTAGCTGGTAAAATTCTGATATTTTTCTGTGATACTATAACATTAGGTAAAAAAAGAAATTCAAAGTTATGGTGGTAACAACTATTATCCGGATTATCCGATAGCATTTAAGCGATCCGTAGAATTTAAACGGACAGTTATGCCGGGCGGCGGATACTATTCCTCTAACAGTATGAAAGGAGCATTCAAAGTCAGTATTTATTGTTTGCTTTATTCACTGATTTAGATTGCATTCATGTTTAAGATATTTTTTTTTCCAAACCAGCAAGCTGGATTGGTCATATTGACAGACGCATTAGTATCTGGCAGCTCATATCCTCCAATGTATATGTTGGAGGATGGTGCCATGGCACCAAACGGTACTAATATAGTTCCTTATTCGTGTCTTTTTTATTTGTATTCCGTGGAATAAACTACTTGTAAATCTGCATAGTATGTTACACAGAAATGATTCACAATTTAATCCAAATGTTTACACCTTAATACCTTTCCTAGCTCAAGCAGGGAATGCTAACTTGGCAAATAAAGAAGAAGGTGGTGAGGTTGCTCAACCTTTGTACGTGCGAACTTTTTTTCCAGAAACCTGGCTCTGGTCGGATAAGAATGCAAGGTAATAATATTAAAAAGTTTAAATTATTACAACTTTTTTTAAAGATTTTGGCATTAAATAATGATGTATGAATTTAGTTATCATATCTTTGGAATCTGAAATCTTATTTATACTAATTGCAGCTCGTCTGGTGAGGTAGTAATCAATAGCCTGATGCCTGATACAATAACTTCATGGGTTGCAAGTGCATTCGCTGTTTCTAGTGCAACCGGGTTTGGCTTATCACCAACCCATGCTAAGGTTTGTAAGTTAAAATTTTAAACGTTTAGGTGGTATGGTACACTAATTTATAAATGTAATGATATATTAGGTTCGAGGTTTTCAGCCTTTCTTTGTGAATCTGAATCTGCCCTATTCTGTAATTCGTGGAGAGCATATGGCGCTGCAAGCAGTTGTATTCAATTATCTGTCTACGGATTTAGTTGTACGTAACATATATATGATGTCACTGTAACTGATCACTTTAAAAGATATTAACCTATTTCTAATCATTTGCTATATAAAGGTTACACTAGTTCTAGAGAGCTCCAGTAACTGGCAGAATATCGATCTAATAAACTCAAAAATTATAGGAAGTGGTTCACAACAATATCAGCTATTGGTAAAGGCAGGACAGGCTGCGAGTACCTATTTTCCAATAATGCCCATGACAATAGGAAGTATTCCGATTCTTGTAAAGGCTTCGTCGAATGTAGCTTCGGATGCAGTTGTACGACAGCTTCGAGTTGAGGTAACAAGGACGTTCTAGTAAAAGTTTAAATTTGGTATTAAATACGTAGTAGCGATGGTGACAAACCTAAGATATTAACGCTTACGAGTATAACCCTTATAGCCGGAAGGAATTAAACAGCACTACACGGAGAATTATATGATACAACTTAGTAACGGTGGTATGTTGAATAATTATAATAATCAGCTGCTTCGTAAAATTTGGGTTGTATTGTAATCGAGTCTACATAATGCTTTCTTGATGCCGTAGGTAGAGCAAGGCATACTTTTAAAGTTTCTTTACCTCCGCATCTGGTTAGTGGTTCTACCAGCGCGAAAGTTAATGTAATAGGTATGATTAATCATGATAATCTATCCCACCGTAAACATTGTTTACAGTATGGTGTAAATTTATTATCTTGAAAAGTGTTTCATGTTATAATTTTATCTTTATCACATTTTATTTCTTCATACCTAGGTGACTTAATGGGACCTAGCATTAGTAACCTGGATAGTTTACTTCAAATGCCATACGGGTGTGGTGAGCAAAATATGCTTGGTTTTGCTCCTGATATTTACATTAGTAAGTATTTGACTGCCACCAACCAAGCTACCTCGAGGATCCTAGATAAAGCCAAACGTTACATGACCAAAGGTGTGTAGCTTCAATCTAGTTATACCGTATATAAACTAATTCTGCTCTTGATATAAAGTGATTAATTACATTTGCATGAATTGATAGGTTATCAAAAAGAATTGACGTATCGTAGAAGCGCTGGTTCCTACAGTGCATTCGGAAATCGCGATAAAGCAGGAAGCATGTGGTATGCAATTGACTGTATATATGTATTACTTGATCGATATCTATACTTTCATTATTTTAAATTTATATTAAAGGTTAACAGCATTTGTTGTAAAGTGCTTTTCGCAAGCCAAACCTTTCATCTATATCGATCCTAAAGTAACACAACCAAGCATAGATTGGATAATTAAAAAGCAAAATTCGGATGGAACATTCCAAGAACCTGGTAGAGTCATCCATAAAGCAATGAAGGTATAATACAAAGCGTTTGAAAACATTTACGACCTGTGCTTGTGCCTAAAGTATTTTATGATGATAACAAATCGTTGTAAAAGTTATCATTTATGCTGATTGCAGGGTGGAGTCACAAATGATATTACGTTGGCAGCGTTTGTTTTAATTGCCATGCAAGAGAGCGGTGTTACCTCTTCGGTATTAACGTACAAGACAGATATATTTTAGGAGTACGTGCTAAGTGTTAAGCAATCATTTATATTTTAATTTACAGTCGGTCACAAGCGCAATAACTAAGACTCAACAATACTTGGAGGATAAGATTAGTACCATAAGTAGTAGTTATACAATGGCCATTGTTAATTATGCTTTAACACTAACACGTAGTACGGCTGCCAAAACAGCGTTTGCTAAATTAAAGCAAATGGCCATGACTAAAGGTATTGAACTATAGTAGTTTTTATTTTATCTGGTTGTTGGAGCAGTAATGAGCGCTCAAGTCCTATCTTGATCTCACGTAATAACATTTCGATATTTTTTAGATGGTGCCACTTATTGGAGCGCTGTTAAAGAAGCTGGTAAGCAAACTGGACGATGGTATCCACCATACGGTCAATCAAACTCTTTAAATATCGAAGCTACTAGCTATGCGTTGATGACTTACGTGCTAAATAAAGAACTAGCGGCAGCAGCTCCAATAGCAAAGTGGCTATCAATGCAAAGAAATAGTATGGGTGGATTCTCTTCAACTCAGGTACAGTATATGCTGTGGCACTAATTCGATGATATGAACTCTTTCAATTTTTCTATAAATATGTATTTGAACACCTTACGTGGAAAATAATTAATGCATGTAAAATTTCGTTTTATAGGATACCTGCGTAGCCCTTGAAGCTCTGTCACGGTATGCAGCTATGGTGTATGGGTCTGACTTAAATGCTGATATTTACATTCGGTCGACCAATAATACCAGCTTTTTGAAACACTTTAAAATAAACAACGCAAACGCCGTAGTTTTACAACAGACTGATGTAAGTAATATTAATGTCGTGAAGGTGCAAAAGCCACAGTGCAACATTTTATTATTAATGTCCTTTGATTAACTATTAATCCCGTTACTACAGGTTCCTGCCGGACAAGGAGATATAATGCTAGAAGCTAATGGTACTGGCATTGGCTTGGTGCAGGTATTTAGAAATTATTTTAATAAAGCTTTATAGTAGTTTTCTGTTATTCTTGAGGAATGTTATAACGCTTATTTTGACTGTCAATACAGTTGGGTGTTCAATACTACGTAGTCAAGGATCCTCTTGACCAATCGTTTGAAGTAGAAGTTACTGTACTTGACCACAGTACAACTGAAATTATTTATGTCAAATCATGTGGGAGGTAACCTTTTGCAAATATATTTTTGATAATATGACAAGAATATACATGACAGTTATTTCCTTTGGCATCATAGTAAAACCTTCTGAATACTTTTCGCTTGTGAATTTGTATCAAATTTAACCTTTTAAAATCTCTATATACCAACTTTTTCCAGATGGAATAGCGGCGGAACTTCAGGCATGGCAATAATGGAAATAGGCGTTCCATCTGGGTTTAGTGCTAATCAGAATAAATTGCGTGAGGTATGGCTGATTAATAGTCGGTATAGTCAGTAATCTTAACATAATGTGATCAGCCTTTTATTTAAAATGGTGAAATTTTTTATGTACTGTGCACGTCAGATCGTTAAATCGAATACCTTATCAATAAAAAGATACGAAATGTCAGGAAGTCACGTTGTTCTCTATTTCGATGAGGTACATAGCTTTAGTCATACTTTTATTGAATATTTGTAATTAACTGTTTATAAGACATTGTAATTATTGATTTAATTGATTTGAAGCTTACGAACAATAAAAAATGTGTCACGGTTATGATGGAACGAACAGTCCCGGTAGGCTTGTTGAAGCCTGTTCCGGTTAAAGTATTTGACTATTACGAGCCAGGTAGCAGATAGCACTGTAGCATCATTACTATTAGGAAATCGCTTTCAGTTGCAAAAATGCACTGGTTCCGCAATCTTTATTTATCTTTGCAATTAACTTGATTAACTGCTTTTTAACTTGTAAATAACATTTTTTTCTTTTGTTAAAGAAAAACAAGCATCAGCTTTCTACAAAGTCAGCAAATTAAGTACCGGAAGCCTCTGCAATGCTTGTTCGAGTTGTGTCGGATGCACTAGTGGTTCTGCGAAATCATCGTATAGTTTCGTATTGATTGCATTGATAACGTTACTTCTAGCTAATATGTATTAGTTACATGGTATACTACAGTACCATGTTAACGTTTCTACATATTCCTGATAGTCATAAGCTTATATATTAAGTATCCAGGAACTCTGTGTAATTCACTCGATCTATACTATGTTAAATCTATTTACTCATCAAGTGCTCTGGTAGCACTAAATAAATTTATTCTACTAATGTCTTACCATAACCTGCGTAAGTTACTAACTAATACCGAATTTAATCAAACTTGGGTAAATCATAACATAACTTCTTGCTCATTCATTATCAGTTGTTACGTACAAGTATTTCTAAATTTTAACGTAACTTCTTACTTGTTCACTATCAATTATTACGTATAGGTATATCTGATTCACTAATTATTGATAGCGTAGCATTTGAACTTTAATAAATTCAACTACGATACTCCTTTATTCGTTGATTGATCTTTATAGCCAGATCGTTCTTACTGAAGTTGACATGTTACCTGTCCTTCATTAAGTCAAAACTCTTACAACTAATCATCGTACTGATAATTCACTTCCTCATAAAATAAGCATTCTTCTTTGTAACAATGACTACAGCTTGTTCTTGTTACATACTGTATTAGTATTTATTCTGTATAAATAATACTTCACGTAATTACCGGAATAAATAAGACCGTCAGATTGCAGTCAATGCGTTACTTAATCACAAAGTGATTTCGCTATGATCAGTACAGTAGATTTTAGAACTACCGAAATTCGATGGAATGATTAAACTCCTTAATTAATCAATTACTATCAGTATTTTTATTTCGTACATTGCCATTATATATTAGAAGAAGTACCAGGAATCTTAGTTATATATTACCTGCATCATAGTTTAGCTATGGGTAATCTTTTAACGTACTGAATCACGTAAACTTGCGATAAAACAACATCAACGTTGTATATACAAATAGTAGGGGTATCGGAAAAGTATTTTACTTGACTATATATTTTGAAATCTAAAATGAAAATTGCAATAATTTAAGTTTATGATACACGCAAGATTACGGGGATTCTCAGTAAGAGTTAAGCAAAATTTCTCATCGAGTAGATCGTAAACTTTTCATAATTATAAAATTCATTAATGGGGACTTGAAGTTATGCATCCCTTGGAGTATCTTCTTCCTGGTAAAACTAGGCTGCTGATAAAGAGAGTAGGCTTTCTGATCTTGTAATCGTAAGCAACAAAGACAATTACGGAATAGATTCCTTCTTCCTTGCTGTTTTTTATACGTAATTACAGCATCATATGGAACGATTAAGGTGCGAAATAATAAGATAACTCAATCTTTTATGAGTATTTTCAAAACAGTGACGTGATAAATTAAATCTTTGAATAAAATTACTTTCTGCTACCTACTAATCCTTATATATCCATATTTTACAAAACGATCAAGAGGAAATCACAGCTAATATTTTTTCTGTCATTAGCTGGAAAAAATATCCATATTACTAACGGAGCAATATGATTCAGTAACTAATGCAGAAGTATAAACCGTTCGGGAACAATTTAAAGTTGTGCAATATGGACGGCTTTTATAACTAGTGTAAGAAATAATCTTTTATTATTAAAGTTTTGACATCGAGGCTAATAGTAAGTCCTTTATAGTATTTTTTTTGTTTAGAATCATCCCCTAAGATCAAAACGAAGTTGAATTTGATTATTAAGCGATCTTTTCGTAGCCGTTTGTACAAGTAGCGGAATGTTCAAACAGCGCTTTTGTATTTCTCGTTAATCGCACTGTAAATTATTAAACGAGAACTAATAATTACGACATAATTTTTTTGGAAAGCAATCTAAATGTAAATACACATGTATTAAAAATATTATTAATACTTCAAGTTGATCTCATAGTATTAAAATTTTCTTTGAGAAAATAGTGGTACAGCGCCCCTTATAAACAACTGTTTCCTATGGTAGTATTCAATTTTGTTGCTGATTCTTTCGCAATTTACTCTTTGATCATCGAAGAAGAAAATGAATCTAACTGCTTTATTTTCAAATGGTTTAGATCCCTGGTGTTCATGTTATCGCTTTCATAACACAAACGGAGTTGGGATGGTGAGCAATTTATTGTAAATTGAACTTAGATTACGCTATTCGTTACCTTGTGTTATAGTAGAGAGAATTGAGACAGGAAAAGAAATAGAACAGTAGCTTTAACATTTCAAAGATAGCTGTTTACGAGGATGTAGGTAGAATTTCTAAGTTGTCTTCGAAATAATGTCATTCGGGTGCATGTTGAGACGGAAATTAAAGTGCTGATTTAGTTTTAAATTATTTTGCACACTCTGCGGTAGTTTTAATAAGCTAACTATGGCTGCGTAGCTTATACGAAAATATGAGGGTAATTGTAAATGTTCTTTGCAATTAGAATAAGAAAATAGATTGACATTAGAAAAGAATTTACGTGGTTACCGCAGTTTTTCATGACACTTATATCTACCAGGAACTACAGTAGTAAGAAAAATCGTAATATTGGAACTCGTATTTAGTCGATATTTCATTGAAGCCCAAAGTACACCGTTAGTAAATAAGTAATATATTGTAATAGTAATAAATTTTTGGAGCAGTCTATTTGATTGCTATAATAATAGATAGGATTTAGATACAAACAATAAACTGGATACAATTATCTAACGCAAACCGAAATATAATTTTTCAGCAATCTTTGTTAAGCTAACTGTATCATTTACTTAAGAATAGATGTAATTGGAAATCTTCTTCGTAATGTTGATATCAGGATGTTAGAAAGAAATTAAGTTATCTGTAGTATCATTCATTATACTATACTAGTATGAAGATAGTAAGAAGCTACAGCTTTAGATAGAATACTGACATTCAATTGAACGAGTACTTTTTAATATTTTTAATAGCCATAAATGTAATGCATAACCCTATTAAAATCTACATATATGTAGTTAATGTGTGGTGGCATAGTCACGGTATAACTTATTAGACGTATATCCATAAATGCGTGTATACTTGTAGATAATTAATATACTGTACTGTATAGTGCTACCATCATATTAAGATGCTGCACTGTAACCTAACATAGTCTTATGCAGATTAATGTGTATTTAGAGATAGTATATGTAAGATGTACTTTATACAGCTACGAGTTAAATTATGAGTTAGATAGATAGTAATTTAATGCTTAACTAGTTTAATAGAGTTATGCTTATACATAGCTTGACCATTGATCGCTATTGAAAAAATACTTGTTTTTCTGATACTTGAATTGTAGAATCACGTATATCCTCACTATTACAAGGTGAAGTTATCCGGAGCTACCCTTTGCAGTGACTGTCAAGGTTGCAATTGCTTTCAAACTTGCGTGAGTCCTTACTAGCTAGCAAACTAAGACATAACTGTTAGATTGGGCGCTAACTAGGCTGAAATAACAGCCGCTGGCGATTGGTTACAGTCAACTTTTGCTGTACAGAATTTGTTGCTACCATTAGTATTACAATTACCCGTAAACCCATACTTTGGCCTTTACCAGTTTACAAGCAAGAATAAATCGTTCGAACGGGCAACATTTAGACAGAGAAAAGACCTGTTGATACCTTTATTGATGGTTTAATCTAAATTATGAATTAATTTACAACCTAAACTTTAAGCAGACTTGACCCAGAAATAAATTCTGACTAAGTTTATGAGAATAAAACATTGTCTAACCACTCTAGAAATCGATTTCTATAATAAATAGATTAAGACATTCAATCTTTCTTTGTCAGCAGTAATCTAGTAACTTTCCTTTTCGTTTCATTTTGTAAATCTTTGTCAACAATATCCATTACAAAGTCTAATAAAATAGCAGATATAACTAAGTAGTACAGAATGTTATAGCTTTATAACGAACAAGCTGTGACCTGAAAAAATGCAGTGTTGTCGCTATCATAATTATGATGCATTATTATATGTACAAGTACATAATTTAATTTAGAAGTTTCTATAGAGCTTTTACATTGAAAAAAACAGGAAAGAAATTACGTGCTAAATTTATTATTTATACAAGATTTTATATTTTATAAATTTAATAAGGATGAAATGGGATATAACAATGCTGTAGGATGCTTTTCTGCTGGATACTGTATCAGGCTAATGCTTGAAAAAAGTTCTGATTATAAATTGGACTCTGATAATGTCTCGTTGATATGCACTGTAATCATAAACTAATAAAATGGGCTAACTGAAGAAAGAAAGACTCGATACTGTTAATTGCTCATCTTGTTTTTAGTATTTTAAGTTGATCTATATGATAAATATATATTTCTCCTCTGAGTGAGAGCTAGAAAGTTGAGTGAAAATAAGAGACAAGTTCCGTCTGTTATACAGAATGATTTTAAATTGACATCTTCTCCACGATTGTTGATCTAACTATAAATTAATTTTAGCTTAGATATACAAGCACGCTATTTACTTAAAAGGCAACTGAGTATGATCACATCCCAGCCACCCTCGCTTGAAACGAGTGGCGCGGGGGTATTTCTACTAACTGTTAGATGACTCTGATTATGGGTTGATTTCAATAGGTCAGTATAAGATTCTTACAGTATTTTTTACCTCAAGATTTCTTCATGTAAAACGAATAGCTCTAAGGTAGTCATTTCTGCAGAGTACTGATTATTAAAATAGTATTCGTTATATCGCTAAGGGTGGCCACTGGGCCTTTCAATTTTAATTTCATGTAATATTCTGATGAAAATTGAATAAACATAGAATCTTTATAGAGTTTTCTACACAGCCATTTTGATTGTTAAATTTTCTGATAACGGTTGCTATCGATAGAGCAAGCGATCCTTAGACACATTATAATGATTGGTTTAGAATTGATCACCGTACATTAGTTATCATAATGTGCATTGGACTATTAACTAATCTTAATATAGCATTTCATCCGTGAATGTATTATTGAAAAGTAGTATTCTACAAGCATAGCTATGAATATAGTAGTGCCTGGCTATTACCGGGATAAAAATAATGTCGAATGGTAA